TTGGTGGAAAATGACAGTAATAAGTCTATAAGCTTTTGGAATGTATTTGATAGAACTTTAAACGGAATACCAAGGACGACAAATATCATAGAAGAAATGCATAGGCATTTGAACAGTCTTGTAAAGGTAAAACAAGCATCATTTTTTTTAATATTAAAAGAATTAATAATTGAACAGGAAATAACAGAAAATAAGCTATTACAATCTTTGTATTGTGATTCTACTGTTAATGTTGAAGATAAAATGAAAGAAATTCTTAATAGAGATTCTGAGTATTACGATGTAGAATTTTTAAAGAAAATTGCATTTAGCTTTCATTAGAAATTAAACTGATTATATAAAAGAGAACTTTTTTAGTAAACTTGTTTTTATCAAGGGTAAAAAATTAATAGGTGAAAATTAATCCATTTTTCACCTGCGGTGAAAAATGCGCCAAGCCGGGATATTTCTTTTTATAGCATTCCACCCGCCCTCAACGATGTTAGTATGTACGTTTTCTGACTGTTCATAAATTCTTTACTATGATTAACTGTTTTATGAGCAAAAAAAAATATTTTTAGATCGTTGTATGCTTTTCAACAATCAGAATAAATAATACTATAAAGATTTACTTGGGCCTTCAGAATATTTTCTAATGTTTCTTTGTTTCTTTTTTCAACGGGTATGAGAAAAACCTTCTTAGTTCTTCTTTCTACACCACCAAAGACCCATACTCCTCCAACGTGATGCCCTCTGTTATATTTTCTTCTTCCAAACTTGCTCTCATCTATCTCAATTATATTGCATGTTCCTTCCAATTTAAAGGTGTTAAGATAATAGTCCAGTATGAAACATAATTAAACATGTAAATTATATTCGTTGCCCTGTTTCTTGACAACCCACTTGTATGTGCAATAAGTTTATATGGCATGTTATTTAAAAATAAGTGAATAATTGCTAATATAATAATTATTGAAACTTTCCTATGACAAAAACATGTATTTTTATAAATTTAATATCTATGTTTTTTAATTTTGTTGCAACAAACAACTCTTCCATCGGTGTAAAAAGAAATATTTTCCCAACATTCGAGACAATTTTTAACTAATATTCTTTCTTTAAAGTTATTCAAAATATTTTCTAGTTCTTTCTCTGTGTACAGCATTTTAAAAATAAGGGATTAAAAATTTATTGATGGGGGTAGTCAAAAAAATTGTTAGTTTGGGGTGCAATATCCTTTACCTTTGTATTATCTTATAATTAATAAAAAATAAACATTTTAATATTATTATTAAATTTTAAATTACAGTTTAAAAAGGACAAATAAATCACTCTAGGGCAATCTTATATGAAAATTTTAAGATTTAATATAGTAAAAAACATATTACAGTATGAATAATACAGTTTGTAAAAAAAATAATGTAATTTAAATATCTTACAAATAAATGCATCAAATGCAAAAAGAAAAAGTTTTTAAATTTTATCTTGTTCTTATAGATTTTGTCCTATGTTTGTAAAATAGCCTTTTGTTATATATTAAATGAATTGTAAAAAAAATAGTGCAACTTTTTTACTAATACTTCGTATGAAGACCTCCTGCCTTATAAATAAAAAAATACATCTTTAAAACTCATGAAAAATTTCTCGCATATTTCTTTAGGAATAGATTCATTAGCTGCATGTATATTCTCCTTGTGCTCGTTTTTATTTTTTGGTATTAAAGAAGCAACTTTTTGCTTGACAATTGCCCAAAGTGTTTCAATTAAGTTTTAGTCAGGCTTTTGTGGAGGCCACGGAAGCACAGAGATCTTTTTATCTTCAAAATACGTCTTTTCAAGCTTCGAAATATGCTTTGGATAATTATCTTGCTGAAAATAAACTCTCTATACTTATTATCTCGGCCATTTTCCAAAGGGTTTCGCTAATACATTTACATATAGTGCGGAATTCGTTTTTTCATCAATAAACACCAACCTCCATATGTCATGGTATGAGAAATAGCCCTATGCCAAAACAACCCCCTCGGAATTTTACAGTCGGTGTTAAGTTTTTTTTAAAAAAAGACCTGTACCGGGCTTTCTCCATACGCTGACACGCCCATCAGAGTAAAACATATTAAATTTACTCTCATATGAAAAGATTATAAACTTCATATCATTGTCAGACAAGGCCAACATTCTATTGGTTTTTTCTCTCCTAAGCAAATTATACCTTTTTATCAAAAGAGGCTTGTTAATTAGACTATATGCATATACACCTTAATTATTAAGCATGTTCTTAATGGTTGTATGAGATATAGTCTTTCCCAAATGTTCGAAAATCTTGTAGGTGCACTTATGCAATGACGTTTTTGAATTTTTTGTTAAAACTTTCTCTAGCTCAGCAAAATCCACGTTTTCAATTAATTTAGGCTTTCCACTTTTTTTTGTATAATTAAAAGTACCATGTTTATAAATCTTGTGAGGGTCATACTGACGTTGCTCTTGTGTACACATAGTTTTTGAGAAATTTTAAACTGAGAGTAACCTTCCTTATAAAGCATTATTATTTGAGACTGAGTTAAAAAAAGGAAGTCATGAATGAGAATATTGGATACTGCACACTTCATGCCAAATACCTCATAATAATGATACGTGAGATGTTTGACACGTTTACATTTATAACATTATTTTTAAATAAACCCATGTTTTCTAATAACCATACTTTTAGTAACTAAAAACAGAATAATATAAAATTTTATTTTAAACATCAATTTTAAAGGAAAATTCTAATTTTTTAAAAAGTTGCATTATTTTCTTTACAAAAAAATTAAAAATGTGCATTGTCGTGGGTACTACAAATGATTGTTTTACTATATCATTTAATTCTTAATAAATTAAATGTTCTAATCTAAAATTATTTTATTTTTGGGTAATCCGAGTTGCATTATTTTTTTTACAAACTGTATATACAGTTTGTGGTGCAACTTTAACACAGTCTGACAAGGGTTAAAAAAATTAAAAAAAAATAGAGCGATATTATTTTACTAGATAACGCTATCCTGTTTAAAACGAGATTACAAATATAATGTTTGTTCTTACTTTTTGTTGTGTATGATGCAAATTTATGCATGTACTTATTTTTTTAATAAAAAATGACTTTTTTTATTTCAATTAAAATTTGCTATAGACACCTTTTATACAATTTGACTAAAATTTAAGAAAAATGCACGAAAACATTGTGCTGTGCTTTTAAAAATAAACTTATCACTTGTGTTATTTTTTCTTGATAAAAAATACAAAGAATTTTACAAATTAAAATAAAGAAGGACTAAAAATTAAATTAAAAATTTCCTTAATTTTTTATAATAAAGTAGATAGATGATTTATAAAACCCTATCCGTTGTGCTTTGTCTTTACAAGATGCATACGTAGCACTCACAAATAAATTTAAATTGTTTTTTCGCTAACAAATAAGTAAAAATAATAAAATTGCTCGCAATCACTAGAGAAAAATATATATTACAAATTATATGTCCTGTAATTATTTAAGAGAAAACAATGTAAAATTATAAATAATATTTATTATTTAAAAAAAGGCAATTAATAGATTTTATTTTTAACACAAAATTAGATTATGTCCAATAATTGTAGCATTTAGTACAAATATATGCCAAATCAAATGCCACTTCTTCTTCTATGTCTTTATTTTGGAAGTAAACAACCACATCATTGTTACATTCTGAGCACTTCATTTTTATTTTAGGAAGCGTTGGATCCTTCGCTAGTGCTTTGGCATATGTTTTGTATCCATAATTTCTGCTCTTAAAATATGTAGCACAAATTCTATTGGTAGTAGATTCCTGCATATTATCACATGATTTACAAACTAGCATCATAAATGATTCTGTATTATCGTCCTTAGGATAAAGCATATTATTACACTCTTTGCAAAATTCACTGTTCATAAAAGGGTATTTTTTAGAGAAAGTGTGATTATGTGTGTGTTTAGTAAAAAAAATTGTAATTTTGTAAAGTTAACAAATAAAAATATGCATATATAAAATTTACGAGCCGTATAAACAAAAATGTCAAGTATAGCTCACTATTTTTCTATACAAAAATTAACGAAAGGAATGACATGAGATAACGCAAGTAAATTATGTAAACTATTGAAATGATGACTACAAATATTTAGAGTTTTTAAAATGACTCTTTAAAATTTACAAGTTGAAATCTAAGAGACTTTAGTGAAGTAAAAAGTATTTAAAAAAACCACAAATATAAGAAAGGTTGCATATGCAAGAGGACTATTTAATTAATACACAAAAACTTTTTATGTATACAATATTATACACTACTATTCTATTTCATAAATTATCTCATCCTTACTATATTTGTAATATATCCTATGTTTCACCATTTTACTCCAAATTAAACCAAGTCTAGGTGTAAAATAATACTTACTAGTTTGTCTGTAATGATTGGTACAAATAACTGTACAATTATTTTTAAGGCATAAAGTATTTACCATTGAATAAAATAAGGTGTAAATAGATACATTTATGTCAGAGAGAAAAGATACAGAATCAATGACTATAAGAGCATCTTTAGTATTATTTTTATGATTTGTAATAATTCTTAATAACTTACGTATACTAGTAATTTGTACCACGTTTAAATCTAATTTATTATAATCATTATACAAAAATATATTACCAATTGTATCTATAAAATAAGTAAGCGTAAACTGTTTACTAATGTCTATAAGTACTTTGTGTATTTCCACAGATGGTAGTACAAGTATTTCGATAATAGAATATTTAGTAAATATATGATTATAAAAAGACCATGTAGTCATAGGGCAAAAAATAAATAATTTTATTAAGGACATATAATCCATTTTCCTCCTACTTTTTCAATCTGCTCTTTGGCGTCAGTAGTAAACTTTCTAGCTTTAACTACCACAGGTCTATCGAGAGAAAGCTCTCCTCCTACTACCACATGATATCCAAAATCTCTACAATTTATTACTGGTACAGCATCTTTTTTGTTATCAATTAAATCATATCTTGTTTCTTTGGGAATAAGTGACCAAAGCTTAGCAGCAGAAATCCATCTGGCCCACTCATCATTTTTCTTTCTGTGATAAATCCTGTGACCTCTCTTACCGAAATAATCAGGATGATATTTCTGGAACCACGTCTTCATATGTTTAAGACCACCACAGATTCCTCTACCACCAGAATGTTTTCTGTGTTTACCTACACGACCATGTCCATGTGAAACGTGTCCACGTAGTTTTCTTGTCTTTTTAACATGTTTTAACTAAATTACAAAATTCTCCACTTACCATTTTATGGGGGCTAAAAATATAAATTTTTTACATAAAAATTAAAATTATTTATTCATGCAAAATAATATGCATACTATCTTGTTACTGTTGAAAATTTTATTTTTTTAATTAGTAATTTTTACCGTTAAATTGTACCCTTAAAATGAAAGAACTTTCTATAGATGAAAAAACTAAAGTTCATTCAAAACTGAAATTTTTTATTGGAGATAATATACAATTTCTTACAAATGATAGAACATTTTTAATACACGATAAAAGGGTATTATTAGTCCCAAATAGTTTAATGAAATGTTTATCGTCTGTTCCTAAAGATAACTTAGTTTATTGTGGTACAGTAATTGGCAAGTTTACAAAAAGCAATAAATTTAGAATTTGTATTTCTTCTGTACACATTCTGTCACAATATGCACTCAATAAAGTATGGATAAAAAAAAGTGCGGAAATGAATTATTTGTACGGTAATAATGCGCTTAAATCTCATGTTTATCGATTATCAGAAAATATACCTATTAATACTGGGGTCTTTGTTTATAATCAGAATGATATATGTTTGGGATACGGTGTCTGTGCTATTAAGCCAGAGAAATATCCAGAAGCAAAAGGTTATCAATTAGTGGTAATAAGACAAGGAGATAATGGAGAATATATTAGATCGGAAGATAAGGTAGCATAGGTTTTTTATTTTAATAAAATTATTGCTATTAATTTTATTTAAAATATCTTATTTAGTTGTTCTAGCAGTATTATTTTTATAATTTTACAAATTGTCATTGTCTTAAAATTATTCTTAACGTAAAAAACTCGTTATAATTGTTTAAGTAAAAATTTTAACTCATTGTGATTTATTCCTGACTACTAAATTAAGCTTACTTCATTAATCAATAATTATTTTAATTTTTTTCTACAACTTGTTTGGCCCTATTGGGTATTTGTAATTTTCTACAAGTTTTATAGATTATTTTATGCATTAAATAATTTATTTGTTTACAAATAAATTATAAACAAAATGGATGATATTCATAAAGCTGCATTAGATAATAATTTACATTTTTTTGAAGACCATCATTTACCTAAAAAGATAGTAAATCTTGCAGGGGGAATATATCTGTCAAATCCTATACAATTTGCATTGTATAATGAGAATTATAAGATTATATTATTTTTATTATTAAATGATGCAAATACAAATCATTTAAATCTTAAAAAATATGATATATTTTCAATAATTTATAAATATGATTATGTACTAGCATATATTCTTTTCGAATCACATTCCGTTAAAAGTGTAAAGAAGAAGAAAGGAAAGAGAGTTTTACTATTGTTTTATAGAAAACAGTTATATAACGATATTTTGTGCAATAAGCATATTTTAATTATTTATACTTCTTTATTTTATAGAGAAAATATAAGATCACCTTATTTTTTATATCTTAATATAATTTACTCACTAGAATTGTATTGTTCTAATCTTTTTTATATTTATGTGTTATATTGGATTACTTTTCTATATTTAATGTTTTATAAAAATGACCGAGTAATACGACAAAATTGTAGAGAACTAATAGTAGATCTTATTTTATCAGATAAATACAATCTAGACACCTTTTGTTATATATGTAAAAATATTAAAGATAATCATTGTACAATATGTGACAGATGTATAAAATATCGACATCACCACTGTATATTTTTAAATAATTGTGTAAGTGTAAAAAACTTGGTAATATTTTATCTTTACATTATTCTGTACCTTATAATATTAACATATAATTTTTTTAAGAGGCATGATATCATAGAAAAAGGGGAATGTGGATTAATAGCATTAATTATATTATTAAATATATAATTAATATGTATTTGGTCATTGCTATTATGTGTAAATGATGATTTGTATTTTTTAGAAGGTTTATGGAATCTTTTATTTCTTATAATTACATTTAAAGTTTTGCAATATTTTAGGTAATAATTTATTGCTTTATTAAATGTTTTGTATATATTTGTCAATTATCATTTCATATAACTATCAATTTAAGCTGTTGAACTTTAAATAAGTTACTGATTATTTATGCATATAAAAATTATTGCTGATTTGTAAAAAACAAACTGTAAATAAAATTATAAATTAAAAACAAACACAATCACTAAAATTCTATTCCAAACTCCATTTTAAGTACCATTTTCAAGTCATCTTTATCGCACTTATTATTATTGTCAGCAAGATTACCTGTAGACACAATAATGTGTTCAACAAAATTATCGCAAATTTCATACAATAAATTACGAGCCTCAACGCTTAACTCTTTATCTGTTAATTTTTCAATAGTTTTATGTTCTATAAATTTAGCAGGTGAATGTAAAACGTCTATTTTTTTATTTGTTAGAGTGCATTTGTTCAGAATTATCGGCTTGGCTTCAGGCGTCTTAGCTTTTTTAGACTGAAAAATGTCATTTATAGACACTTGATTCTGAACATATTTATCGTAAAATGTTGAAGATAAAGGACGATGAGTAGTAGACATATGAGAATTATTAGAAACAAAATCAGAACTATTTTGATGGTAAAAACCAGTGGTCTGCATCATTGGCATTGTTTGTCTTGGATAGGATAGCCTTGTTACTGTTGGCTGCTTACTATCATAAATCATATTAGGACTTTTACTTTGTAAATTCGGCGATCGCACAATATTAGGATTATTAATATGTGAAGGTGATACAATATTTTTAGAAGAAAAAGGATAGTTAGAATTAAACATCGGTGTTTTAAATGATCTATGCATTCCTAAATTGGGTGGTGATTTTATACTTTCAACGCTATACGAAGAAGATTTAATATCAGAAGAAAAAGAGGTTTTTGTGTCATGTTGTATAGGCTTTTGAAATGTATTTACAGGATACACATGTGGTTGTTGAATTTTATATGACATCGCTTGATTAAAATTTCCAGAAAAAGGTTGATCAAATTTATCGTTTACAATTCGCCGATTATTAAATTTGCTGTGAGAAATAAAAGATTGTTCTGGTATTTTATTTTGAATAACACTAAACATTGAATTACGAGAGAATTGCATGTCGTGAGGATACATAGATTGAGTGTTAAAATTTGATTGCTCTACAGGCCTATAAATATCCTTAGTATTAATAAAAGGCCCGGAAACTTGTCTTTGATCTTTAGTGTATAAATTAGGATTCTCAGAAAAAGTATTTCTATAATAAGAATTATTGTATAATTTCTGATGATACAATGATCCCATGGTATTAATATCATCACTCATAACTTTACTGTGTGTACTGTCACTGCTAAAATTATTTTTATATGTAGTATCTGATAAATTCTTGTCTTCTAATTTACACATCCTTTTGTATGCAATATAGTCATCTACTTTAAATGTTCCTAAGCTATTTTTGCGTGGTTTTATAAAATTGCGATATTCCATATAAAAAAGAGAAATCTTACGTTTAAGCTCTTCGTCTTGTGCATAAAAATCTGAAGATAGCTGCATTCTTTCTGCTTTCTTTTTTTCGTGTTTTTTATATAATTTAATAAGGTTATTGAACTGTTCTTTTAAATCATATGCTTCTTTTTCGAAAGTCATAATTTCTAAAGGGAAAAAATTTCAAACTTTACTTTTTATTAGAGGAAGTAAAAAAGATTAAGGTTAAAATTTATAGTGCAATAGCACCAGACGAAAAAATATTATATAAATATACTTATTAAAATAACATAAAAAACTTAGTAAAATAATGTGATAATCAGATAATCTTCCTTAAGAAATTGTGTATAATAAATAAATTAATTTATTAAGCAGAACATGCATCACATACTTCATCATTATCATTAATACTACTCATTGTCTTTTCTAGCAATTTTTGATCAACAGTAAATTTAATAGCTGAAGTAATTGGTCGTGTCCTTAAATAATACATGCCAGTTTTTAATCCGCTCTTAAATGCATAAAAATGCATACTGCTTAGTTTAGAATAAGTGGGCTGTGCCACGAATAAATTTAATGACTGAGATTGATCGATAAAAAGCTGACGATCAGCAGCTAAATCTATCACATGCTTCATTTTTAGTTCCCATGCAGTTTTATAAAGATCTTTAATATCCTGTGGTATAGATTTAATATTTTGTATTGATCCTTCATATTCAATAATCAGGTTTTTCATTTCATGAGACCATAAATTTAAATTAATTAAATCTTTCAACAAGTATTGATTGACAATTTGAAACTCTCCTGCATGTGTTCTTCTAGTATAAATATTTGAAGTGAATGGCTCAAAGCATTCATTATTATTAAAAATTTGAGAAGTACTAGCAGTAGGCATAGGAGATACTAGAAGACTATTTCTCACCCCATGCTTTTTTATCTTTTCTCTAAGTAAATTCCATTTTTCTAAATTTGGAACTTTTTTTTTGCATAACTCAAAGTGAAAAATTCCTTTACTTAACGGAGAGCCTGCGAATGTTTCATAAGGACCATATTCTTTTGCAAGTTCAACTGACTCTTCAAGAGCGGAATAATAAATTGTTTCAAATATTTTAAAATTTAAATCTCTAGCATTTTGACTGTCAAAAGGATATCGCATTAGTACAAAAGCATCTGCCAATCCTTGTACACCTATTCCAATAGGTCGGTGTCTAAAGTTACTCCTTTTACATTCTTCTACAGGATAAAATGTACTGTCAATACAATTATTTAGATTTCTTGTTATAACTTTTACAATTTTTGACAGCTCTTCAAAATCAAATTTTCCTTCTCTTACAAAACGTGAAAGACAAACACTTGCCAGGTTACAAACAGCAATTTCATTTTTATCGGAATATTCAATTATTTCTGCGCATAAATTTGATGATTTTATTATGCCCAAATTTTGTTGATTACTTAATCTATTGCATGTATCTTTATAAAGCATGTATGGTGTACCTGTTTCTATTTGTGCTTCAATTATTGCCTTCCACAATTTTCTAGCTTTAACAACCGTTCTATTTTTTGTTCGTTCATATTTTGTGTATAATTTATTAAAATCCTCGCCCCAAACATCATCGAGACCTTTAGCCTCGTTTGGGCAAAATAATGACCATTCTTCATTTTTGTCAACTCTTTCCATAAATAAATCATTTATCCACAATGCAGTAAAAATATCTCTAGCTCTAATATCTTCACTTCCGGTATTTTTTCTTAAATCTAAAAAATCAAAAATATCTTTATGCCAAGGTTCTAAATAAATTGCCATACTACTTGATCTTCTATTGCCACCTTGATTAATATATTTTTTAGTAGAATTAATCACTTGAATAAGAGGAATAATTCCTCGACTTTTTCCACCAGTAGATACCAAATCAGAACCATTACATCTAATACTATGAAGATTTAATCCTATACCACCAGAATGTTTTGATATAACAGCACACTGTTTAAGTGTATCATAAATACCTTCAATAGAATCATTAATTGGAGAAAGTAAAAAACAACTAGCAAGTTGTGACCTTATTGTACACGAATTATATAAGGTAGGTGTTGCATGTGTAAAATAATGATTACTCATTAAATCGTATGTTTCTTTTACTTTTTCCCAATTATCTCTATGAATTTGTAAGGCAACTCTCATAAAAATATCTTGAGGTCTTTCTATGACTTCATCATTTACCCTGAAAAGGTATGACTTCATTAAACTTGTAATGGAAAAAAATGTTAAATCATAATCTTTTGTATAATCAATTATATCATCAATAATTTCTCTATTTTTTACAACTATCTCGTATATTTCCGGATTTATAATATTTCTATATTTTTGCAAATAAATTATTTTTTCACTGAATGTATTGAAAGTAATTTCGTGTAAATGACAAATTAAAATTCTTGCACTTAATTTTCCATATTCAGGATTTATTGTCATCATAGAAGCAGCCGTTTCACTTACAAAAGTGATCATTTCAAATGAAGACATATCTTCACACCATCCATTATATACCTTATCAATAAAATAATTTTTATCAACATTTTGTAAAGACATATCTTCAACGTATTTATAAACCCTCTGCTTTATAATTTCAAATGTAAGCTCTGAATTTTTTTTAAATTTTTTCTGTTCCATGAATTTATGGGGAAATTTCTTTAATTTTTTTTTATATAAAAAATTATGAACAACTAAATTTATTTATAAAATAAAGATAACTTATTATTTTTATTTAGTTAGATTATTTCACCTTGATTTATTTTACATTTTAGCCCTTTAATGAAAAGAAATCTTAATTACGATAATATTGATATTTTTTTCTTACTAAACGAAAATAAAATATTAACTGAAACAGAATTACAAAGGTTACTACCTAAAGAAAATTATCAAGAATATATCAAAGGTTTTTACAGAAGAAGATTTATTGATATTTTTAATAAGAATTATGATTTCTCTTGGTTTGTACAAAGATACTTAAATAACAAAAGAGAGTTTAAAATATGGAATTTTCAATTTAATAATTATTATTTTCTTATTAAAGGTATTGAGTTTGAAGAAGATCTTAATAAATTAATAGGGTTAGTAGGATATGTAAACCATTATGTATTTACACCAGAAGATTTAAAACTAACAATTATTTTAGAAATGGAAACAGATCGAGAAGTTTATGATGATATTTATTCTGTTTTTAAAGTTAGTTCTATATTTTTTACACCATTAAAAATAAATGAATTTGCGGTGCAATCACCTAAAGAATCCGATAATTATATTATAAAAATATTAACTGAATTCTATAAAGTTAAGCTTCTTGATGCTAACAACCCACTTCAAGAAATGTTTCTTTTTTGCAATATTTGTAATATACAATACAGCTCTAGTATTGAAATGGCACATAAATGTGGAAAAGGATGTTTGCCTGATAATCGTAGAAAAGAACTTTTGAAAAATTTTAAGGATTTTTCGTTTATGAAAGATATTCAAATAGACTTTATTTGTAAAAGCAATATAATTAAATTTGAAGAAAATGTCTATAAATGTGCATATTGTGAAAAGAAATTTGAATCTGTTGAATTCATAAATTTACACTACCAAAAAAGACATTCTGACGAAATAGCGCTTAGAGAAAAAAAATATGAGGACTTTAAAAAATTTATTGATAATCTTGATTTATTAATATTTTATCTTGCAGAAGGATCTTTAGAATCTAAACCGTGGTTTGCAAAACTGTCCGATGATAATAAGGTCATATATGATATGAACCATGTATTTAGTGGTGAAATAGTTTTTGATTAAATTTATTTTTTATGTTAGTCTCATTTATTAAAGGAAAATTTTGTACTAGATTTTAGAAGCTAGTTTAATAACTATGCTAATTTAATGAAAATCATTTTATAAAAAAATTTAAATTATAAAATTAATATCACATTTAAATGAAAAATATCATTTCTTTGGAAAATTAAAAATTTACGAATATTTTCTTTGAAAACATAAAGTTAATCAAAAAAGTTACAATTGTAAAATAAAACTAGTAGTTTATAACACTCAAATATTGAACTTACATTCCTAATTAAATATTTCTAGAGCTGATTCTAAAAGTAAATGTTCAATAGATTTTCTTTTCAAAAAATAAATCCTTCCTTTTATCAGTTCAACAATTTCTTCTTCATCATAAATAATACCAGAATCCTTCAAACATATTACCTGAACATAAAGTGCTTCTGGTGGATGGTTTGTTCTCTCAAAAGAAATTTTTGGAAATTTAGAAAAATAATCTAATTGTGCATTTTTTAAATCAATCCATCTATTTCTTTCATCATCATTCAACAAATCTAAATTCGTTTCATCAGTCATTAAAAATCTTCTGTAAAAATAAACATTAATAATATTTTCACATCGTTTTTTATAAAAGTTTAAAAATGCATAATTAAGGCTTGTCTCTTCTGTTAACACACCTGCTGTTTTAATCTCTTCCATTAACTCATCTACAAACACCATTTGTTGCTCTAAATCTTGTACAAGTACTTTATTAAACTTTTTTAAGTTATTACATTCTTCAAGTAGTAACATCCCATTTTTATCATTAAGCATTTTAAGGGTATAAACCATTTATTTTTCTACAGTGTGTCTAAGATAATGTATATCGTATGTTTTAAAAATATTTCGTTTACATAACCAATAATTACAGACACTTTTTATAAAATTTTTATCAGTATCCTTTCCAAGTTTATAGACATCTTCGTATATTTTTGGTTCACTTTTAATAATTAAACTGTATTTAGTATCTTTCCATTCACTCATTTTAACTTTTTGCCTAATAAGAGGCGGATTATTTATTTTTACATATCCAGAATATAAATTGCGAAACGATGAATTACTTGTAAACATACATCTTTTTATTGTGGGATCATGTTGTTGGCAATAAGAAATTTTATTTGCAATATCAAAATAAACCTTGTCTATTCCGCAAGTTAAATGGTAAATATTAAAGCAACAATCAAAATTACATTCAATTTTTGTACCATAATTATTTTTACAAAACATACAATCATCAATTATTGGTTTATAATCTTCAATATAAATTGGCTCTTTAGAAATAGGATTATCAAAATCAAGCGATTTATCAAAAATAACACATAAAATATGACCAAATTTATAATTAGAAGTCATTTTCATAGCTCCGCCTTCTTTTAAACAAAAAATGCAAGTGTGATCCAAATCATGAAAAATACAGCACTGACACAAAAAAAATTCGTCTTTTGAATAACTTGATCCGTAACAATCACGATGCACTGAAATACTGCATCCCTGGCAAATTAAAATTGGATCATCCTCTTTCTCTTTTTTCGTACATACATCGCATTGATCTGAACTCGCAAGAGGTGTAATTGTTTTAATATCATTTTGTTTTGTAGTAAACCAATGTTTATCAAGTCTATCCATAATTTTTTCAAAAAGATTAATATCAAGAATATTATTCCTGTTTATAAACTCTTCATCAATACTATCAATACAATAATCAACCTTATTGAAATTGTAAGAATATTGTACATTAATAATCCGAGGTAAATTATAATTGTCGTCTGTCATAAAAGGGTAAAAAAATAAAAAAATAGCATTTATTGACATTCTGCATAAAGTTTTGTCCATTCACGAGCTTTTCTATTAAATTCTTGTCTGTTAGTTTTGTATAAATCAGCAGCTTCCTTAAAAAGTGGATCATCGGGATTGGGATCCTGTAGTAAAGCAATAAGACTAAGAAGCACTTTATCGATAGTAAGAGCAGGACTCCACTCATTTTTTAAAATGTCTAAACAAATTTCCCTATTATAAATGTTACAATGATATATTTTAGTGTTAAAGAAAATCTTAGGAGGCTTAAATGGATAGTCAGGAGGAAAAGTTATATCTAATTTAAACACCCCTCCTTCATAAGCAGAACCTGGAGGGCCCATAATGCAAGCAATCCATTTATCAAGTTCATTATCATTTTTAGGTCCAGCACTACAACCCGGTGGCGGTTCGACTTTCATAGTTCTTGCTTCAGATAAAAGTCTTTTATTTTTATTGCCAATCTTTGCCATGAGGGTTAAATTTCAGAAAAAATATTGTTTGCATGTCACAGGATTAAAAATTTTTAAATTTTAGTTTTTTATGCCCACAATATGGAAATTACAGAGAATAATTTACTAAGATTATTAAAATATGAAAATATAGAAACATCATTCATATTAGAAAAAATTTCAAATCTTCTAAAAATACAATTTTTTAGAGATGGAAATGTGTATACACTTGGTAGTAAATATTTTGTACTAGATATAAATGAAAAATTGACAATATCGTATGTCGATGAAACTATGGGTGATTGTTTTAAATATGTTGAGTACTATTTATCTTTTTTTTACGAAGAAAAGAACTTTTTTGAGTTTTTTTGTTTTTTAAAATATTATTTACATTATCTTGATGTTTTCTTAAGTGCAAAAAGCTTGTCGGTCGAAACTAAAATTTATAAGGAAGAGCAATGCACTCTGGCAAATTTTTGTCCTTGCATTAGAAATTTTAAATATTGCAATATTTATTTTTATTCTCCGAAAAAAGATAAATATTTTTTCAATGTTTTTACGCACAGATATGAGTATCATTATTTTAGTAATATTTTTGTTACCATGCCAATGACATTGCACAACAAGATTGATACAAAAGATAGTATTCTTAATTTAGCTGAGTGTTATCCATCTTATTTTTTTACTTCAGAAGTTTTAAATTATTTTTTTCAAAATATTTCTGTAAATTTATGCTATAAAAATATTATTTTAGATTTAAATATTTTTGTTGATAAAAATGGTAAAATTTTTATAAATGAGAAATACGATAAAAAATTATCTTTTTTGTTTAAAAATGGATTAAGTTTACAAGGTAGTATCGAGTGTTTACAAAACTTAAGTTAAGTTTTTGTCAAAAGTAAGACTATAAAGTAATATTGAGTGTAATAAAATCAGATAATTTAACCCCATTTTTAACTTTAAATTGTTTTTTAAATACATATTTCTAATTTACCCCATGGAAAAGAGAACAAACAAAAATAAATTTGGTGAAATTTCACACACGAATTTTTTAGAAAATATTGAGTGTTTACAAAATGGATCAAAAACACTTCTTGAAGTGTTTTCATCTACATGTCAAAAATACGAAAATAAAAACTTTCTTGGGACTATTAAAGATAATAAATTGATTTGGCAGACATTTTCTGAAATTAATATTAAGATACAAAAATTAAGTACTTTCTTAAATTCTATATTACAAGAAAATGCTATTTTTGGTATTTTTTCTGTAAATAGATATGAGTGGATTGTTTCTGAATTGGCTGGTTACATGTCAAATTGTATTAATTGCCCTTTATATTCCACTTTTGGTCCTGATGCTGTCAATTTGATTATTAATGAAACAGAAATGACAGTATGTTGTGTCTCAGGAGACAAAGCGGAAAGTCTTTTAGATATTCTTTTATCATCTAAAAAGCATTTTTTAAAAGATATAATTATTTTTGATGATGATTTTAATCGTGAAAATGAATTTTTAGATCTTGAAATTAATGTACATTATATTAGCCAGATATTTTTAGAAACTGAAATTAATTTAAGATCAAATAAATTAGATTTAAATAGTCTTGCTACTATTTGTTATACAAGTGGAACATCTGGAATACCTAAAGGAGTACAAATTACACACAAAAATTTTATTGCAAATATTTCCGCTTTTTTTAGAGGCCAAACTAAAAATGAAATGTATCGCGTTTCTGATTCTGAAGTGTATTTATCTTACTTACCTCTCGCGCATATAATGGAGCGTATAGTTGTTCATGTAATAACATCAGTTGGCGGATCAATAGGATTTTATAGAGGTAACCCTAAAAAAATTGAAAGTGATTATTTGATAGTTAGGCCTACATTTATAATAGCTGTACCTAGAGTACTTAATATTTTTAAACAAAAAATTGAGGAAGGTGTCGCAGAACGAGGAAAACTATCAAAGTTTATTTTTAATATAGCTTTGAAAATTAAAATGTGGTTACAGTGCAGAGGTTCAGTTAAATGTTGGCCACTCGATAGTCTTATTTTTAACAAAATTTCTAATAAATTTGGTGGCAGAATTAAGGCTTGTTTATGTGGCTCTGCTGCATTAAGTCATAACGTACTAACTTTTTTAAAAGCAACGATGTCGATGCGCATTTTTCAAGGTTATGGACAAACTGAGACAACAGGTGCTACTACATTATGTCCTTTAGACGGGGATAATTTTGATAATGTAGGTATTCCATATCCATCATGTAAGATTAAACTTTCTCCTGTAGATGGACATGATAAATATTCTGGAGAGTTACTTGTTAAAGGAGACAATGTTACAAAAGGATATTTTAAAAGGCCTGAATTGAATGCCGAACTTTTTACGGAAGATAATTGGCTCAAAACAGGTGACATAGCAAGATTTTACAATGGAGTTTTTAAAATTATTGGAAGAACAAAAGATCGGTTTAAAACTGGACATGGAGAATATATTGAACCTGAAAAAATTGAAACATTATTAACAGGTGGTTTAATACAAGACATTATAATTACTACATTAAAAGGGTATGATAAATTGTTGGCGTTAGTTGTGTGTGAAAAAGAAGGAATCCAGGAAAAAGAAGTTCTTGATTATTTAATTAAGAAAGGTAATAAACTAGTGGATGATAAAAAAATGAATAGGTATGAAATTCCTTCACATATAATTTTACTAAAGAAAGGATTTGATACATTTGATGGAGGAAAGTTATTATCACCGACTGCGAAAAAAATCAGAGTGAAAATTGAAAAATTTTTTTATGAAGATATAAAAAGAGCTCTGAGTAAAAAATAAAAATTATTATTAAAATATGTTTGTATTTGTTTTTAATAGCGAAAATTTTGCATGCGTCATTTTTTAAGAGTTGTAACAAAAGCTTTTTTTTTAGATAGTCAAATAAAAATATTATAAATTAATTGACTCCATTTAATCATTACATTATTGTAACTATTACAAAAGGTTAATGGGGTTGGCTACTATTGCGTATTACTAAAAGAGGAATTAATAGATTTTTAGGGTGCTATCTTTTTTTAATTAAGCAATTATTCAGATTTTTATTAAAAAAATTTGTTAATTTTTAAACAGCTTAAAAGAATATTCAATTTTTAATTTATAAATTTATTATGAGATCTTGTATTACTGCATGTCTATAAATTTAGTAAAATAAGTAGCTATTACTATAAAAAATTTTGTATGTAAATATTATCACAAAACCGATATTTTGTCCCTTTTATCCTTCGTTATAAAAAATCACAGTAACAAGTGTAGCGCTACAAAATCACAACTAGTACAGCTTTATTTACATGTATTTTAATATTAATTTTGCCTAACAACTATTTTTGTATTATAATTAAAGTAAATAACATTATTTTTACCCTCATTATTAAAATTTTTTATGCTATGAAAATCTACTTTGATTAAAAATTTAGCAAAGTGACTTATATGGTAAATATTTCATATTGCTATTAACTATATAAAAATACTTTTAATTTTTAAAAAAAATTACAAATTCTAGTTTTATCAAAACAATATATATTTCTTTTATTATATTTTTAGATTTAATTCTAAATTTGTATTGTACTTCTTTATTTTTCTATGAATCTCATCTTTTTGATTGGTACTTGTTTCTGATTCTAACAACAAGTTTCTCCTTTTTAAATATAAATTTCTAAAAATAGTCCTTAAAATGGATAACATAAAATTTAGTGAGGTTTTAAAATCATACGAGGAACAAAATGATGAAATAGATTATAAGTCTAAGAATAAGTCAGAGGAGGAACTTTCATTAATTGATAATGATGTCAAACGCACACCATTTATAGGACTAGATCCTAAAGAAAAAGTAAAAAAACAGTTTTTAGTAAAAATACTAAAAGATTTGCTAATAAGCATTCCCAATTTTTATTACCAGGGAATGAGTGAAATTTGTTCAATTTTTATTTTTTTCTATTTTTCAAAAGAATTTGATAAATTTCAAAATAAAGAAGAAGAAAGTTTTACTAAAAAGTATTCGGATGAAGAATATAAAAAATTTCGTAAATTTGTAAAAAAGAAATATGATAAAGTCAAGAATGTGTTAACAAATGTTATTAGTAGGAAATACGAACCACTTGTAAAAGACAATTTTAAATTGTATGAACATTACAATACAGTATTTTTAGCAATGATGAAACGAAGAAATATAAAAATAGATGAATCTTATTCATTTACTTATATGAATTCTGTCCTAACTTATTTCTGTAGACATGTAACAAGTATCGATGATTCTTATAAAATATTTGAAATTGTTTTATCGTGTCCTCCTACAGCTCCTTTCTTACTTTTAATTATCTATTTCGATAAGATCAGTAAAAAAAAGCCTATAACTGAAGTTGATATACATCTCTATGAATCTATTATTTTATTAGAAAAGGAATTTTTACTCGTTGAAGAAGGTCTTAAAAAAAATAAAAAATGTTTTTTAGCGAGAAACGCCGTCGTTCTTGGTGGCTTAATTGGATTTGTTGTGGCTGCTGCTGTGTATAAATATAATAAAAGGGCGGATGAATAAATAAAATTTTAAAAAATTGTTTACCAATATAAATTTATATATATTTTTTATTAAATTAGTTTGATAATAAAAATTGTTTGTATGGACTATTTTTAAAGTAACATAATATTAATGCTTTGTTTTTTTTAATTTACATTGTTAAAAGTTGCATAAATAATAAAAAGTTGATTTTACAAATATTTTGTTCATTTTTGCAACAAATATAAAATCAAATTAAAAAATAAGCTGCTGTGTTATGTATAATTTTATAGCAAAATGATAAAGTTTATATATCATAGTTCAGAGTTTTAATAATCCAAAGTTTATCTCAAATAAGCCTGTTTTTAATGTACAAATTATTCCAAAAAATGTGTATTTGTCAAAATTTATAGAATTAATCTATTTTATGTATCAATATAAATATGACAAAATTGACATGTAAAGCTAAAAGAAATCATTTGACTTATTTTCTAAAAATAATTGTTAATTGTAGGTTTTGGAGAATGTACTAATTTAAATATGTCTTATACTAACTCTTTTGGATTTAAATTACGATATATTTGTAACCACAAAATAAATTAAATTAATCTATCATATTTTAATTATTTACGAGAAATTAAAAAGTATTTAAAACATAACTAACCTCGAATAAATTAAAAGTTAAAGAAAATATTTAGCTATTTAATTCGTTTCTTTTAACTTTGTTAACAATTAAATTTAGTGAAAAACAGAAATCAAATTAAAATTTTCTTTAGATCTTTTTACTTTTAATAAGTTTTTATAATAAACACACATGTTTGTTCTAAAAATTTATCAAACTAATATAAATACCCATTGATTTCTATTAACATAAAATATAATTTGAACTTTTGGACATGTAATGTTTTAAGTATAAAATTTCATAATTCTTTATGTTAAAAATAATTGATTTTTGATGTTATAATAGAAGTTGATGTTTGATTTGGTTGGCAATTAAAAATATTATTTAGCGTTTTCTATAATATTTAATAATTCTTGGAAATAATTTAATATTATATAAGAATTATCTGTGCATCAGATTATCAATAAAGCAAATTGTACACATTTTTGTATTTTATTTATATATTTTTTGATTCTTAAATTCGTTCAGAAATCTTATATTTATGCTTTTTTATTTTTTAAATATTTTCCCCAGAAAATGAAGATTTTAATAACAGGAACACCAGGAGCTGGAAAAACAACTTTATCTAAAGAGATACACGAATTATACAAAATTCCTTACATAGAAGTTAGTAACTACATTATACAAAATAATTTATACAAAGGCAAATCAAAAAAATTTGATTCATCGCTATTCGATGATAATGTAGTTAGGGAACACTTTAAGAACTATTTGAAAGATAAAAATAGTTTTATTATTGATACACATTCTCCTTCGGTTTTTGATTTTATCAATTTTGATTTGTCGTATGTTCTTAAAGTCTCTACCGATGTGTTATATACAAGGTTAAGGCAAAGAGGGTACAAAAACAGTAAAATTAAAGAAAACATTTCCTGTGAAATCTTTGAGGTTATTGAAGATGATTTAAATGGCATGAAAATACCATTTTACCTTGTTGGAGATGAGGAAGGGTATTTAACCAAAGATGATGTAATAAGTCAAATAGGAAAAAATATTCTAAATAAACATATTTAATTTACTATTTTTAAACTTCTAAAAACATTGTGTATAATTTCTGTGGCATTAATTTTAGATTTATGCAATTTTGTTATAAGCATAAAAAGTAAAAATTATATTAGATGCCATGGTAAGAGGAACAGTAAATTTTAGATAAAATATTTTTAAAATAGTAATTTGAAGCACGTTTACATTTATAAAATTAAATGATATGTTTTACATTTGATTACTAAAATTATAACGAATTAAACTGACAACAAATAAAAATATTGCATAAAATTTTTGTATTTTTAATAATGCATTTGTTTAAAAAAGATTTACACCAATATTGCAGTGTAGATCTTAAAAATTGTAGTTTTAAAGTATCAAGCTTTTTTACTTTTTTAAAATTTTTTTAGTTATTTTTTGAAATCTATTTTTGACATTAAAAATGATATTTAAAACAAAATTTTAGCAACATTTTGTCAAAATTAATATTGATTGGCTTTATAAAATGATGTGTTGGTGTTGTTATTACACCAACGGGCCGAACAAATTAATTTTTATTTTTGAAACAAATTGTATTTAAAACAAAAAACTCTACAAAAATATGGTGTATAAGGTTTTATTTACAGTAATAGGATTAATATGTGGTATACTTACAATAATTAAACGATACAAGTATTTTAAGATAAAAAAATTGGCCTTAACTTACTTCGGGAAACAAGACTTGCAATGGAAACCTAAAAGTCGGTCAGAAATTATTAACGATTTAAAAAATACAAACTTTGACATATTGATTATTGGTGGCGGTTCAACGGGAATGGGATGTGCAATCGAAGCAGCTACACGAGGTATAAGTGTTGGCCTGATAGAAGCACATGATTTTGGTTCGGGCACGAGTTCAAAATCTACAAAACTTTTTCATGGCGGTGTACGCTACCTTGAAAAAGCTGTTAATGATTTAGATAGATCTCAGTTTGACTTGGTATCTGAAGCATTAAGTGAACGAAAAATTGTTATGAATATGTGTCCTTTTCTAGTAAGGTCGATGGAAATATTATTTCCGGTTTATAAAAGGCTTTTAATTCCTTACTACTATATTGGCCTTAAATTTTATGATTGGATTTCTGGGCAACGGTCCCTTGGGCGAAGTAAATTTTTGTCGCGGCAACAAACTATTACAAAATTTCCTAATGTGAGAAAAATCGACCTTGTAGGATCCGTTTCGTATCGTGATGGCCAATTTTATGATGCTAAATACAATGTTCTATTGGGTGTCACAGCTACCTACTATGGAGCTGTTGTATTAAATCATGCAAAATTCTTGTCAGTAACAAAAGATGGCGATAAAATTAATGGAATTAAATGTCAAGATTCAATAAATAATGAAAAATTTTTAATTAGGTGTAAAGTTTTAATAAATACTTCTGGCCCTTTTGCTGACGAGGTTCGAAATACATCAATTGAAAACTGTCAACCAATACTCCAACATAGTTATGGTACACATATTATAGTTCCCGCAATATTTTCGCCTAAAAATATGGGCTTTGTTGATCCAAGCACGAGTGATGGAAGAATCGCATTTTTTATGAATTTTAAAGGTAAAACATTGATTGGAGGAACAGATGTTAAGTGTAAAGTTGAAGATTTAATAAAACCGACTGAAGAAGATCTAAACTTTCTTATTCACGAGGCCAATTATTTTACAGATCACAATTTAAAATTAACAAAAAAAGATGTTTTGTCTGTTTGGACAGGTATTAGACCGTTAGTCAAGGATTTATCGAAAAGTTCAACAGAAAAGATATGTAGAAAACATACTATAAGAATAGATAAAGACAATATGGTAACTGTAACAGGTGGTAAGTGGACAATTTTTCGACTTATGGGAGAACAGACAATAAATCAAATTATAAAAGTTTTTAATATAAAGTCTAATAGACCAAGTATAACACAATATCTTCCTGTTTTGGGATCACAGGGATATACTAAAGCTACAGAATTTGATTTGGCACTTACTTTAAATATTCCAGAAGATATAGCTAAGCATTTAGCTACAACTTATGGTACCAAAGCTTACAATTTCTCTGAATACTTTAATGGGTCATACACCAGACTTACAGATGGTTATCCTTATACAAAAGAAGAAATAGTATATTGTATCGAACATGAATTGGCTTATCGCATCAGTGATATATTATTTAATAGGATGATGATAGGATACATTGACGTCAGAAGAGCATTTGATTTAATTGGTATAGTAGCTGAAGTAATGAAAGACTATTACGGATGGGATCAGCAAAGATATAATGAAGAAACAAAATTATGCATGGAAATGATGGAAACTTGTGGTTATAGTTTATTAAAAAATTAAATTTATTTATATTTTGTAGTGACTTTAATATATTAAATACTTAAATTTAAATTACATATAAAAACTAAGATCATGAAGTATAACAACATCTTAACATTATTTATTGCAGCGAATAAAGTTATACAGTAAAAGTTTAAACAATTTTATAAAAAAAAATTGACAATTATGTGTCATTTTATTTTTTTTAGTGCTCTTCCCAATATTAATCCTTTTAAAATTGTTTTAAATGATGGTATGCTTTCTTTAAGCAATAAAGATAAACCGACCACTTCTAATATAAACCCTAGAAACACAAATCCATATAATATAAACATAAATCCTAAAATAAATAGAACTGTACCTTGTAATTTATCTATATGAAGTAGATTAAATAAGCGTGATCTTGTTAGAATGAGTATTCCAATGGATACTAAAATATTCCCACAAATCATCAAAGCTTTATCAGCTAGCATAATAAATCCTAACAAAAACACTGATATACCAATTAATATAACAATAACACCCGTTTCTCTTAGGTTCATTGAGGGTAATTTATGTCAACAATCTTTGCTTCAAATAAATATTTTTGACACTGAAGTCTTTTACTAAAAAATTATAAATTTAAAATATAACTAACTTTTAATTTATCATTTCTTTTTACTTTGTTTGTAAATACCAACAATTATTGCATGATCTTTTTCAAATGGCTCTAATGATACTTGCTCTTTAGGCTTAATTTCATTTTTACGTAAAATATTTACTTCATCGGCAAAAACGGTCTCAGCAGGAAGAGCTGAATTAATGCAATTAGCCTTAATTGACATAACAACCCCACCATTATCTTTTAAAAAATATTCGCAATTAATACAAACAATTCTTGATTGATCTGGTTGTGAGACATCAGCAAAGACAGTATCTACAGACCCAACAAGCATTCTATATTTGTAAGGATGTCTTGCATCTTCTATTATCGGTACAATATTTGTACGCTTCATAGCCAAATTAATTAGATCTCGACCAGATCTCTGACTAAATTCAACAGCATAAACAATACCTGTTTCTCCAACAATATCTGACACATGTGAGACGGTAGTTCCTGAACTAGCACCCAAATATAAAACCTTTGTTCCTTTTTGAATGTGAATGTTTTCCAGCCCACATATAATACCCGCAGCAAGCTTACTCCTATACGCGTTCCACACTCGATATTCAATTTTTTGACTGTTATCAAGGGACACAGATATTCTTTTTTCGTTATACACAGATGTTCCTGGTACCATATTTTGAGTTAAAAGTAGATCATCTTTTCCTCTACACACAAAAATATCTTTGTGAATCTTGTGGGGCTGTACAATAACTTGTGAACTCATTTTAGACTTAACTGTTCCTCTTTTTTTGTTAATTTGCCTTCCTCGTGATTCATTCTTTGTGTCGTTGTTACGTTTTTTTGATCCAAATTTATGCGCCATTTATGGGGAAAAATATTTAAAATTTTGTTAAAAAAATTTCTTTTTTAAATCATCATGTAATTTTCGAAGTCGTAATATTCCGTTGTGTGCCCTACCTTGTAAATGTCTAATGTATTTTTCACTATAAAAGTTTTTTATAATCGGAATATTACAAGTTGTACATTTTTCTACGCCCTCAGTGTTATTCTTAAAATATGCTTGTTTCACATTTTCGTAGTCTTTTATTTCATTTTCTAATAACCTAAATTTTTCATACATCTGAATTATATTTTCATCAGTAGTATTACTTTCTATTTCGTCTAATTTTATTTCTAAATTGTGTTCTTTTTTTCGTATATTTTTGTCATTTATAATAATTTCTTTGTTAGGTTTATTACTAATCTGATTTAATAAATTTGATATTAATTTAAACAACTCTTTTTCATACAATACTTTACTTGGATGTTCTATTTTCCCATGAATTTTATATTTACAAGAACCTAATGATATTTTGGTATTTTTTAGTATCTCGTAAGGACAACCACCTGCAATATAATATATGCAATAATCTTCATTGTTAACAATATTTCTATTTAAACCTAATAAATTATCTAGCAGTTTTTTTGCTCTGTCTGTCATAAAGGCCTATAAAATATTTTTTTATAACCGTTCATGTTAGATAACTCAATTTGGAAAAATATTGGAGAAAAGAAATTTTGTTCTTTTAAGAAAAAAACAGATACGGAATTTTTATGTAAAAATAAAAATAATTTAACTGGTCTTTGTAATGCATTTTCATGTCCATTGGCTAATACTAAATATGCTACTGTACGGGCTATTAATGAAGAGTTGTATCTTTTTATTAAGGAACCCGAGAGAATAAATACACCAAATGAACAATACGAAAAAATTAAGCTTAGCAAACACTATGAGGAAGCTCTTAAACAAATTGATAAAGAATTAGAGCATTGGGATAAACAGATTATACATAAGTGTAAGCAGAAACACACAAAATTAGTAGAATACACAGAGAGACTAGAATATTTTAAAGAACATGGTCGTACAGAATACATGAAAAGAACAAAGAGAAAGGTCACAAGAGCTGAAAAATTAGCAGCATTGGCAAATTTGGAAGATTTGGATTTTGAAAAGCATATTGGTGAAGAATTACTACTTAGACTTGAAAGTGGTGTGTATGGCGAAGAACTTAAAGATAAATATCATGCAGCACATGAAAAGTTTATAGAAGACAAACAAAATGCAAACAAAAAAAAAATTTATGTCGCACATTATGAAAATGATGAGGAAGATGAAGCTCGAATTGAGGAGGATGTTGCTGAACCAGAGGTCAAAAATAAAAAAAAGTCAAAAAAAGAAAAACTTACATGGTAGCGTAGTGAATTTAATAAATTTGTTTTTTTTACTTTTGTTTTTGCAATCAACACTTTTTGTTTTTCATAACATAATTGAATATTTAGTCGCGCACTTATTTTTTGTATGAAAAAAATTGATGTTAAAACTTAATATGACTGAAATAGAACATAACTCATGTATATTTCTAGGCCAAATTTAAATTAATAATACTCTAAAAATTTAATATTGATTTGTCTCTAAAAATTATCTTACAATCTTTAAAACTTTTCTTTAATTCAAAAAGTGCATCTTGTGGCAGTTCAGAATCAATTAAATTTAAATACTCAATTTTGTGTCCGAAAAAAGAACACATTCTTTTATAACTTACATCTGTAAACACACAACCATTAAAACTTAACTCTTTTACACTACTGAATTTTTTGACAATAAGATTCATAATATCACTGGAAATAGTGTTATTAAATATTTCAAGCTTTTTAATATTTTTGAATGTATAATCTTTTTGTAAAATTTTTTTATTAAAAAGTATAAGGTGTTCTATATCTTCCATACACCAAAATTCATCATAAGATGTTTTCAAATACGAATAAACTGTCTTAGAGAATGAATAAAACATATAAATAGAGTTATATTTATAACTTAAAATATTTAGAGATGTAAAATTATTCAAATTTTCTAATTTTATATTTGTGTCTACTAAAGTTAATTTTTTTAGACTTAATTTTTCTAGTAATAGGTTAATTTTACTGTTGATTAAAAAATCTGTACGTTTTTCTTCCATATCATAAAAAGAAAGATTACTGTACGTTAAATCATCGCTTTCAGATGTATATGCTTTATAACTATCTGCTGGTTTGTGTTGGTGGTATATCAATACATTTATAAGTGTCAAGCTTTCTAAATTACATATATTTAATATTTTAATAAATGTTTTTAAATCTATTTTACAGTTTAGCAGTCTAAGTTCTTTGACACTAAAATCAAAGGACATTTTTATAGTTTCAACTTGGTTCAATTCTAGTGATAACAGTTTTCTATTTTTAAAGTATCCTAAATCTACTACATTGGTGAATTTAAATATTACACTCTTAAGATTACAATAAAAGTCTAAATTTTCATCAAATTGAATCTTCTCAACGTGTTTTATTGAAGATCTTAAAAATTTTTTAGAACGTCTTAACCTGCTACACTGGTGTAAAAATATAATTCTTTTATCATATTTTGACAATATGTAAAGTAGATTTGAATTGAGTGCATAAGGTGTTTCAGTATTAGTTTTTTTTATTTTTTGTTCTATATTTGGATCTTGATTTTTTCTCTTTTCATTTAATTTTTGCATAAGGACTTTTAAAAAGAATTTTATTTAATGATATGAAACATATGGCTGCTAATTGCAAAAAAATACACTCGTACGATTATATACACGACATAACGAAAAGTTAAGAAGCATACTGTTGTTAGAATTTTGATGTGCGGGTGATGCTTTAAAAAAAGAAATAGTGTTTGTATAAGTCATGTTTGTATATTTAAGTTAAATGGTTTTAGCCTCGTGAAACGTTACATATTATATTTGTTTCATCTGTTAGTTTGAGCCTGATAATTAAATAATTTCGAAATTTTGAAAGATACACATTCATTTACAGCTTTGATTTAATTCTACAAAATAGAAATTAAGCAAATATTACATAGAAAAGAACATATGTAATGAAAGTAAAAATGAATATTTAAAGAAGAATAAAATTTATTATAACAAAATTAATAAATTTGCATATAACAAATTAGGAAGGTAATATAAACAAAATAATAATATTCTGCAAATATAATTTTAAAAAGAGAACAAAAAAGAACCACAAGTACAGTCTATTAGCCAACCACTATATATTATTCTGAGTACACGAATGATTAATCCCACTTTTATACCAAAATTGGTATAAATCGAAAAAATATTCTAATTTTTAACCCTTATTTTTTTAAAAAATAATAAAGGTTGAGTTTTAAAAATGGGCAAAATTCGACTAGCTAAAGTCTGTTGCATAATCTTGCAAGCCCTTTATTTTTATCAAAAACTTTACGTAAACTGCGCTAACATACCAATTCGTTGACATTAATCCACTCAATTTTTTATTTAAACAGGAATTTAGTTACTCATTAACTCTATTACTAGATATAATGTATTGTTTTTATAAAATAAGAATTTTTTTAAAAAAAGTGATGTACAATCTTACGCCAGTTTAATTTTAATAATATTTAATAACTCGTTAAGCCATAATTGTTTTCAATTACTAGTTTAATTTTGTTTTCTATAAAAAATAATCTTTTTACAGAAATCCGGGCCAAAATTATGCCAATTTTCAGAAATTGTGACTTTTAATTTACTTACACTATCATAGGTTTTACCTTAGAATAAATTTGCCTAGAAAGCTCTCCCAAAGATTTTTTATAGGATTAAGATCAGGAGAATATGCTAGCTAAAATATTGTCTCGACAATTTTGCAAGCTAGCAAATTTTTTGTAGATATTGAAATTGTGTTGTTGTGTTGTTCTGTTGAAATTATTTTATGTATTTTTGTTCATCAATAAATGGAAGTAAATATTTAATCAGTATATCTTGACATTTTAAACTATCTATACTTTTTGAAATAAAAACACTTGTTGAATTTCAAAATAATTAAAAAAACCCCAAACCACGACTGAAGGTCTTATGGCTCTGCAAGAATACACAACTTTTTTTGTTTTAATACTTGTTCAATACTAGTTATAACCATCTGGACTATCAAGATTTGGCTTTTTCTTTATCCGAAAATATTTCTTCTTTACATCTGGTTCCGAAATTTGTATATTTATCTGAAAATAATATTTTGTTTTTTAAGTGTCCAAAATTTAAAGCAAATTTTCGACTATTTTTTCCTTTTTAGTTTACTGTCTCTTGCTAAAGTTCTTGTTATGGTGGATTTATGCACATTTAAATCTAAAGCATGCTTCAAATTATTTGCCGTTATATTTTTACCACTAGCAAAATAAATTAGTTTTGATCGCGCCCTAAAAGACCTTTTTGGATAACCAGGCGACTTTTTCTTACCAAAATTTGAATATTCTTTTATGTATTTAGCAATAACAGCGCATGATCTGCTTTTCTCTCTGCTAATTTCAAAAATTGACTTTTTTGGCTTATTCAGCAAAATAATAACAGCTTTTTCAGAATCATCAAGGTAAGGCTTTTTTTACTGTACAAGAAAGGAAGAGAATCTTTGCATATGGACCAGAGAGATTTGGGAGTGTAATCCTTATTAAATCGGTACTGTGAGATTCCTACTTATCAAAACTCCCGCATTTTTAAACTTGCCGGCGTAGCAAGCTCTGCTGTATACATTGGATTTTGTCTCTGGGAGAACATGTTACCAGTTATATCCATACCTTGTCGAGAATAATTTACAGCAAATGTAATTGTCGGACATGTTTTGAATTACCCGAGAAGAGATGTCATAGTACAAGCATCAAAGGCACCTTCTACCATTTGTATTTTTATGCGCATCTCCTTACATCGCCACATCTCTAGTTCAGCATTTTTATAAACTGCGTTGACCACTCTTCTCCCACCAGTTTCGGCCAGTGTGCTACAAAATCCTGTATAAAGGAAAGGTTTTCTACTCATTAGGGGCTAACAAAATAATTCATTTAAAAACATTTTTTCTGCCAAAAAGTTTATTAAAAATTTAACTGTAGTAAGATTATGCAATACTTTTTTTAAAAAATATCAATTTTATAAAAGCAATATATTATATAACGTAATAGAAAAAACGAGTAGTTAACCTCTAGTTCAAATAAAAAATTGAATGGAAACATGTCAATAATCTTTTACAATAGTGCATTTTACGTAGAGTTTTTGATAAAAATAGAGGGTTCGCAAGATTATGCAACGGACTGTATTATGAATTGCTCCTTTAATGTACAGAATTAAGAGAAGAGGTTTAAGAAAAGAAGCTTGAACGTGGTATGGTAGCCGCTTGTAAAATCAAAGCAACTACTGAAGTTATTATTGACAAAGTTAAATTTTTCACAAATTCAATAAAGAGCATATTTATAAGGAAAATTTACAAGAAAAAAATATATTTTTAAATTCGAGACCGCTTTTGTGGTATCAAATGCTCAGCCACCATTATTCTCCAAATTTAAAAAAAGTAAAATTCCTTATATGATAAATTGCAATAATCACACATCGAAATATTAGTAAACACATAGGACACAAATTAATATGTGTTCAAAGTAATTCTATCACCCAAATCTTCTTTATGTGTGGGTTATAACATTATAGCAGCGGTCTACTGGTTACTATAGGCTGATCTTAAATTAGATTTCAAAAAATTGTGTTATAGTAGAAATTAAATTAATAAATATGTTATCGTGATTGGCAACAATATAGAACATTAAATTAAACCTAGTTACGTCCAGAAACCTAAAAATGGATATGAAAGTTTAGCAAAACATTAAAAAGGTCTTATTAATTATTGTTAGTATGGCAAATAAAATTAATTTTAGATAAGGAAATACCAAAAATTACAAGCACATCGATTATTACAAAGGAAAATTTAATAGATGCTTTAAAACGTTAAATTTTACTTTTATAAAACATTAATGTTAGATATACTAAATAAATCAAAAAAATAAAAATATAATTTTAGGTTTATTAGATTTACAAATATTTGATTAGTACTTAAGGAAAATGTTAATTAATTAAAGAAATGAGAAAAATTAAATTAAAAATAATTTAGTTTACAAAATTTGTTAACGGCAACAAACGCGTAAATAAGTGCACAAGTACAAAAATGTTATCTTTTTCAAAAGTCATCTATGAACAAAAATATGAAAATATTGTTATTTTATTAATTATAATTTGTTATTTTTTTATTTATTAACACTAATGTATATTTTTTCATTATAGAAATTAATTAAATTTTGATTTTTAAATAAAAATTTATTTTTACAATTACAAAATCATATTGTATTTCATAAACTAAGAGAATGTTTTTTAATTTCTGTAAATAACTAATTAAGCAAATTAAAATAAATAAAAAGTACTTAAATCTTATATACGCCAATATGCAATATAAAACAAATTCGAGCTTATTTGTAATATTTTAAATTAATTAAACCTTTTTAATTTGAAATATAAAAGTATAAAATTTTAGATTCCCCAAAATGATATTTTTTTTTGTATTTAGAATTTTGACATCGAGGTTTTCGAATATGGAAGTTGAAGAAAATAATCAGCCTGAACCATATAACTTTTATTTTACCAATGATATTTTTACTACGGGAGCTTACGGAAGCAAATATTCTTATTACGACAATAAACAGATGATGAATGATGATATAATTAAAAAACCAGAATCGATGTTTGTAAAAGAAAATTTTTTTTTAGATAGTAATCTTGAGAAAGAATTAGTGACAAATTTTTCAGAACTAATAGCTAATATGTCACACAAGAAAAATACTCTTCCAAATACTCAAAATTCATTGAAAGTTGTAAATTGCGGTAAATTATATTCTGAAAATTGTAGGCTAAATAATTTTGATGCAATAGTAAATTCTTTAGATGAAAATAACACATCGGGTAAAAAACGATTATTTGGTATCAATGGATGTTTTGATCACTCTACCGCGAATAAATATTTGCTACTTAATACTTTAAAAAAGGTACACGTAAAAGATAATGCAACGGCTTTTGATCATAATAAAATTCTATGTGAAGAAGAAAATTTAAATTTTACTAAAGAGCGATATGCTATACAACAGAATAGCAGTAATAAAAAAGAACACTTCAGAGAAAATGTGAAAATTGATGATGCTTCGCACGAGTTTTTAAAAGAAAATTCTGATTGTTACAATTTAAGAGATAGTTCTGAATGTACATCTTCCCAAGAATTTAATTCTTTAGATAATATCGTAAATGGAAGAGAAAACAGCTTTTTGACTTTTGAAAGATTTAATGGACCTTTAGAACCCCATGTTTCTACAGTTGAAAAATGTACTGATAAACAGTTAAATACAGCTTGTAAAAATTTAAATTATGACGAGTGCCAGGATTTAAATTCAATAAGTAATGATTCAGTTTGTAATAGAAAAGGCTTGTTATTTTGTCAATTAGAAACTGACTTCTTAAATATACTGGAAATCTATCAAAAAAAATTTCATGAAATATTTCAGGTAAAATTTTTATTTAATAATTATAGCGGATTTTGTTTGAAAGGATCCAATATTTCTAGAAATAAAGGTTATGCTAGACTTAAAGGTAGATTTTGTTATCATTATAAGATAATTAAGCGTTACATTTATGTAACTTTACAAAATGATATTTTAAGTATTAAAAATCTCAATTTGGCACCTTGTTGCAATAATTGTATTCTTAAATCTTTAGTATTTGTACAAGATGTGTTTCTATATATTATTGACATCAAGAATTTTTTCAATTTATCGAATGTTGGTTATTCAGAGCTTATTTTTAATGTTAAGCTGGCTAAAAGTAATTTAAATCATATTTTTTCAAAAATAGGGTTTTCCAATATTTTAAAAAATATAAAACGAATATTATTTCATAAAGATTTTGCACCTAGGTTATCATCTCTTGGAGCTTTTGATATGATAAAAAAATTTGAGGCTAATTATAAATCTGCTATAAGCCAAATTCGTGCCTATGTCGGTCAGATTGAGGAATTGTTTCTATTTTATGAAAGTATTGATTTTGGAACAACCAGAAAATAAATTAGTTCCGACGCAACTAAAAATTAATTTTTTTTTTCTCGTAAAATGCTTATAAAAACTTTAAAAAACTATTTCATGAAATTATAGTATTTTGTATTGTAAAAGCAAAAAAAAAAATGTTTTTTATAAAATACATCATTTTTTATGCCATTATTTGTCAAAAACAAAATAAAATCATTTTAAACTAGTAATTGCTCTAATTTTATACATTTTTAACCTATTGCATGTTTTTTATTATTTATTTTACATATAATATTTTTTTTACGTTGTACAAATTTTTAAATATTTTAAATTTATGTAATTTTCTATAAATTTACATTGTAACTAGTTTCATGTTGTAATTTGAAGTAACAAATTCGATATAACACTAAATGGTGTAAATTTTAATAAAACAAAAATAAGTATTTTTTGTGTTTTAATAAAATTTTAAAATAATTATTGTTATGCACATCACAACCAATAATAATTACAAAAATTTGATGTAAGCACCTTTCCTTATTCTATCACTATTTTTATTGATCTAAATTATATTCGTAGTGATAACTACTGCCATTGGTACAAATTAAGGAGAGAAAAAATATATAAAAGAAATTTTCAGATAAATTATGGTTTTCAATCAACAACAGTATTTCCCACACCTCAGCCTGTTTACTGCTTTTTACAGAACAAGCGTTGTTTAGACCTAGGCTCCATCAATTATGCTTTTAAGACTTAGATGTATATAGAAAAAATTAAAATACAAACTTAGGTTTTTTATAACGTTGCATATAGTTTGATTATTTTTTGATATAAATCTTAAACTCATTAAAAATAATCACAAAAAGAATGTAAATGTGGTTAAAAATAATTTTGCAATTTTTTAGTCATATAAAACCAAATTGACTATTTGTTAAGTTTTAAAAAATGGTATGATTATTTTTAACTAATTTTAAATAGCTTTTATTATAATCATTTCTAACTTTTCATACTTTATTTAATCATATTTTGTTTATGCTATTCTTCAAATACCCCTATGATCATTGTTACAGACAAAATGGAAATAGTAAGTGAAAATTACTTAATTTTATTTAACAAATGGTACAAATCTTATATTAATGTCAATATTTGCTCCTCGCTATTTTTATGGTCAAATTATTTTAATTTTATGTGTTGCTATTGTATTTCTTACGTCTGTATGTAGACCCGTAGCCAAATGGTCGAATACTTATTTTATTATTTTTAAATGTAAGTGAATTTAATAATTTAGGTTTATATATCTTTTCAAAGATTCTACTTGTTTTAGGACTATTTATAATTATTGATAATGTATTTGTAATGAGGAAAGGATATAGAAATTGTAGAGGGTGTGTTGTTGTGACTAGTAATAGTATAATTTTATGTGGATTATTATTGGGAATCTATTCATTAATAAGTACTTACATGATATTCTGTTGTATCCCAGTAAAAGAAGAATAAATTGATATTGTAAATTTACTATATTTATTTAATATAATTGTTTTTAAAATCTTACTTTAAATTTCCTTTATATTATTTTTATGTAAAAATAAATGTTTTTAATTTATTAAATTCATCAACAAAGGCGACTTAAATCAGGTAACGAATGAAATTCATAAGGTGATATAGTCAATTGTTGTTAAAGTTTAAAATATTTGATCTAATACAATTTAGAAATTACAGCTTAACTAATTTGTAGAAAAAAATTTAGTTTGTTAATAAATTTAAATTTGTAATACATTAGAAAAATGCATAAATTAATATACAAAAATAACTTAAAGGTTTGATAGAGAAAAAAGTTCTTTAGAATACAAAAAAAATATTTAGATATTTAGATTCAAACTTTTTATATATATTGTCGATTACAAGACAAGAGCTTTTTTATCTTAAATAGTTTCATAGCCTTTACTGTATATTAGCAAATACAAAAAATGTGAAATAAGCTGTTATTAAATTTTTTTGATTAATTTAATTATAAAAAGATGTTCAAATTTGTAGACAAAGTAATGGAATGTTATAAAAAGACCGTTAAATCTGGACATTATAGATTAATAATTTTAATAACATTATACGAGAAAAAAAATCCAATAAGTATAAAATGTGAACAGAATTAAACACCTGCAAACAAATTATTTATAATTGTTCGAAAAGTTAACATCGTACTGAACACCACGTTTACATAATTTAATAACGATTTAAAAACAACAACACAATAATAACATTCTATTCAAAAAAACTTAAAAAGTCAAATGTAATGATTCTTAAAAATAAATTTATTAGAATAAGTCTCCGAAATCTAATTCTATTTCTTCAGCAGGTTCCTCTTCAGCTGGTTTAGTTACCTCTTCTTCCTTTTCATCAGTCTTATTAGACGCAACCGGTGCAGAACTTGTACTTGAAGTTGAAGATAACATAGTCTTCATCTGAATGACATCACATTCGAATAATTCTGCTAGTTTCATCTGAGCACTAACACCCAATGCTTTAAGAACTGCTACTATCTTATCTTTAGTAACATCTTGGTTATTACCATATATAAACAATGCAGCGTATGAATATAACTTATTGTCATTTTGTGTACTTGTAGCATTTAACATTATCGAGCCAGAAAGTACCCCTCAAAAAAAATTTATTTAAATATTTTTTTAGAAAAAAAGTGATTGTGGGTTTTAAAATAATTCTAAACCTGCACTATTAAAAAAAGAATAAAATCACTTATAAAAATCTTATTACTTCAAAAATTATTAAAATTAGTAGTAAACAAAATATTGTGTATTAAATTCAACTTTTTTCTAATTTAAGTAGTTGTCTAGCCTCTTCCATTTGATCATCAATTATTTCTTTTTGTAAATCAATTTTAAGAACAGCTTCATTATCTAATTTCTCATTAACAGCGGTAAAAACCTTGTCTCTTAAAAGCTTCTGTTTATTAATAAGCTTTAGCCTAAAAATATTAAGAATAATATCCTCCATTCCATCCAATTCAATGTGATTTTTAAAAACTTCTAAAATGGTGTTAAGCGCCGTAATATTGTATCTACGCTTGTGTACATAGCTAGTATCAAATCCTAGATCTTTTAAATCTGCAGCTTTAGCACGTAATTCTAAAGTTCCGCTTTGATTTACAATTTCATGTTTACCGATATCGTGTTCTATATTATTTTTATTTAAAATCTCGGTACCATTCATTATATTTTCATTAATACCATTTCTTATTATAAAATTTATAATAGTAGTTCTTTCATTTGCAAATACAGTTTGATCGACAATACATGGAACAAAACTGGGTTGGATTTTTTGTAAAGCATCTAGTTTATCTTTTATTTTTGGGTTCTTAAAAGAATTGTCTGCATAATTTCGCAAAAAAGCATAAGGATTTTCATTGTTCACAAATTCAAAAAAATCAGTAGAATCTTCCATAGGGGTAAAAAAATAAATAGAATTCCTTTATAAATAGATGTTAGTTTTTTTGTGATTTAAATGGAAATAATTTTATTTGTTGTATTTTTGACAAGTAAAAGTTTAATATACTACAACACAAAAATTTAATTGTTTAATGCTTAACATCAGATTTAACTGTTTTTGTTAATTAAAGGAATCTTCAACCTAAAAGATTGTAAAACATTAAGATTAAGTAAAGGTTATTTAAGCAATTTTTAAGTCTTTAAAAATTAATTAAAACGAAATATATTTTTTTAACTTTAAAGTTCATTTTCATCATAATCATACTCTATAAAAATATTTTCGGCTTCATCAATTCGTTCTTTATTTGCATTCCAGTCATCGTTTCCTATTTCTATCATTTTTTCTGCGACTTTTGTTAATGAATGCTCTAACCCGTTATATTTTACACAATTATTTTTCATAAGTTCAAGATCGTCTAAAAAATCTTTAAAAAGAGTATATTTGTTATGTCGTACTTTTGTTTTAATAGTAGTAAGGTCAATAGGATTATCTACTATAGTAAGATAATTAGGAAATCTTTTTATTGACACTGGTCTGTGAAATGCTAAAGAATATGGAAGATTAAAACACTTATTTAAAATGTTAAACATTATGTCATGAAATATAGACTTGGCCTTTCTTCTTTCAAAATCAATCTTCTTTTTTGTCGGCTTTTTAGATTGTGTAAAATTAGGACATGTTTTGTTCGTTTTCATATGACCTGTTTGTCCACAATTTCCACATTTTAGGAATGATTTTTTCTCGTCATATTGTATTGTTTTTCTAGATTTCAAATATAATTTTATAACTTTAGGATTTGTAATGCGCTCTATTTCTACTTTTTCTCCAAATTCATCTACAAAAGTTCGTTTTATTACTAGCAATCCACCTTCTTCATTTTTTTCTGTTATTTTTTGCTCTGATTTAGGTGTGTCTTCTTGAAGATAAAAAGGCTCACAAGGAATTTCTTTTGAACTACTTAATGAAGATAACTGACTAGACCATATTTTATTTATCTCAGATTTATATTTTGCTTGATGCTCGCTAATAATCTTCCTATTTTCATTTTCATTACCTTTAATTAATTTTATTTTTCTAAAACTAAATCCTTCACCAATGCCCGTAGGATCAGCAGGACCAACCAGTTCAAGTAGTCCCTTACCGTTCGCAGCATTTATAAAATTTTTAGTTAATTGCCAAGGAATAATAAAAAGACTATCATCTTCCTCATCTTGACTATCTACAACACATTTATAACCAGAGTCTTCAAGCCTTCTTTCAGAGGCAAGCATACTTTCATATTGACAAATGTTTTCAGGTGTAATTAATTTTCGTAAATCTTCTTCTGTTAGAACAGATGATGTAGGTTTTAATATCCATATGTTTTCTTTACCTTTTTTAACACAATCTGCGTACTCTTTAAGCCATTTCCGTTTACTGCCTTCACTAAAATATGGAAATAGTTGATCTAATTGTGACATTTTAAATTCTCTAAATCCTTTATCTTTACATGTAAATAATCTATAAGCAGCTACTTTAAGACGATTTTTACAAAAAATATTGAGTTTTCTAGAATGCGGTGCGTAAATTTCGTCAACAGGAAATTCTTGACCAACACAAAATATACTAGAAATTGGCCTAGGATAAATTTTCGAAATACCGTCTACTGTTTCTAAAATACACAAAAAATCATCATTTTGATGACTAAAAATAGGAGCGGTGAAGAGATTATTTGTTAAAGATTGTAACGTTGTGCCTTGTTTTACATCTCCGAAGCTAAAAAATGGCGAAGGATCTTCGGGATCCAAAATAACCAGATTTGGTGCATCTGTCTCATAGTCGTCCCTTAAAGACGTTTTTCTATAGTAAGTATTAATTAGACTCACCATTCCACAATTTACAACAAATGGAGGAAATTCTTCCGAGTACTCAAAAAGTACAAAATCAGAGTTGTCTTTTAGTGTAAGTTCACTTATTTTTTTTATAATATTTGATGAAAGAGTTTCACATTCTACAACATCAAAGAATTTAATAAGCCCTTGAGGAAGCACTAGTTTAGGCCTATGAAAATTTCTTAACTCTTCTCTAGAATGATTCGTTTTATAAAATCTAGGATCCAATTTCAAAGCCGGTAGACTGTGTTGTACACCAAAAGAACCTAAACTACTTTTAGACCTTGTTTCTTGGCTATAATATTTATCATTGGAAATATTAAATTTACTTTTAATAGGCTTGTCTCCCGAAAAATATTCTTTTTGTCTCTTTTTAGATTTTAAACTTTTTTTATAATCAGTTTTATCAAAAATAAGATTAGGATCTTCTAGATACATGGTAGGATAGTATTTATGTTTCAGCTGAACGTCTTCATCAAAAATTATGTTATTTTCCCATTCGTCATCAAAAATTGCCTCAACAAACTCTGTAACAAGAGGAGAATGTACTAATGAATCTTTATAATGATTACTAAAATCTTTATCTGTATCATAAATAATATCTTTTTCCCAATCAATCAAATCAAAAGGATGATTAACATTATCACCAATGTCTACAAGATTAGAGTTTTCTTGTAAATTAATATATTGCTTTTTTATATCTTTTTCTAACTGCTTTTTTTTAAGATAATTTTTAAGTCCTGCATTTTTTGTAGACCCAGAAATACTTTTGATTACTGTATTGTGAGGCCGTGCATATGCAGTAGTATTCCTAAATTTTGTTTGGTCATCAATCTCATATCCCATATTTTCACTTCTTACTTTACAAAATTTATATTTCTTAAATTTATATGTTAGAGGCTTTTCTACAACTAACAAGTCTAAAAAACTTCTAGGTAGTGAATGTTTCTGTTGTTTTGATTCACTATTTGTCAAATTGTTTGGTGACATTAAAAAATGGGTAAAAAATTAAAAATCTGTACACTTTAAATTTATGTTAAATTTGTTTGTAAAATAATTTCAATCATTGGTATAAATTTTGAATGCAATAAGAAAAAAAAATCTACTTTTTTGTTTAAAATCTTTACACTACAAATTTATACTTACATTTTTATAGTCTGTTTTTTCTTTGTTCACAATTTTTTACAAAATTGTACAAAAAGTTTATACAATTACGTGGTAAATACAAGAACAAAAATAATTATTAGATTTTTTTGCATATAAACGCCTTTGATTACTAAATTTTTCAGATAGTACAAATTATTATTTTCTTACCTTTAATAAAGTAGAATAATAAGATTAAATAAATTTTCAGATTCAAACTTTTTATATATATAGATTCTTAAAGTTTTCATATGCTTATTGTCCTAACAACAGATTTTTATCCCTCAAAAAAATGAATTCGAAAATTTTATCTGATTGGAATGTTGAGCCAAAAATGACCTACAGGAAAGTAGTTGGTGTCAATGGTCCTCTAGTAATTTTAGACGACATAGACTACCTAAAATATGCGGAAATAGTTAATCTTACTCTGGCAGATGGGACAAACAAACAAGGACAGGTTTTAGAAGTACAAGGAAAAAAGGCAGTTGTTCAGGTATTTGAAGGAACAGCGGGAATTGATGTTAAAAAAACACACGTTACATTTACAGGACATACTTTAAAAATGCCTGTTTCTGAAGATATGTTGGGGAGAGTGTTTAATGGTAGTGGAATACCAATTGATGGTGGATGCAATGTAATAGCCAGTGACTATCTTGACATACAAGGACAACCTCTTAATCCAATAGTAAGAACATATCCTGAAGAAATGATTCAGACAGGTATATCGTCTATAGATGTTATGAATTCTATTGCCAGAGGACAAAAGATTCCAATTTTTAGTGGATCGGGGTTACCTCACAACGAAGTGGCAGCTCAGATATGTAGACAAGCTGGCCTTGTTAAAAAGAAAGATGTCAAGGATATGAGTGATGAAAATTTTGCAATAATTTTTGCTGCAATGGGAGTTAACCAAGAAACAGCAAAATTTTTTAAAAATAGTTTTGATGAAACCGGAAGCTCTGAACGTACAGCTTTATTTTTAAATCTTGCGAATGATCCTACAATTGAGCGTATTATTACTCCAAGATTGGCACTGACCGCTGCAGAATATCTTGCTTATGAAAGAGAAATGCATGTTTTAGTTATATTGACTGATATGAGCTCATATGCAGATTCGTTAAGAGAAGTTAGTGCTGCTAGAGAAGAAGTTCCTGGTAGAAGAGGATATCCTGGTTATATGTATACTGATTTGAGTACTATTTACGAAAGAGCGGGAAGAATAGATGGTAAAAATGGATCTATCACACAAATTCCTATTTTAACAATGCCTAATGATGATATTACTCATCCAATACCCGATTTAACTGGATTTATTACTGAAGGACAGATTTATATTGACAGGCAGTTACACAACAGACAAATTTATCCACCTATTAATGTATTGCCATCGTTGTCTAGATTAATGAAAAGTGCTATTGGTGAGAATATGACACGAAAAGACCATTCTGATGTATCTAATCAACTTTATGCTAAATATGCGATTGGTAAAGACGCACAAAGCATGAAAGCAGTAGTCGGTGAAGAGTCTTTATCTTATGAAGACAAGTTATCTATTGAATTTAAAGAATCTTTTGATAAAGAATTTGTATCGCAAGGTTATGATGAATGTAGAACAATTGATCAGTCTCTTGATCTTGCCTGGAATTTACTTAAAATTTATCCACGCGAAATGTTAAATAGAATTCCTGCTAAAATTTTAGATGAGTTTCATTCAGTGCCACCTTCTGATGTTCAACTAAATGATGATTAAATAAATTTTTAAATATTTATGAGCATTAACGCACCTTGAATAATCATATTTTAAAGTTAATACTAAAATTTTCTTAATTTTGTTTTTTTAAAAAATAATTGTTAATTTTTAATAATATTTAAATAAGGCGGATTTCTAACTTAAAATTGTCTATATTAGTAACAAATAAAATTTAATCGACAATAATTGTTTAAAAGTGATAATTATAATTTTAATTCTTAGTTACAATATAGTCTAGTAAATGTAACTTATGGCTATTATTTTTTTACCCCTAAATGTCTGATTCAAAAAAACGTAAAGCGCTTGATCAATTGTCACCCTATTCTCAACAAGAAGAAGAAACAGTTAATCAGACTAACGAAGTTACATCTCAGCCGGTTGAACGGCCAAGAAGACGGGCCAGGGCCAATATTACTAAATTAAAAGGTACTATTGGTGAAACTAGCACACTTAAAGGAATACTTCCCTCTTTTTCAATATTATCTCAGCCAGAAAATGAAGATAAGATTAGTGGATTGAATAGATGCTTTTTAAATGCAGTTACAAGAGTTGTAAAAAAGCAATCTAACAAAGACTTAAGAGACTTGTTCAAGCAATACGAACTGTTTATTAACAAGATTATTGAGAATAATTACCAATAAGTAACCTGTTATTGCGCTTTAGTTTATAGAAATAAAAATACTGAGGTAAATAATACTATTTTTGTTACATATATTTTTCGGTAGATTCTGCCATCAATTTATTTTTTTGAACAATTAATACTGTTCGGTTTATTTTTATGCATTGAATTTACCTGCGCGCAAGTCTACTTAAACTTTTAATACAATTATCATAATTTACCATAAAGGAACAACTGTAATAATAAACTTGCATTATCCTTAGTTTTTTTATATTTGCAAAAATTCTATTTAAATGGAAAAATTTAAAAATAAATGATTTTTTTTGACTTAAAGTTTCACTCAAATTTAATTCTAATATCTCAAAAAAATGCACAAACTTTTTTGTGTCTGTTTTTAAACTCCATAGAAAAATATAAGTTGAAATAAAAATTATTTATATTGAGGATATTTTGAAATCTAATTATTAAAGGCCTATATAAGAAAATACGACAATGATTATTGTGATACTGACAACTATTATTACTAAGCTTAATCTTAAAAACGTTATTTATTGCAAATTAAATTGAATAACATTAAGTTTAACATCCTTTTGCAAATAAATATCATAATTTTTGAAATAAATAATCACAGTCTCATTTCTTAAAAAAATTTACATTTTAAAAAGTTATTTGTTAATGCACATTAAGGCTAGATTCGTATTTAATGCACATATGATAGTCTAGAAAGATTTCATTAGACCTTAGAATTTTTAACATAAAATATATATTTAAATTAAAGTCTAAGATAAGCGTATTGTCGTGTTTTAAATGCATATAAACACATTTTACTAATTTACCTATCGATTCTATTGCTTATTGTTATTGGTAAATAAAATATTCATACTAATTAATGTTTTTTTATTGGTTTTTCTCTGTATTTAAATTTTTATTAAAACTACAGAAATGAAAATATGCTTAATAGTTTTAGATGGTTGGGGTCATAACTTAAAGCCTAAACAAAAGGATGCCATACAAGATGCAAACTGTAAAAACATGCGTTTTTTATCTAAAAAATATTTAAGCTATTTAATTCATGCTAGTGGTAAATACGTTGGATTACATGAAGGCTGTATGGGAAATTCCGAAGTAGGACATCTGACAATTGGTTCTGGTCGCGTAGTCAAACAAAATATTATTTTGATTGATGAGGCATTCTCATCAGGTTCTATTAAAGAAAACCTTAGATCTCTTATAGCACTAAATAAAAAAAGATTACACTTAATCGGGTTGGTGAGTGATGGTGGCATACATTCTCATGTAAACCATTTAATAGGACTAATAAACACACTTAGTAAAAATTTTGAAGAAATTTTTGTTCATTGTATTTCAGATGGGCGCGATACAGCACCTTACGCTTTTACTGAATATTTAGATTGTATACTTACAAATTGTTTGGATTCGCAGAATTACAGTATTGCTTCAGTAGGGGGAAGATTTTACGCCATGGATCGTGATAATAATGAAGATAGAATAAATAAGTATTTTAATACATTGACCTCAGAAAAAGAATTTGATAACATTAAAAATTATATTAAAGATCAATATAACAAAGGATATAACGATGAAAATATTGTTCCTGCATTATTTAGTACAAAAGGAAGAATTCAAAAAGATGATCTTATATTATTTTTTAATTTTCGTGCTGATAGAATGCGGCAGATTACGAAAAAATTTATAAATGAAAAATATAATTTGTTTACATTTACCGAATATGAAAAAGGCTTGACTCAAAATGTTATCTTTAAACCTAGTAAAGTTATAAATACACTCTCCGATATTCTTGAAAAGAATGGTATTGAACAAGTTCACATTGCTGAAACAGAAAAGTATGCGCATGTAACCTATTTTTTCAATGGTGGAACAGAAAAAAAGCATAAATTTGAAGATAGAAAAATTGTTGAATCAAAAAAGGTTAAATCTTTTGCAGAAAATCCTAAAATGTCATCAGAAAATATTGCTAACGAAATAATTACAAGTATTACAGAAAATAAACAATTTATTGTAGCAAATTTCGCAGCACCAGATATGGTAGGACATACAGGAGATTATAACGCAACAGTAAAAGCCGTTGAGTGCGTTGATGATCAAATTGGTAAAATTTATAATCAATGTTTATTGCACAATTACGTTTTAATAATAACGGCAGACCATGGCAATGCAGAAATTATGTTTGATGAAATACAAAATTTAGTCAGTAAAAAACATACAAGCAATAAAGTTCCATTTATTGTAACAATACCCAAAGAAAGAACAAAAAATAATACCGATTGGGGCTATGAAAACTCTGAATATTCATTAGCTGATGTTGCGCCTACAATATTATCACTATTTGGCATTGAGCCACCCCAAGAATTTACAGGAAAGCCAATTGTATAAAATTAAAAAACAACTTTAAACTTATTCCAAAAAAAAATATCAATTTATTAAAAAAATGGTATTATAATAATTTACTAAAAGCACACACACATCCAATAATAAAAGCTTCTATATGATATATACCTTTTGTACCTTGTCTTAATCTTTCTTCATAAATTAAGGCTAAATCAACAATTTTCATTCTTGTAATTTCTGATTCTTTAATTACAAATCTTTTATAAAGCTCCATTAAAATACAATGTGCTGTTATACAAGAATTAATAAGAACATAAAGTTTTTTACGAACTTCAATTATAGTTTCTGTTTTATGTGATCTACGAACCAATGCTGAAATTTCATCCATTACAACTTCCCATTCCAATTTTACATGATTTAAATCAAGTTTCAATCTCTTATTAACTTCCTCTGAGTGCTTAAGATATAAAATTTCTAACAAACCAAGGGCCCTTCGCATGTTTCCATCAGAAATTTTTATAATCTGTTCAATATTTTGTTCATTAATATTTATGTTTTCTGCTGTTACAATATTTTTTATATGATTTTTTATTTCCTGTGGCTTAAAACCTCTGATTCTTACAAAAACACATCGACTTCTTATTGGTTCAATGATTTTTGAGAGTTGTGAACAAATAAGTATTATTCTAAAACATTCAGAATATACTTCTATAGTTCGACGAAGCGCTGCTTGTGCCTCATGTGAAAGATCATGCGCTGCCGATATAATGACAAATTTAATGGAAGGCGTTTTTTTGGTGCTAAAAAAAGACATTACAGGTCTACTTTGTGCCATTTCTTTAATTATTGATTGTATTATAACTTTATCTTGGAAATTATAATCGGATGGAGAGATTTCAATAAATTCATTGGCTTCTAAAAAATTAACTTCAATCATTCTACTGCCTGCTTTGACTTCACTTGTACGTACATTAGGCACAGATATTTGTCCAAAAAGATGTTTAATCAAATTGTAAGCAATTAATTTCTTGCCGCTTCCCGACTTTCCGTGAAAAATCAGATGTGGAATATTATGTATGTTGTATTTTTGCAAAATAGAAATAATTTCTGTGTGGTCAGTCATTGAATTAAAATCTCGAGGTTTATATTTTTCTAACCATAACATTTTGGGTTCAAAATAATTTTTTTTTCAATACCCCATGAAATTTATTGAAAAGCTTGAAAATCGACTTCTTGGTAGTAAGTTTAGATTGTTGAATGATAAGCTATACAAAAATAGAAAGATTAATGACAATGACATGAAAGATTATTACAAGTATTATGAATACCAAATTAGAAAATGGCCAGTAAATCCGTTAGATTTGATTATTAAAAAAATTGAAGACAAGAATAAAGAAGCAGTTATAGCAGATTTGGGATGTGGAGTAGGAAAAATAAGTCAGACTTTCAAAAATGTTTTTTCTTTTGATGCATTTCCAATTAATAAGAATATTATTAAAGCTGATATTTCTGCGCTCCCTTTAGATGATAAAAAGATTGATGTTGTAGTGTGTTGTTTAAGTTTGATGATGGATTATATTTCTAAAGTTTTATTAGAAGTATCGAGAATATTAAAAATAGATGGGATTTTTTATTTGGCAGAAGTAAAAAGTCGTGTTAATAGTGTTAATTATTTTTGTAAACAGCTAGAACAATTTGGTTTTTCTATCTTAAATTGTGATACATCTAATACGCATTTTGTTATTATAGAACTTAAGAAAGATAAAGATTTTTGTAAAAAGAAGATACCAAAAGTTTTATTGAAGCCTTGCAGTTACAAAAAAAGATAATTTTTTTCACCCCTTATGAATATTTTTGAAACTTATGATAAGCTGATAGAAAATATTCAACAAATTCCTCTTGATGTTTATCTTTTTATTCGTAAAAATACAAGAATTAATTTAAAATTAGATAAGTTAATAAATAAATATAATAAGCTTTTAAAGTATACTTATAGAGGATACAGTGTAGATGAAGAAAAAATAAAAAAGTTGTCTACAAAAATTTTTAAGTTAAGAAAAGTTCTTATAGATTCTTCTGACGTTTTAAAAAAAGTGCTTTTGGATTTACAAGAAAAAAGTGATAAAATTTGCAACATGAATTATGAAAATAATTTATTACCGAAATTAGATATTGAGAATATTAATAGAATAGTAAAAGTTGGACGTTATAAAGAACATGGACCATACTATTGTATTTGCAAACAGAAAGCATATGACAATATGATTGCTTGTAATAATACCAATTGTAGAATAAAATGGTTTCATTTTGTATGTGCAGGAATCACTCTGCCACCGAAAAGTGTATGGTATTGTACTGAATGTAAGAAGATGAAATAATATAAATTTAATAAACAGTTTATTTTGATTTTGTTTGTTTAAACAAGTAAAATAAAATAACTCAATAAGATTAAAATTATTAATTTAAGAAAAAAATTATCTTCAAGGTTGTGTATTACTAATCTTCTATTAGGCGTATATCTATAAAAACTTCTGTATAATATATTGTTTAGTATCGTAAACTCGTCATTGTTGTGATGCCAAAAAAAATTATTAGGATCATGCATAAAGCTACTATTTGTAAAAATATTATTTTGGTTAATATTCCATTCTCGTAAATTAAACTGTGTGCTAAATGTTGATTTTAATGAATTATCATATTCTTGTCTTTTTTTGGTGTTACTAAGAATTACATACGCCTTATGAAGGATTCTAGAAACAGAATTTGACTCTTTCATTTTCGTTCTATCAGGATGATATTTGCTTATTAATTTTGTGTATGAATCTCTTATTTCTTTTTGTGTTGCATCTTGTTTAAGATTTAGAATATCGTAATATTTATTTTCTTCTTTTTTAAGAAATTCACAAAGTTCTTTATAAAGATCATATTTCTTTTTGGCTTTATTTAGTTCTTCTTTAGAAGTCTGCGTTTGTGTGACATTATGATATTTTTTATAATTCTGATAGTATTCAGCATAATTCCCTGCTGACAGACATTTGTCTCCTTCAATCTTGTGGTCCATAGGGGTTAAATTTAATATTAAGTTTCTAAATGTTTAAAAAACCAATAATATTAAAAACAAAGTTTTAGAAATTCCATTGTATCAATAATTAAAAACTTTACCAAATTATAAGTTGGAAATTTTAATGTTACTATAAAGTTTTAGTATAGATATAAATACTTTGTTAAGTAGCAATTTTGCTGATTTTAAATATGTGTAATTGAAAGTTGGTTATATCTTTTTTAGATGCATGGATTGTTAACTATACAAAAAAATATATTTGATTTAGATTGTAATAAAAGCAATTTTATTTTATAAATAAATACAAGTTAGTTAACTTTTCATGCTAATAATATGTTGAAATTATTAACTTATAGATAAAACCTTTTCACTTTAAATTTTTGCAAAAAGTTTTATTTATAAATTTATGACATTTTGTAACAATTATATACTATATGAAATCTAGCATTATGCAGATTATACATTACTCTATCAATATTTCTTATTTTTAAAAATTGATGATTTTGTAAATGTTTATCAATACTGATTTTAAAATTAACAAATATTATAAAAATAACATTGTAATTATCATTTGTTATTTTAGATATCAAAATCTTATTAAATGTATAAATATATTAAACAATTCGATATTATTTTTATTTTTGTAAAATAAAGATTTTTCCTGAAACATTTTAAAACATTAATTTTTTATTGAAAAAAAAAATTATTTTAAACCCCCTTCACTTTATCAAGCATGGATCAAAATGAGAAAAATAATGAAATTTTTGCAACTATTTACGTCGGGGATCTGTCTTCTAAAACTTTAGAATCGGATTTATTTAGAATATTTTCTTCCATTGGAGAAGTGGTAAAAATTAAACTTAAAAAAAGGATAGAGCCACTTTCATCATTTGCATTTGTTACATTTGCTAATGGAGATGCTGCCGATAGAGCTATTAAGGAATATAATAATTTTAGACTTAATAAGAAGAACATAAGGGTATTACCATGCATGGATGAGAAAAGTAAAAGGGAAGATGCTAATTTGATAGTTAAAAATTTACCATCTTCATTTACTAATGAAAATTTATATGATACATTTTCTGTTTTTGGAACAATTATTAGTGCTAAAATAGCAACATATGCCGATGGGAAACCTAAGAATTACGGATTTGTGCAATTTGATAAAAAGAAATCTGCTAAAATGGCTATTAAACATTGTGACGGAGGAAAGCTTGATAATAAGATTATTCAGGTTGAAATATTTGACAAGGAAAAAAGAAGAAAACAAGAAGAGCAAGCATTAGAAAATAAGCCAGTTAAACTCGAGCCAAAATTTACGAATTGTTTTATCAAAAATTTTCCTGAGTCATTTACTGAAAAAGATTTAGAGTCTTTATTGAATAAATATGGAAATATCACTTCTATATATTTTCCACTTAAAGACGGCACTTTTGTTTCTAAGGGCTTCGCATTTGCTAATTTTGAGTCCCATGAATCTGCACAAAATGCAATCCAGGAGTTACATGGTAAGCAGATTTTTCCTTTTGAAGAAAATTCTTACACTACGAAGCTTGAACCTTTTTACATTCAAAAGGCACAGAAAAAGGAAGAAAGAGAAGAATATCTTAAAAGGTCTTTTGAACAATTGTCTTTAGAAGGACAAAATATTAAGAGAAATCTTTATATTACTAATATTCCTGCTTTTATAGAAAAAGATGATATTTTTGAAATTTTTAGTGAGTTTGGTTCAATTGTGTCTTTTTCTATTGGAATTGATGCTGTTAATGAACAGAGGAAATATGCTTATGTTTGTTATTCGACATCTGATGAAGCTTTTATTGCTATTGAAAAAGGGAATGAGCTTTTTATTGACAATAACAAATTGAACGTTACGTATTTTAAAAACAAAGCAGAAAGAACTAAAGAAAAAATGATGTCATCAATTAATATAAATTCTACGGTACCTTTTATATATAGTTCTCCGCTGAAAATTACACCAAATTCATCTTTCAATTATGAAATGTTTTCTAACCTTTCGACTACTGAAGTTAAAAATAAAAAGCTTTTTGATTTGGTACTAAAAACAGCTACCAATTTTAAAAATGAATGGGATAAATTAGATGTGAACACGGATGAAGAGTTTGCAAAAAAGATTTCTAACATTTTGACAAAAAAACCAAAAAATGAAGTGTTAGAGATGGAAGAATATAACGATATTTTAACAAACAACATAAATTACATTATTGAAGAAAAAAAGGAAAAATATAAAAACAATTAAAATATTTACTTAAAAAGTTGAATTTATTTTTACGAATTTTTAATTTTATAGTAACCCTATGAGCAATGATAAAATTTCTACTACACGCGAATCAGTAGCCACGAATGGATCCAATTTCCATATAATTAATGAGGGAAAAGTTAGTATTAGGAAGAACGATACTACATTTTATAATCCTGCGCAGAAAACAAATAGAGATATATCCATTTTAGTTATATCTGAATATTTTAAAAATAAAGAAAACATTAGAATTCTTGATGCGATGTCGGCTACAGGCCTTAGAGGATTGAGATATCTAAAAGAAATCAAAAATTTAAATTTATTCTTCAATGATATTAACGACAATGCGATAGACACCATCTTTGAGAATTTAAAATACAATAATGTTTCTTCTTCTCAAATTAAATATTTTGAAAAAAATTTATGTGAAATTCGTGAAACATTTAGTCATATAAATGTAGTTAAATCTGATTGTAATGTTTTAATGTGCACGTTACAAAATTTTTTTGATGTTATTGACATTGATCCATTTGGTAGTTGTTCAGAATACATTGAAAATGCTATCCGAGCTATAAAACACAATGGGCTTATTTGCTTTACAAGTACAGATAAAGGGGTTTTGATAACCAACGAGAATAAGAGCATTGTTAAATATGAGACCACAATATTAAAAAAGTATTCAGCTAAAGAGATGGCGCTCAGGAGTCTTTTATCGTGTATATCACGACACGCCGCTAAATTCGGTGTTTCTATCGAGCCATTACTTTCTCTTAGCTTAGATTTTTACCTAAGAGTTTTTGTAAGAATTTTAAAAAAAGGCGAAAAACGTGTTATTGCAGACAACGGGCTGTTTTATTTATGTAATTGCGGTAATTTTAAAAGTGCTGATGGAAACCGGCAAGTAGTAAATTGTAATATTAATTATAAGTTGTTTAGTTTAGAAGACCCCGATTTTATGAAGAAATTGAAAAATGCATGTGAAACTATTAATTTTTCGAATGGTAATATTTGTGAGGTATGTAACAAAAAAATGAAAATATGTGGTCCATTTTGGAATAAGCACCTACATGATCAAAATTTGGTTAGTAAAATTAAATCAAATTTATCTTCAGATGATAATAGATTGGTAGGTATTTTTAATTTTGTTGGTCAAGAGATATCTACTATGTGGTATTATGAAATACCTTTACTTTCTAAGAACTTAAAAATGCCATGCATTAGACTTATTAAAATGTTAACGGCCTTAAAAAATCTTGGATTTGATGTTTCATTAACGCATTGCGATATAAAAGGATTTAAAACCAATGCTCCTGTAAAAATTATTTATATTGTTTTACAGATAGGAAATTTAGAACCCGACTTTAAATTATTTAGTAAAAATGATATTGTTAATAAGATATTTGAACAAAAATACTATAAAGGACTTATTGATTCTAAATTAGGCCCATTGTCTCTTCCGCGCAAGGATTAAACATTTTTTTATATAAGACATATCTTTATACTCAAATATTTTGCTTTATTTTTAAGGTTCCAATGTAATAACAATAAACATGTCTGGATCATTTTCTTAATAAATTTGTTTTATATAAAATGGTGGCAAAAAACAAGGAATATTAAAATAGTATAGTAATCATACTTTTTTAGTCGCAACTTTCTATTCTTTTACTTTATAAAAAATTATAGAATACTTTGAGAACAATTAACATTGTTCTTTTGAATCTTTTTTGGTATTGACATAATAATTTTTATTTTAGTTGGAATAAAAAGGAATATTTTTTTGTATTGAAAAATTGGCGGAAGAAATATTTGAAACTATAAAAAGTTTAATTTTAATCCCTTATGCCACAAAAAGTATCTTTAAGTGAAAAATCCGAAATTAAGGCTTACATTGAAATAGACAGAAAACAAAAAGAAGTTGCAAAAAAAGTACTCGGTAAGTCAGCCAGTAATGTCTAAACCTAAGAAAAAAATTAATGAAACAGGACAAATTGAAAGAAAAGCAAATTCTGGTAGACATTTATTCCTGAATAGTAATGATATATTCTAGTTTAAAAAAAATAAATGCTGATCCACAAATTGGAGTATTAAGCTTGCTATAGATTATAAAAAAGGACAGAAAAAATAAATTTGTTAAATTTATAAGAGATTACTTGCGTGTATGGGAATACGTTGTAGGATTTGATGTAAAAAATCATTTTTGCCTAAAAAGCATATTTTGAAAAGAAAAGATTGTGCAAGCAAGTATGCTTACTACTCTGATAAGAGACGGAATAAGGTTATTTTTAACGATAAAAAAATAACTTACTTATTTGGCTCTGATGGGAGAGTTTATGTTTGAAGAAAAGTTTGCCAAAGATATAATAAAAAAAAATTTAAATTCACAATAAAACATTAAGGTGGTAGTATCATGGTTTGAACATGTTTTTTTGCGTGCAGAGGTTGAAAATGTGTATAATTGATGGTATAATGAATAGCGAAGCATATTGTAGAATTTTAGACAATTATCTTGAGACTTCTGCAAAAAAAATTAAATTAAAAAATTTTATTTTATAGCAAAATAATGATCCGAAACATACAAGTAAATGAACTAGAGATTATTCGTTCGGTTAAAAAATTTTTACTTTAGATTAATCTACACAATCCTTAGACATGAATCCTATAAAAAGTTTATGGCATATTCTTAGGGTAGAGGTAGGAAAAAGAAAATCAAAATATATAAATGAATTAAAGAAATGTGTTGAAGAGAGGTGGAATAAAATACATGCTAAAGTGTTAAAAAAACTGGTATAGAACATGAAAATTAAATGTATCAAATTATTAAGAGCTAAAGGTGGAGATACTAAATTTTAAATAAAAATATTCCTTTTTTTTCATTAAACTAAAAAAAGCATTGTGTTTTTGTACAAAAAAAATTAACTACTTAAACAATTATAAATTTTCGTAAGCTCTCTTAAATAGGGACAATTTGTCATATTACAAAACTTGTTATTGCGAAATTTAATATTCCTTTTTTTGTCACTACTGTATTTAACAATTACATGTATATATTATTTTAAGGAACAATTTGATAACGACTCTTTTAAGTCTCAGATTTACATAAGCTTTACACCAGTATTTTATAATAAAAAAACTAACTTGTGCCATCCCGTTTTAAACGAAATTACAAATTTAATGTGTGTTCTTTCATTTTAATGGATATGATGTGTCTTTGTGTATGTACTTATTTTATTATTTTTAATTGCAATTTGGCCCTTTTTACTATAAATTAAAATTTGCTATAAACACCTTGTATCTGTATAAGATTCATTTATTTGAACAAAAGCGATGGAAAATGTACGAAAACACCGTTCCGTGCTTAGAGAAATGATCCTTTAAATGAAATTACTCGTTCTTAACAAAAAATATAGAGAATTTTACAAATTTTAAAAAAAGAATGGTTAAATAATAAAAAAATGTTAGATTCAAACTTTTTATATATGTTGATGATTGATGATACGATTATCATTGTTTATAATGTGTTCTTCTATTTTACATTTTATGCACAGATTCTTTTTTTTTTAGCTTAAGTTAATACTAAATAAAACTTATTGAAATTAACAACTTTAAACACTTTAATTTGTAGTCTTTTACTTTGAATAGAAATGTGAATTTAGAATTATATTTATGAGTCTATTTTTTGTACTTTACAAATTTATATTTTGCTTTCTATTCAATTTTTTCCCCTTTTATGCTGTTTTCTCTAGAAACATTAAAATCTTATGCACAATCTGTAGGAATTACAAATATTGATGACGACGCATTGAGAATTTTGTCTCAAGATTTGGAATACAGAATCAAAGAAATATGTCAAGAAGGAAGCAAGTTTATGCTTGCTAGTAAAAGAACGAAATTAAGTATCGAAGATATTAACTATGGACTTATAAGTAGAAATGTAGATCCGTTATTTGGATACGATCCACAAGATAATCTTGTTTTTAAAGGTCTTCCTTCAGGTATTTTTTACGTCCCCGACGAAGAATTAGACATTGAAGAATATTTGGAAAGGCCACTTCCTAAAATCCCGCTTAACACTTCGATACAAAGCCATTGGCTTGCTATTGAAGGCGTACAGCCACAAACTGCTCAGAATCCTATTTTAATACAAAAGACTGAACAGAAGAAGGACACTTTAATAACATATCAAGAAGAGACAGAACTCAAATCACAAAATAAACACATTTTGACAAAAGAGCTTAATATGTATTTTGAGAAAATTATACAAACAATGGAAACTGATGAAGATATCGCAATAGAATGTCTTAAAAATGAAAGTGGTATACAACAATTAGTACCTTACTTTATTCATCATTTTAATCAACAGATAATAAAAAATTTAAAAGTTACAGAAAAATTAAAAACTGTAATAATGATGTATAACAGCCTATTAAATAATCAATACATATTTATTGATCCTTATCTTCACCAGATACTACCTTCACTACTTACATGTGTTGTTGGTAAGTCTGTTGATGACTCTGTTAGATATTTATCTTCTGATGTTATTAAATTTGTTTACGATAACTTTGCTAGTAAATACAAAACCCTTGGCCCAAGAATTATTAGCACACTATCTAAAACTTGGCTAGACAAAGACAAAAATGAAAATGTTCAACTTGGTGCTTTGAGATGTCTTGGAATTTTGTCTCAGGAAGTAATTAATAATGTAATTAAACCTAAATCAGAAATATATAAAAAGGAAATTGGACATTTTAGCGTGAATGAAGAACTTAATAGGCTAATAAACAACTAAGTTTATTTTTTTAAGGACAATTGAGTTTATTTTGTTACTTTTTATTTTTAGTGATTTATGTGTAAACTAAACGCAATTTTATATTAAATTATAAAATACGCTAACAATTACATATTAAATTTTAAATATTAATTAAATAAAACAATAATTATGTTTTTGACATTAAATTTTATGACTTTATTGATTAGCCAATATCAGTTTCTTTTGAAGTTTTATAATTAAGATTGACAATTTGAAGGTGTTTTCTATGCTCAATTATCTATAAAAAATACAAACATTAGTAAACAGTTTTAAAGTTTACAATTTAGAAAAAAATAGTAAAAACTTGCATGTTATACAAAAAGATATAAAATATAAAAGTTTTTAATCACAATATTTTTTATTTCATTTTGTGGTATAATTTTGATACCACATTTTAAGGTGCCAATGATTTACAATATCACGTTGAAACGTCATTTGTTTTAATGATTAAATTAATATATTGGACCATTTGCTAAACAAATATGTTCATTGGTTTACAATAAATATAAATAAGAAGATTTAATTTAAAAAATGATGAATCAGGGTAGTCACTACAACAAACATTCTTCTACAAGTACTAAGTCCGATTTCAATAAAAACACTTTACGTAAACATATTTCCCACAGCATCCTAGAATGCTTTTTTTCCACAGGGACAATCCCTGGCAAACACGCCACATTTATTTTATAAAAGTACATAAATCGATCAAAGTATTTACTTAATTTTTAATTTTAAAGTGGCTTAACAAATAAAATTATTACTTTTTAATTATAAAAATTATCTTAATAATACTATTTATTTACAAACGTTATTAACATCAATAATTGCCTCACTTTGGTCAAATGGATATGTTAATTAACCAATTAAATTTACATTAACTTTAAATTTTTTTATATTTTAAAGGGTTAAATAGAAAACAAACCATTTTTTTTATCAATCAATTTATATTTAAAAAGTGTTAATTTTTTTTGTTTTGTGCTATTCTTTACTATACGTAAATATTTTAATTCAATGCAAAATATCAGAAGAATTAAATACAACGATAAAAAAATGTGTTTTTTATGTTTTTAATAAGTATTCTTAAAAATTACAATTTTACCAATTATTATTGATCATTGAAAGACAAATAAAAAAAGAAACAAATTTATTGTTTTATCTTATTAATGTTCGAAAAAAATCAAAGTGCATGAATCCAGATATAAAAAAGAATTTTGAAAATAATGCAAAAAAACCTTTGTATGTAAATAATCCTAGTTTAAAAATATTAGAAAAAATTGAGAAAATCTCTATTAGTGAAGTAAAGAAACAATTTAAAAAGCCTCAAGTTAAAGATAACAGACAGAAAATAAATATTTGGAAAATATCTCCTAAAATTTTTCTAATAGGAGAGGTTTGGGATGGAGAGACAAATTTTTTGGACTGTAAAAATTTCACTGGTGATGTACAGAAATATTTAGAGAAAACAAGACTAAATAATAATTATCTTTATTATACAACAAATGAAAATACAAAATTATCAGGGAGTATTTTATGCCTTAAAAAAATTTTATACGATTGTAATTTTTTTGGAGAAATTTCAAATTCAATTTATTCTTGGTTACAGCTTAGTGATACAAATGTGGCTTTTATAGAAGTAAACTATGAAAAATTAACTTTGTTTGCAATTTTAATAGAATGTGTGAATATTTATTTAACAGAGAAGATTAATATAGGTTTAATTTTTTCAAATTTTGAACATTTTAAAAAAAATATTACTGATTTAAATACAATTGATAGATACAAAAAATATTTTTACAATCTCTATTGTAAAAAAAATGATAGGCTAGCAACATTAAAGTTGCACCAAATAATTATTTCTAATTACCCAAAAATAGAAGGATTTGACAACTTCAAGATTTCTTTTTCAATTCACCAAAATCAGAAAAATATAACTAAAACTAAAGATGTCGATGATATTGATATCATTTATAAAGATAATTTTTATATTGTATTAAATAATCTTAATATGGAAATAACTGATGATATTAATTTTACTATAGATTTTATAAATAAAGATAAAAAAAAGACAATTTTCGAGTTTCCATTTAATGTATTTTTTTACGATCAAGGTGTATTTAGATACAATAAAGAGGATGTTTTAACTGATATAAAATCTAAATTTCAAGATGAATTTAATTTTGATTTAGTTTTTTTGGAAACTGAAAATTATATTAATTTAAGCTTATATGAAAACAAATACAATATTATTCAAGGAATAATAACAATTAATGAGCTTTTTAAAAGAAATAAAAATGATAGCAAATTTGAAATGTTATTTAAAAAGGGATACGAAAAGAATATAGCTACATTTTGCAGTTTATTGAATTATTCAAATGCAGAAGCAAGTTCTTTGATTTCGTTGCTTGAAAAAAAAGGCTACACAAATCTTTTTTCTCAAGGCAAATCTCTTAAAACTACTTTTATACATTTCCAAAAAACAAAGAACACGGAAGAATATAAAATATTAAAACAAGAGGACATTATACCAATAAAACCTTTTGATAAAGATAACCTGTATAAAAATATACTAAATAAAGATTTACCGGATATTGAACTCATTAAAGATGAGGAAAAACCTTCTCTTATACTAAAAAACCCCACCAAAAAGTTTGTATTGAAGAAGAAAAAGATTTTAGTTGAAAATGTAAATGAAATGAATTGTAAAGCTTTAAGACCCCTACATTGGGTACCGATAAATGATAATGATGGTACTATATTTAAAGACCTGGATATTTATAAATCAAAATTAGATGTTGAAAAGTTTAAAAAATATTTTTGTGTTAATAGCAAAGATACAGAACATATAAACAATAATCAGTTAAATCAGGCAGTTACTGTTATTGATCAAAAAAGACTTTTTCTTGTTTCTTTAGCAATAAGCCATTTAAACAAAAAAAATATCAATCCAAAAAACATATACGATATGTTAATTAATAATCCAAAAGATATTTTTATACAAGATTTATTAAATTTGGAACATGTTTTTCCGACATATGAAGAGACGTATGTTTTAGCAAATTATGACTTTTCAAAATTGATGCCAGAAGAAAAAATTATGTTAGAATATTCAAAGTTATTAGAAGTTAAAAAGATAGTTAAAATTTTGTTATTTGAACGCAAATTTTTTGATGAAATATTTCTTATTGAAAATTTATTAGAAAAAATAAAATTTACATTTGATAAAATAATAGAAAGTAAAGATTTTAAAATTATTTTAAAAATGATATTAGACATAGGAAATTTGATTAATTATGATTTTTCTGCTAGAAAAAAGAAATCGGCCGGGTTTATGTTATCAAGCATATATCTTTTTGTAGATTATAAAGGACACGAGGATTATTCGTTATTTCAATTTTTTATGGAAAGTATGGAATACAATAGCATTTCAATAAATTTACAGAGAGATTTTAAATACCTTAATATAATAAGAAAAGAACAGATTATAAAGATAAAAGAAAAAATTAATTTTTTGATTAAACAGTACAAAGACAATCTTCAAATGTATTATACATTAGAAAATGATAAGGCAACATTTACAAACTTTTTTTTATTTGTAGCTGATAAGTTAACAAATATAAAAAGTAATTATGAAAAATGTACGGAAAAAATTGTACTAATTAAAAAGCTTTTTAATGAAGATGATAAAAGGAGTATAATTGATATGCTTGATTGTATTGCTTACTTAATAAGTAAAATTACAAATTATAAGCAGCCTATTTATGAAACTAATAATAGATAAAGAAATTTTACTAGAATACATATAAAATTACTTTCTAAAATATTTTATATATAAATAATACTTCTAGAAATAAAAAGAAAATAAAATTAAACTTAACTATTTTAAAAATTTTAAAGTACAAACTTGTTTATATGTTTTTTTTATTAAGATTTATCACAATAAATATCAATTTATTATACTTTTTTAAAAATTTAAAATTACCTTTTAACTGAGCTTTTAAAACCAATTTTAATTGTCGTAGAGATATAAATATTCTAATAATTTTTAACCCTAATTCCATCATGCCTGAAACTAAAGAAATAAATAATCTTAACGTTAATAATAATCTTAATGTTATTACATAATAGCAATACAAACAATAGAATTTTGGTTACATATATAAATGTCAATGTCAACAAAAAGAAATTAGAGCTATCTAAGCTTGTAACTTCTAAAAAAACTCAACTACGTGTTTATCCAAAATTTAATTTAACGCCAATGTAGATGAAATTTAGAAAGTTAGTAACAAGTTGTGAAATTTTATAAATTTTTTAGTTTAAAAAAGATTTCTTATATTATTATTAATGACCATGGTAATAAAAATTATAAATCAATTGCATATATTCTTCTTTTTTTTCTACTTTATTTAATGATTTTTGCTTAATATTAGCTTTAATGTTCTCATTATATACTTTTTTACAGATATAAATATTATTTATAAATTTAGATAGTTAACTGACACATATTGTACTCAAGTGATTGTTGTGACTTTTAAAATCATTACAGTAGGTTAATGAAGTAATATGTACCATTCCGATGATTTTTATCTAATTTTTGATACCTTTAAAGCTTTTAACTAAAATTTTAAAAAAAATAACTTCATTTTAGCTATTAATGATTAATGAGTTACAAAAAATTAAAAGCATTGTTGACTTTGTGATGAAAAAATTTGCCTAAAATGTAAGTTTATTTAAATTTTTAATAATTTAATACCCCTTAGAATGGAAATGGAACGCCAAGAAATAGAAAAATGTCTATATAATGCTTTGAACCCAAATGATGCTATCAGAAGAGAAGCAGAGATGCGGATTACTGATTTTCAATCGAAGGATTATTGTTCATTTGTGCAAAACGTTGTTTCTATATTTAAAGATATAAATTCTTCTATGGAACTTAAAATGCTTTCAGGAATTATTTTAAAAAATTCTCTGCATAGTTCAGACGCTAAAATACAAGACCTCTACGAACAAAAATGGAGTGCAATTGACAACAATACGAGAGAATATATAAAAAAGCAAATTATTGAATGCTTTGGCAATACAAACGAAAAAATTGCTAATCTAGCCGGATCAGCTTTGGGTTATATAGCACGGATTGAATTATCTTTAAATTTATATTTTGATTTTTTCGATGTAATGGTACAAGTTATGCAAGATGATTTGAAAGCATCGGCTGTATATGAAGCGGTTTCTACTTGTTGCGCTACACTTACTAATGAAACCTTGTTTAATTTTAAAATGTTTCTTAACACAATTTTCAATATTTGCATGATGAAGTTGGAAAATCCTCAAACTAGTGCAAATATAAAAGAAGTTGCTCTAAAATGTACAATGAATTGTTTTAAAACACTTCAAGATGTTTTTAATAATGAAAATGCTGTAATTAGATTTCTTAATAGTATTGCTATGTCAACTACTACCGATGCATCTTTGACACCAAAAGCTTTAATTTGTCTTAACAAATTTGTTTTTTTAAATTATAATTTAATAGAAAATAAAATTCCAGATATTATTACTTTTTTTAATAATTTTTGGACATTACCTTCTGAAGAAGTTCTAGTTCAGGTTATTGAATTTTGGACTATTCTTGCGGAAATCAAAGAGATTAATTTTATAGAAGAATATTTGGAGTTTTTACTACCACATGTTCTTAGGCTTATGAAAAAAAACGAAGATTATGTAGATTTAAAATGGAATGCTCACAAAGCATCGGCTTATTTACTAGAGACAATATCTGAAACTTATGGATCTAAAATTCTGTTTAATAATCTTGTATTTAATTATATAGAAAGTGAATTAAATTCTGGGGATAAAATCAGAATAGACACTGGCGCAATAGTTCTGGGTAGTGTTATAGTTAAAGAATGTGATCAACAACTTGTTAATTTTATAAAAATACTAATTTCATATATGAAAGATCCTATAACTGAAGAGTCATGTCTTTGGTGCCTTGCAAAAATTTGTGAAACTAATTTTTACGCAGTAGTCGAGCATTTGGCTTTCTTGCTAAATCAGACATGTGAAATAATTATTTCTAAATCGCCATCTTCTACAACAGCTGCTTGGATTTTAAATTCGATATTTATTTCGTTAAATTTTGTTAAACAGAAAAAAATTTATTCCACTAAATTTTCATTAGAAACTCAACAAGCATTAAAAGAATGTGCATTTAAACAGATTAGAGAACATTTTACAGAAATACTAAAAGTATTGATAGCTGCAAATGAGAATGTTAGTCTTGAAAATTCTACTTTACGTGTCGCATTATTTGCTGCCATGGCTGAACAGATACGATTTACTGAACCAGAATATTATGAATTGCTGGACAATGTTATTGTATATTGTCAAAATAAAATTGTAGAATGTGTTGAAGCGCTTAATAAGGCATCTGCCAGTCATATTCCTATCATAGAAGATATTTTATCTAATTATATAATTTTATCAGAAGTGGTAATCGGGAAAAGATCCAAAGACTCTGCTTCCTTTTTATTGCCAGTTTATATTTCAGTTTTAAAAAGTAAACCATCTTCTGCTATTGGGGAGGTTTATATTGCTGTTACATCTAACATCCATGACTTTTCTAATTTTTTAGAAGAGTTTGTTCCTTTTATTGCTCGAGATTTAGGATGTCTTGATTCTTTTATTTTAAAATCTGCCATAAATTTAATTGGTTTTATGGCTAATTCTATACAGAAAAACTTTTTTCATTTATCGACACAATTAATTCCGCTTTTGATACAAAATCTGAGTTCTAAGCTTATTTCGAAACAAGTAAAAACTCAAATTCTTTCAGTATTTGGTGATATCGCTATTTCTCTCGAGAATAATTTTGAACAATACATTGACATGTCTATGATGATTTTTATGCAAATTATTAATTTAGAAAAAGCATCTGATCCAAACTATGTAGATGATTTAAGGGATAATGTTATTCAAATGTTTAATTGTATTCTTTTTGCCACTTGTAAATCAAATAAATTAAGAGAAGTTATTTATAAATTAGTTGAAGGTATTAAAAAATTATTGGCTGATGAGAATTCTGAAGAAACTTTGACGTCTATCGCTACTCTTATTACTGATCTTAAAGCAGTATATGGTTTACATTATGATTTAAATGGAAAGTGGGTTGAAGACTTTTATAATCAATATATTACATCTAAAAATCCCGCATTAAGAAATGCAGTACAGAAAATTTATAATTAAAAATTTATATTTAATATTTTTATCCCCAACTTTAATGTACAAAATAATAAATGAGGATAAATCAAGCGAAGGCATTTCATTTATTGTACAAGAACCGCACTTTGTTAGTTTTAAATCTCGTACAATTCAAGAAAAAGAAGATCTTAAAAATATTACAATATACAAAGCAACAAATAAATACGACAATTTTTATTTAAAGCCTGTATTAGAAAATATTTTAGATCTGATTAACATAACTAATTATGATTTTGAACTAATATTTTTTGATGAATTAGATTCTTTATGTATATTTGAAATATTTATTTTTTTAATTAATAAGGCTTTTAACACTAAGTGCTTGTTTGAAAGAAACGAGAATCAAGATATTAAAATTTCAGTCAATGGACAAGTTATTTTGTGTACAAATATGTTATAGATTAAATATTTAATAGGAGTGATTATAAATAAAACTTTTATTGGGCATTTATAAATCATTAAACACGGTTTTAAATATTAATTGTATTTCAACATTCTTCTGCTTTTTTATAAATTTTTATATTTTACCCTGCATGAAAAGATACACCATGACACCAATTTCAAGAAAAATGCAAAAATTACCTGTCAATGGCAACAAGACACCTATAAAATCTAGACAATCTTTTGCACCAGATGAAAATAAAAAAAGGGATGTGCGAATGGTAAGAGACTCTAATTATAAAAAATCTTGTATAGATAATGTTTATAAATTTCTATCAGAAAATAATTTTGAAGGCAATTTATCCCAAAAAGTTTTACAAAATCCATCGAACAAAGATTTTCAAATGATTTTTAAATTTATTTTTTCATTTATAGACGATTACGAGTACACGAATAAATTTGAAGAAGATGTTATAAATATTTTAAAAATACTAAAATATCCTTATTCCTCAGAAATAACAAAAAGTCAACTTACAGCCATTACACCACATATCTGGCCAATAGTGCTAAGTATGTTGTCTTGGATGATAGATCTTATGTTGAATATAGAAAATCAATTTAGTAATTTATCTTCTGAGAATAGTATCGATACTTTTTTTAATGAATTTGTGAGTAACGCATATTTAAATTATTTACAAGGAAATGAAGATGATGAGGCACTTGAAGAAGAGTTTGAAACAAAGGTACAAGCTCTCTATTCAGACTTGTTTAAGGATGTAGATAATAGAAAGGCAATACTATTAAAACTAGAAGATGAAATTTCTAGTTTACGATCAAAACTTGAAGGAATGGAAAATTTGGATGAAAAGAAGAATGATTTGTTAGAAGATCTTAATAGTCTTATATCATCACAGAAACAATTGGAAAATAAAAAGTCTAAATATTTAAACATTATTAAAAAGACACAAGAAGATATTGAACTTGTTGAAAAAGAAGTAAATTTACTAAAAGATCAACAAAATGAAATTAAACAGAAGATTGAACTTCAAAAAATTAACCCAGAAGATGTCAAAATAATGAATAAAGAAAAGGTAGAATTGTACAAGGAATTGGAAAAAATTACACCTGAAAAAGAAAAATTTATGGTAAAAAATAAAGAACTAGAAAAAAAATTATCTGAAGTTTATGAAGAGGTTGAAAGACTTAACTTTGATTTTAACAATTTGAGACCAGATGTGAATATTAAAATGTCCAGAAATGATGACAAAAAATTTTTTAATAAAGATTTAGAGGAAATTCGTAGAAAATTAGAAAACGAACATAATACATACATACAACGTTTAGAAGAATTAAAAATTAGTAAAGATACTATAATTAATATTAAAGAAGAAAAAGAAACAAACCTTAAGGATTTAGAAGGAAAGGTAGAGTACAGTCAAGGAAAATTGTTAACTACCGGAGAAATTTACTTGAAAAAGAAGAAAAATACAGAAGACGAACAGAAAAAAAATAAAAATCAAATGGAAGGACTGGAAAGAGAATTACTACAACTGAATTTAGAATCAAATTCATCTTTGATACAAAGTGAGCAAGGTCTTCATAAAGCGAAGATAGGACTTGATTTAATTAGAAATAAATGTAAACAAGAGAAAGATGTTATAAAAAATTTAATATATAATTTTCAAAATAATATGGAAAGTTACAAGTTGACAATGAAAAGATTAAATGATAAACTACAAAGTATGAAAAATCAACAAGAATAAATATATTGTAAAATTTTTTTTAGTCAAGAATTTATGTTTTGTCTTGTAACTTGCTGCAGAATAAAAAGCGTTTGTTAGATGAAAACATGGGTTAAACTTATAAAAATTATTTAAAAGTGTTTTTGTCAAATATATTAAATGTGACAGTATAATATGAACATACACTTAATCCTGCACACGTAATAAGATAAAAAAAGATTAAAATTCATAAATTTATTTTTTAACCAGCAGAGCAGCAAAAAAACCTATAGTTTCTTTGTTATTAGTAGAAACACACCGTACAAACTTGTCTTTTACTTCAATACCATTAAAAACACCATTGTCAAAAATTTTAGCTAAATCAAATATTTCATATTTATCATCTTTTATAACTTCATTAATAACATCTTCTCCTTCCTCTTTGTGTAATGAACAAGTAGAATACACTATTTTCTTAGCACCAAAAGATAAAGCGTGCTTTAAAATTTTTATTTGAAATTTTTGTAAATTTTTTATTCTTTCATCATCTTTTTCATAGAAATCATGCATACCAGATCCGCTACATGATGGATCTACGACTATATAATCTATATTACTGTATTTATCAGGCTTTATATCAAAAAAATCTTTATTAATAGTTTCAACATTTTTCAACCCAAGCTTATTAACATGATAGTTTAGAATTTTAAATCTTTTAGAATCAACTTCAATTGCATAAACTTTACCAGTATTTTTTAACAAATTGGAGAGGTGAGAAGTTTTATTTCCAGGTGCAGCACAAGCATCAATAATCCTTGAATTTGGCAAAGGATCAAGGATATAAGCAGGCAGGCAGCTAGCAATATTTTGAATAACTATCTTTCCTTCTTTGTAAGCTTTATTTTTAGAAAAGTCTACTGCTTCTAAAAGTTTATAAACATTAGGAATAAATGTACTTTCTAATTTTAAATTACTAATATCTGAATGTACACCCTTTACCGTATTAAGCCTAATGTATTTCTGTTTAATAACATGAAAAAGTTCGTTTTCTTTTTTGACAGACTCAAATTTTTCTTTCCAAAATTTGTTCTTAACTTTTCCAATTAAAATCTCATTGCATAAAATCAAACTGTAAAATTTATCTTTCTTCATAAAATTTGTATCTTGAATAATCTTAGAAAGAAGATCATAATTTTGAATAACTTTTTCTATAATTGGTAAATAAGATACTGGTTTATTTCTTTTGTATATTTCATTCTTTAAAGTTGTCTTTTTGTCTATTATTTTGTTAAGTATCTCTGCACATTCAGAATAAATTAATCTGAATCTTTTGTGGATGTTCATTTACGGTTAAAAAAATTTAAAAAATGTATTCGCAATTTTTGTAAAATTAAAAAAATCTCCCAGACAGGAGTCGAACCTGTGACCATTCGATATCTACATATTCTACAGTCGAACGCTCTGCCACTGAGCTACTGAGAGTTGATGTTTGGCTTAACTAATAATATACAATTTTGGTTATTGTTTATTTAACAATAAAATATTTTTCTTTGTGGTTATTAAATGTTTAATATGTTCTAACAACAATTTTTACTTTTCAAATTTCGAGCTAATAAATTGTTTAAAAAGAGTTGAAAGCTTTCAAAAACAATCTACCTTTTGGTTAAATGCCTTTCTTGGTAAAACAATTTATTGTAAATTTATTTGTTGCTTTTGAAACAAAGTGCATGAAAAAAAACATTTTGGCATAATAAAATATGGAACAGGAATACAAATCGTACAGAAAATTAGAAAATGATAAAAATTATGAACTGATTTACAATGCGTTGAACCTTCAAATTAAAAACATTAAAAATTCTTGTATAAATATTAAAGATGTTGTAAGCATAAAGAAATATATAGATGATGAGATAAGAGCAAGAATGTTTAACAAAAAAGGCATTCCAACTTTTATTATAAAAATAATAATTCTTTTAGGTGATAACTACGAACAAGAAATGAAAATAAAGATTATAAATCTACTAGTATCTGAGTATGTTACAGAATTTCAATTATTCATTATTAATGAATTTAAGAATTTAAGCGATATAAAAAAATATTATAAAAAAGTCAATGATATTCTTGAAGAAATTCAAAATGTTTATTTTAATTTGCCACAAGAATGGAATACTAAAATTGTAATACTTAGTGACATTTATATTATTATAAAACAGAAAATTTGTGATATAATATTTTTTAATGATTTTAAGGATACTGAATATTTAGGTTCTGTAGAATGTATTATAGATAATGAAAAAAATATGATTGAGTTATTTAAAGATTCAAAAAAGTCTATATTTCACCTTATAGTGCCCTTTATCAACCCTTTTTATAAACAACTTTTGGACAAAACACCAGAATCCGAATTTGATCTTAAAAATAGTGAAATGAAAATTTACAAAAATTTTGTAATTTTTTTCCAGGAATTTCAAAAAATATATGAAAAAATCGCTTGTTTTCAAAATATTGATGCCATAAAACAGTTAATTGACGTATTTGAAGAGCACATTTTAAGACTTATGCGCAGCATGGGTAGAATATACTTATGTTGTGATTATGAATTAGAAGCATGCAAAAATTTTAATATAAATGATCTTGAAAAAATAATGACATCTTTAAATACATTATTATATCTTAATGAATGTATCACAGATTTAAACACTTCCATTTATTGTTCATATAATATTAATATAACACAGAATATATTTATAAAATTAGGAAACCTTGAAAATAAGTACAATAGTATACTAGAAATTTACGTTAGAAATGTTTTAGAAAAAATAGATTTTACAAAACTTAGTATATCTGCAGATATTATACTAAATCTTGACACTTATATTTTTTATTTTAATTATGAGGATTTTTACGAGGAGTTAAAGATTAATTTAGTAGAAGTTATTACATTACAAATTTTATGTCGTATATATTTATTAGACTTTAATGAAGAAAGTGCCGAATTAATGATATGTGATCTTTATGAACTAAAAAAATATTTAAAAAGTCACTGCAGTAATGTTAGTTGTTTTAATATTTTAGAATCATATTTAAAAATATTTATGTGCTCACCAAAGGATATGCAATCATTTATAGAAAATTTCAAAATTCTATCAAATAATGTTTTTAGTTTTAAGCAGATTGTTTGGTCATTGAAAGACAAAGAATCTGTACTAGATTTATTGGAAGCTTTCGATTCATACAAAACATTTAATCTTTAAACATAAACAGAGAAGCATTTATTAGCACCTAAAAATCACAAAACCTTATTATTTTTTTATGTAACGTTTGGAAAGGTATAAGTACTAAGGATAAAAAAGAAAAATATTATAGATGTTATTCATTGATGTGCTAAAATCTTTTTGCATTATTTACATGTTTTAATATTAACTTCAATTAAAAGATTTAGAAACAAATACATAATTATTTATGGAAATTTTTGAATTATTTTTTAAAAATATTAAATTTTGTTTTACTTACAATTCTATAGATATTAATATTGTAAAATAAAATGGTTTTAAAAGATTTTAGTTCATGTAAGACATTAAAAAAGGCTTAAACAACGATATGTTTACATAATCATAGTTAATGTAAATTATTGCACTTTTCTGTAGGATTTTTAAACACAAAAAATTATATTATTTTTGTCTGTTCGTTTTTTTCCGATAATACAACACTAAAATGTAATATATTAAAATATATTGACTAATAATTAGACTATCATTTGGAAATAACATTTAATAAACACAGAAAAAATCATTAAAGCTTTATAATTTTTTTTTTCATGAAAAAAAGAAAAGGTGCTATCTTCTAGAATTAATTAAAGTTGTAAAAGGTTGTAGCTTATTATTTTTCTAAAATTAACTCTTGAATTTTATTATTTAAAAGCATTTATAAGAATTAAAAAAGAAATATTTCACATTTTATTACATTCTTTGTTTTTCTATTTATTAAATACTATCTTACCTAATTATATAAATGTCTTTCAAATGTAATCAGTCTTTGTCAGGATGTATTAATGAAACATTAGGTATAAATGAGTGCTTTACACGTAATGTATTTGGCATGTCAGTATTTAAATAATTATAATAAAATAAACCTATGTCTTATCTCAATAATTTGTTTTTCACCCCTTATTATTAATGGTTATAAAATGGCATGAAAACGTTTTACATTTCAAAAATAAAAAAATTGAACTAGAACAAAAAATTCTCAAAGTCGCACAATACACTAAATGGTTAGTTGTAGCTACGCCGCATAAATTATTTTTCTTTGGAAATGAAGATTACACAATGTCATTTCCTATTTTAGCAATTGATATTGCAGATAATCATGTTATTTACCAAGACAGAACAAATTATAATATTTACAAAGTATTACATCCATACGATGAAGAAATATTTTTATTTAATGCCAAGAATTTTATTTTTAAATTTTTGTATTTGGATAAATATTATTTTTTAGAAAAAGAAAATAGATTTTTTATAAAAAACGATGAAGATTTTTTTGAACTTAAATTAATAGTTTTAAACAATTTAGTTAATTATATCTTGTACAAATTTGATATTGGTGAATTAAACGCTGTTCAGGATTTTTTAAACAAATCCTTTGATACACAACAAAGAGAATATCAAATTTTTTTATATACAGATTATGTGATAATATTGTACGAAAATACACTTACATTTTTAATGAATGAAAATAACAAACTTGTAATTAGAGAGCCAATTTATTTAAATGAAAAAATATACATGCATAAAATAATAAGATTTAAACTCATTACAAAAAGTTTATATTTATTACAAATTAATAACTTATTATTTTACAGAGACAAGTTAATATCTCAATTTAGTAAAAATTTTTATCCCGGCGCATTTTGTATCAATAAGTATTCTTACTTTCTGCACGATATCTTTTGGAAAAAACCTGACGCGTTAGAACTAAGATTTTTAGAACCCCTTAATGACGATTTACTTCTAAAAGTTATATCGGAATGCATAAATACTGGAAAATATAACTTTAACAATATTTGTATCGAAAGAAACCAAATAGACGATATTCTTGAGTTGGAGTTTATAAAAGAAAATAATTTGGTAGATTTTGTCAAAAAAATACAAAAATATGATTTTTTAGAAAATTCAATATTTTACAGTAAAATTAACCATCTTTCTTTTTACAAACCTTTAACGATAGAAGTATTGGATTTGAAATATCTTTTATCTATCAATTATAAGAGAATTTTTTACTATAATCCTAATATACCTGTAAATAAAGATGTAAAAAATTTAGCTTATATGATAATTTATTACGAAAAAAATAGAAATGCAAGATTTAAAAAAGTTAAAAAATTGAACATGAAAGCTTTTTTTAAAAAAGAATATAAAGATGATCGAATGTCTGAAGTGATAAATTTGTTTTATGAGCCCGTCAAAATTTTTAATTTAGACGAAAATATAAACGAAGATACAACAGAAAAAAGTTATTTATTGAGGATTTCAGTAAATATCGGAAAATCATTTTGTTTTTTTGATAATAATTTTTTTATAAAACAACATAAACTCAATGTAGATAGCCTTAATAGACATCTAATTTTTCCATTAGAGAAAAATGGAAATATAACAAATATAGAATTAAAGGATAAAACGTGGATTAATTGGCCATCTTTTAATTACGGATGCTGTAAAATATTAGGAAATAAAAAAAAAGTCAATTTTAAACATATACTAACATTAAAGGATATAAACGAATTTATGTTATCTGGACTTGTATTTGGATTTGGAATAAAAAATCTATTTAAAAATATAGAATTTTTAAGTATTTTAGAGCATATTAATGAGGAACAAGGAATACTATTATGTTCGACATTAGCAGCATATGGTATTTCAAATAGAGGAATCAGAAATAACAACTTTGAGGAGTATTGCTTTAAAAACATCATGAGCGAACAAAGTATTAATGTCAGAATTGGGTCATTGATCGGTCTTTCGAATATTTTTGCATCTACAAAAAATTTGCGCTTAATTAACATTTTAAAAAAAGAAATAGAAAAAAATGGAATATTTTTATCTGAAAAATATAATAAAAATAACACTACTGTATATGATAAATATTATAAATTAATATGTACATTCAATCTTGCAAAGGTTGTAAATCAATCAGATGAATTTGTTTTTTTAGAAAATAGATTATGTGAACTGATTTTTAATGGAATTTGTTTAAAAAATAAATTTAAGCATAAACAGAAATTTGAACGACATAAAGGAGATCCATTAGAAGAAATATTTTATTCACATATGTTTTTAGAAGAATGTTGTAGTTTGAAAAATAATAATTCCGTATTGTGTCATAAAGTAAAAAATTCTAATCTGAATGAGATTAATTGTAAAATAGCTAATTTTGATGAGCGTATAATTCAAATTGAAAATAATATTGGAACATTTACTATTTGGGATGTTTTTAAATATGCAGGGATAGTATTCTATTATGGAATTAGTAGAAGTATTAAAATAAAAAGAAAACACATTGATATATTATTAATGGTTGAGTCAATAATGATTAAAGATAGTAGATTTAGGGTTTTGTTTGATTATATTCTTATAGCATATTGTCTTTCTAGCAGATCAAATTGTGATTTAGAGCTTTTAAGAATTATAAGACGGCAGATTAAAAGAACGGAAAATAAAAGAACTAGAGATATTTTTGTTTTTACAAACCACGGAATAAAAAAGGAAAACGTCTCAAGTTTAACATATGGAGATTTTGAAAAGTATAAGATTTGTTTAGGAATTTTATGTCTTGGACTAACAAAGTTTGAAATAATAGAGTCAAAGTTTCTGAAATTATCATTAATAAGTACATTTTACGTAACTTGGCCCACTTCTCCACATGATCAAGAATATTTAACTTTTTATAGATATGAATTATTTCAAAATATTGGTAAAAAAACAATACCAAGCTTTAAACATTATTTATTATCTAAATATTTTAAAAAGAAATTTAAAAAGCTAGAAAATAAGGAAAAGAAGTTTATTCTTGATGTCTTGGGTGATTATTATGAAAATTATCATAATAAAGAAGATTATGTAATTGATATAGAATATTTAAAAGATTTAATAATAAAATCTACTTAATGTTAACCGAAAAATATAAATAATAACTATTTAAAGATTCCTTAATGTTTTAAATAATTATATTTCTTCTTGCTCTAAAGTCAACCCACATATTTCACATGTTTTTAATTTATCTGTTCCAATAAAAGAATGTGTATGTTTTTTATTTTCAGTGGTTTTAACAAACGTGCGTCTCTTAAGATCTCTAATTTTAATTTTTAACTTTTTAATTTTTCTGTTTTTTATTGTTTCTGTCCGTTTAAGTTTAATTTTTTCTAAAGCATCTTCATTTCCATATTTGTTCATGCTAATATTAATTATTTCATCTTCTAGGTATAACAACATATCATGCCAGTTTCCTTTATGTGGATTGGGTCTGGAAATATATTTTAAATTTTTAAGATCATAATCAGATAATAGATACTCTTTTATAGCTGTAGTTTTTGTTACAAATTTTAGTTTTTTATATCTGCATTGTGAACAGCACATAATTGCAAATGTTTTGTGTAGCTCGTTATCTATGAATGGTGAACTACAATAAATACATTTAGTATTTGTATCATACGGTAAATCGTCAATTAAAGATTTTTTAGAAGGAATTAAAGTATTTTCAGAAATAAAAAATCCATTTTCTTCATCTTCCATAGCAAAATAAGGAGTGGTGAATTTTATGGACTTAAATAAATTATTTATAAATATTTTAAACAAATTAAAATTTATTTACAATTGTGTTGTATGTGGATTGTTGTATATAAATGGTTTAAATGTTAAATGTTTATCTATGTTTGGTTAACAGTTATATTGTATTATTTTATCATAAAAATAAATTTTAGTGCATTCTTAATTTTAATTTTATTGTTAAATATTTCATCATCCTTTATTTACAACATTAATTAGCAATTTTAAAAATCATTTTTTGCAAATTTCAAGTTATAGAAATTCTGGAATAGGTGATGTAAAGTTTTTGTGTTTAATGAATTTAATAGGCCTTTAAAATGTTTTTCAACTTTTTTGGAAGATGGTCCGAAAATCCTTCATGGCAACTTAAGCCTTTAAAATATGCAGAAGAGAATGAAAATAATTACGGTGGAAAAGTTTTTCTTCCTCAGTCGGTATTAGAAGACCTTGTTGTACTTCAAATACAACCACCGTACACATTTCAGATTTCACGCACAGACACGAAAGAATTCACACACTGTGGTGTGCTTGAATTTACAGCAGAAGAAGGAACTATAGTCGTCCCACTGTGGATGTATAACCAACTGGATTTAAAATCTGCAAAAGAAGTCAAGCTAGCGTATAAAACCATTGAAATGGGGACATATCTAAAGCTTTTACCTCATACACCTAAATTTTTAGAAGTTGAGAACCCAAAACAAGAACTTGAAAATGTATTAAGATTTTATCCGACATTAAGCTTAAATGATGAAATTGAATGTGTGTTTTCAGAAATTGGATTAATTAAATTTACAGTTACTGAAATAGACCCCAGTGATGATGGTGTTATATACACTGTCGACACAGATTTATCAGTAGATTTCTGTGAACCAATCGGATACAAAGAGAAACTTGAAGATGAAAAGACCGTAAATAAGTATTTGGAAGTTAAAAAGACTATTGGAGATGTTAACATAATTAGTATGAATAAAATGGGGATATCTTTTCATCCAAAAGGAGAAAATTAAATGTGGGATTTTATAACTTTAATTTAAAAATTTTTAATTTATTTATGAAAAATAAAATAAAATTATACCTTTATTGTTCATTGTATTTATGTTGAATTCCTCAATATAATATTCAAATATTAATTTATGTCATTCATGATAATTTTTTAAATATTGTAAATAAAGATTAATTTATAAATAATTGATTAGTATAATAAATAAAACACTAAAATTACTGCTGTTATTAACAGAAAAAAAATTATTTTGTTTCTAGGATCTCTGTTCATGGAATCTAAAAGTTTCTGAAAATTTTGTAGGTTCTGGAACATAAGGCCTGAATTTTTGCGCGTTTCATTTTCAATGCTTTCAATAAGCAATTCCTGTTGATTTAATTTATCAGATAATTCAATCACTACACTCTTAATTTTTTTTGAAGTTTTCTCCAACTTTATTTCTTCTTGTTTCATGTTTATTATTTAATTAAATATTTTTTGTAATGAATTTTTAAAACAAGAAAATAAGACTTATATTGTTTTATAGCATAATTTAATTAAACATGTTTTATAAAAAAGCAATTTTTATTTTTGCATGATATTTATTAAAAGAAAGTGTTAAGAAAAGAAAAGCTTTTTGTGCTGATAAGAATGTTAAACTAAAATTAATACATTTCTAAACATCTTAATATCAAAATATTTTTTATTCAGCACACATAGAGTCTTCATCAATAGACTCATTCTCTTCTTCTTCTTCAATTTCATAAATTCTAAATCCATATATTTTTGGTACATATTCTTGCAATTTCTTCTTTTTGAATTTATAAGGATATGTTATTAAAAGAAAATGTGGAAAATACTTTCCCCAAGCACATCCATCCAGTCCTTTAATAGGACCTTTTGGTAAATAAATACAAACACAGTTAAAACAATAAACTTTGGTAGAAGATACTTTTGGTTCATTACTTCCACCAATAGGAATTAGGGGTGTAGAACATCCTACACGGCTACAAGAGCCATAATCCTTATTTAAAACTTTTTCTAAAATATCTTCTAAACCTGTTGTTGTAAAAATGTACCTTTGATGAATCAAATAATATAAAGCAGATTCTTCTAATATATCTTTACTTGTGGTATTATCTAAAATGGCATTGTAGCATGTCTCAATATTGGAAATTTTCTTATTTAAACCGACAAGATTAAAAGAATCGTTTATGTAAGAATCCGGAATACGAGCCAAAAATCCATGTTCTTTTTTTAAAAAAAACTTACCAGTCCAATATTGTGACTCGGAAACTTCAGAACTTTCTTCTTTAAATTCTAGTGTTTTTTCTTTCATATACAAAAAATGAAGGTATTAAAATCTTAATTTTTTCCATAAATTGGTAAAACAACAAATTTTACTATAAAAAATATAAAAGAAATTTTAAAAAATATTTTTCCATAGACCCAATGACAGAGAATTTAGAAGATTTGGAATTACAGTTTAAATTTCAAGAATATTTATTTAGTGATAAGGTTGAAGGATACATTTTTAACTATCAACTTATAACTGGTGACATTTTACCATCTTATGGTAAAATATATTTTATATCTAAAGATATTCAAAATTTTTTTATAAAGGTACCATTTTACTATTCACTACTAATTGAATGTATAAATATAAGTGATGTTCAAGAATACTTAAAGATTAAATATGCAGAGGGATATCATCATTATGAACTTGTTGAAAGATTTGATATTGAAGAATACAATCATTTAAATAAACCGAAAAAAATGTTTTTAAAGGTTTTTATAAAAAACCAGGCAATTTACAGTAAAATTGTTAGAGATCTAAAACAAATAGTGTTGCGAAATAAAAATAATCGAAGCATCAACGATGTCTATAAAGAAATGATGTATTCTGAAGACGAAAATAAATTTGATGTAAAAACAAATATTTTAAATATCTATGATTTTGACATACCATCCGAAATTTTATTCGCAGAGATGTATAAAATAAGAGTTGGATGTTGGTTTGAATTCTCATACAACGGCGAAGTACATATTATTTCTGCGGTAAACATGTTAAAGATTCCTAATTTTAGAAAATTGGCTTTCAGTATTATAACTACAAATCAAGATTATTTAAATCCAGATTCAAACACAGATCAAGCAATAATGATTTCTGTTAAAACAGATACAACTAATATTTTGTTAATTAATCAAAACATTATTAAGGAGAATTTAAATGAATTAGAATATACTTATGGTAATGAATCCAATATATTTACAATATACAATGTTAGTTGTGAAGAAGATCTTCTTTTAAAATTTATTGAAATAATACAAATATATAAACCACATATATTGATTACATATAACGGCAATTTATTTGATTTTTCATTTATTGAAACTAGACTTCTAAAATACGGACTTATAATGAAAAATCTTATAGGAATTACGCGCATTTTTGATTATTTCTCTTGTCCATTTATACTTCATTTTGATTGTTTTACATGGATATCTAAATACGGAAATATACCGTATAAAAATTTTACCTTAGAAATTGCAGCGAAACATATGTTAGATATTTCAATTGATAATCTTGTACAGAGTAAAATAAAATTTTTTGGTGACAAAAGATTTTGTGCATTAGTAAATAGCATAGTAAAAGAGGTTTTGGTTGTTTATGATATTTTTAATCAAAAAATTTTTTACCAAACATTTTCATTAGCTACTATTGTGCCTTTTCCCATTTGTAAGATAATTAGTGAAATTTTAGAATTTTTATATGAAAGTATTTTAATTGTAGAATCTTTAAATTGCTCACTTTTAATACCAAGCATTAATCAGAAAACCAAATTTAAAATCCAGAACGGAAAAATTATTAATAAATTAACTAATAATACTTTAAATCCCTTTTGTACAAAGGAAGGAATTTTTAGAGCTGATTTTGAACATAATTTTATACTTAAAGATGAAGAGTTTGAATATATTTGCAAAAATATAGATATTTTTCTTAAAGATTTTAGAAATGAAATAGATTACAATTCCATTAAAACGTCAATTATTGATAATTTAACAAAACTTAATACCGGCTTAAATACAAAAGGTAATATATATCACATCGATATAAAATCTTTATATACAGATATAATTTTGGCATTGCGCCTACAGCCAACTTCATTTGTAACCAAAAATACTTGTATCAGATGTGATTTTTATAAAAATGAATTTAATTGCATTCTTCATTTAGATTGGCAAGCTAAAGTAGACTATTTTTTACTTGAACCAGATGAATTTAAACAAGTTAAAAAAGATGTCATTGATGACTATAACAAGAAATATCATAAAGATGACGGTTATAAATTAGAAAATTCTGTTAAAAAGTATAAAACTGAAGCTTCTAATTATTCTAATTTTGATGACTTATCGACTGACATGCAAAAAAAAATTTTAAGAAATAAGATAGAAGATTATTCGTGTGAAAAAAATAAAAAGTCTTCATACAAAGTAATTGAAAATTTTCAATCTATTGTATGTCAGCTAGAATTTTCTTTTATGCTTAATGTATTGAAAAAATTTAAAGAATATTTTATTTTGTACAAAAACAATCTTGAAAATATTAAAAAAGAGCTAAAAGAAAATTATAGTTCAGAGAATTTAAAAAAGAGTAAATTAACATCTTCCATATACTGGGCACATGAATATCTCTACAATTCATTTTGTAAATATATTTATTATGAAGGCGCTAGATGGTATTCAACAGAAATGACAATAATATTGGATAGTATCGCTACTGAGATTATAAAAAATTGTACTACTTTGTTAAACAAATTTTCTCTTCCTTTGATTGTAAATTCAGAAAGTATTTGGACATTGTTACCTTTTACATTCCCTCAAGAAGTTGAATTTAAATCAGGTAAAAAATTTAATTTTCTTGAAAGCTTCATTAATTTTAAAATTTTAAAGAATTTAAAACAGCAAGTCAAATGGAAAAATGAATGTAAAGAAATAGAAGATAAAATTAATTTTAATATTTATGGCCCATTTAAAGCTTTAATAGTGCCTAGTACATTACAAGAAAATAATCATTTAAGATCGAGATATCTAGCACTAAATTTTGATGGTACTATATATAAAAAATCTAGTCTTTACGAAAAAAAAGATTTTGATTTTTTATCAAATTTACAAAAAAAGTTATATTTATCATTTAATTATGGAAATAACTTAGAAGAATGTTATTGCAATTTATCTAAAATTATTAGAGAATCCTTAGATGTTATTGATAATAAGGGGTGTTTTCTAACCACGAATGAAATATGTAGTCTTTTCAGTCAATATAATATATTGAAAAACAATGGTTTAGAAGTTGCTGATAAAAACAATATTGCATTTCATATTGCTCAAAAAATAACAGAGATTATTGATTCCCAGTATTATTTTAATTTTTTAGAAGATAAATATATAATATCTATTTATCCATTAAATGAACCTATTTATAATAGAACAATTCCTATTTCCGTGTTCGAAACACAAGAAAATAAACATTTGATTAAAAAATGGTGCAAATTAGATAAAGAGTTAGATATTAGAGAAATAATCGATTGGAATTATTATAAAAGTTGCATAGAAGAGACTGTTATAAAACTTATTGTTTTGCCTTCTAGAGGTCAACAAGCTGGAAATTATTTTCCATTCTTAAAAGTCTCAAATAATGTGTACAAAATAACCACTAAGACAGATTTATCGGAATATTTACTTTTAAAAAAGGATAATGTTAATAAATTACCTAGCATAATACCAATTAAAAAAGAAATTATACAAGACAAATACTGGTTATATTATAACAAAATAAAAGAGCAGAATGGATTGATTAAAATTCAAACGACAGGTGATAATTATACTTTTATTTTTAGTTCTAAAAAAAATGTACACAAACCTATTTCTAAAACTATTTATTTTAAGGCAGAAAAGATTTTTTATTTGGGCCATTCTGTAAAATTTGACAAAAAGATTTTACCAGAAACAAATACATTAGAAAAGATATCGTTTATAAATGATAGTGAAAATAATGTATTCAATTTTCTTACAAATACACTTATTACAGATGTATACAATTCACATGTTCCTTCTATTTTTCAATGTCGATTTGAGGAATTTAAAATATCAAAAAATTTATCTTTTTCTGTATTAACTACCTTTCATTATGATAATTCAATTATTTATGTATTTAGTAAAAATGGAAAGTATACCTTTATTTCTAATTTTAAGCATTCTAAAATCCAAAATATTAATATTAATGATTTTTTATCGAAACATGTTAGTGGCTTAATTGTTATTAACAGATTTGATAAAAATTTTGACACTTTGTTGAAACTGTGTGAAAAATATAATACAATTGTTGATCAAGTTCATAAAAAGTTATTTTTATGTAATTTTTCAAAATTATTAGAAACGCATAAAAATTTACATAAAGAGATACTTTCAAATATAAAAATGAAACAAGAATTATGCGCATATGCAAATATTCCTTTTGGAAATAATGATATTAATATACTTGATTATATTTTATATAAAAATATAACAGAGCTTAATGGTGTCTTATCACATCCAGGTGATGAATCTTTTAGATTATATAAAAATGAAAAAATTATATCAGGTTACTATAATCAATATACTATTCAGTTTGAATGTGTAGGATCTTTAATATTATCTATTTTAGAATATAAGTTTTTACTTGATCAGCAAATGTATCAAGAACTTGAAAGTATTGAATTTAAATCTTTGTATAACATTATTAAGAATTTATTTGTAGATAGTAGTAAGAATATCTTAGGTGCTAGTTTATTACTTAATAAAGTTGAAAACTGGATTCGTCGTGATTCAAATTTACTTTCTGCAAAAATTAGAAATATGGTTAGTTTTTTACATCAGAGATATTTATTCAATATTATTGCTTTTTTTAAAGAAATAAAAATTAAAATGGTTTATGTCAGTTGTAACATTATGTGTATTGATTTGGAAAAAGATACCAAAGAAGGAGCTGCTTATGTTTTTGATAATTGCAAAAAATTAATTCAAGAAAAAAAGGAATTTTTACATTTAAATTTAAGACAATTAAGAATTTTTGAAAAACTTTTGATTGTTGATCCAAACATTTATTTTTATCAAAAGAATGGTGATATTTTTAATTCTAGCGAAATAAAGATGCCTATTGATTTTATTAAAAGATATTTTGATAATGAAAAGCTTAAAAATGAATATATATATGATTTAGTGACAAAAGTAGATATTGATGTTGCAAATTTAATTATTACAGCTTTGTCTTTTAAATCAGACATGGAATATGTTATTTCAAATTGTAAGAAGTTATTAAAGATAGATGACTTTTTAGAATCAGGAAAATATCTTGAAATGGTTATTTTATGTAAAAAATGCAACACAGAGAATATTTTAAGAAATAAATGCATAAAGTGCATGTCAATTTATGAAAAAGATAGTATTTTTCAGGTTATCGATAAACATTTTAATTATTTTATTAATCTAGCTTTAAGCCATGATATTTATTGCAATAAATGCAGTTCTATAAATGAAAAGATGTTAGTTGAATATTGCGATTGTGGAGGACAATATGCAAAAAAAGATTATAGTAAAGAATTTTTAACTATTCTCAATAAGATTACTGATAAAGATATCAAACAATCTTATAAAAAGAAACTTAAATTTTATCAAATAAATTTATAATCTAAATATTTATTTAAAGCATAAATGTTAAGGTACAAATATTTTTTACAATAAACAAATTTATGATAATTTTGTACTTTTTTGTATGTATTTATTACCCAAATTTATAAATGAGTGATAATTATGTTCAAACAGATATCCTAGATTATATAGATATTCTAAAATATAAATACACACCATCTAGGACTTTTATTACATACATAGAAAATTTTGGTTCTCTTTGTGTTTCAATTTCTGTACAGAAAGATTATCTTTATGCTTTTTGTAGATCCATCCTTGGCTTAAAAGAATTTAAATACTTTAATGACGACTCTTCTGAAAAAAGTATATTACTTAGAGCTGTTTATGAATATTTTCAACTGTTTGTTAAAAACTGGGATATTCAAATAAACACAAAACCAAGATTTTTTGACACATTACTTTCATTTGTAAGTTTTAATCTTTATTCAATAGGTACATCAATAACAAGTAATTCTCTAAGCAGTTTAGTACAAGTTAATATCCTATCAAATATACATAATTTCAAGATAGAAGTTCTAAGAAACAGGTTCATAGAATTAAACTACTTTTATGCAGAAGAAATAGAAAACTTTATTTTAAGGGACTTTTTAGACATTGAAATTAAATCAACAAAAAAAGAAGTAATAAACCATTTTAACGAAATAATAGTCACATCTGAAGATTTAGGAAAAACGCAAATAGAATATGAAGATTTAGAAAATGGTCCAGAAATAATTATCAAAGAATTTATTTACAGCGAAATAGAAGTTTTACAAATTGTCAATAAAACGTATTATGACGAAATATTAAAGTTTAAAGATAGGCTTCCCGCGTTTAAGTATAATGAATATTTTAAGGATATTGAAGATTTTTTCAATTTGTCTAAATTACTTGTTAAATCTCTTGTAAGAGCATTTTATCAATATAAGTATCCGTCTGTGAGTCATACACTAGCTGATATTTTTATTACGGAAAAATCTACCAGTGACAAAAGTCACAAAATAAAATTTGTAAATGAGGAAAAAGACATAGTAGAAAAATTTACGAGAATATTAGTAGATAATGGTGACTATTTTGATTTTTACAGAAATATTGTCAGTGGACATAAAAATATATTAAAAAATTGTAATATTAAAGGGGCAAATTTAATAAATCTATCAGATACATATAATATTATTTTACAGAGACTTACTAAATTTGACCTACTTTTTTCGCGAATATTAAAATACACAGATCCCAAATCGCACGGATACGATTTATTGAAAACATTTAAGCTAAAATTAAAAAAATTTGTCGTTTTTCTTGACGACTTGCTTGACGAACAATGTAAAAAGGAAAGAACGTGGGATCTTTGTATTAAACATCAGTTAATTGATGTAAAGGGTAATTTTATTGATGAAATTACTTCTAACGGACTTATGTTTATTTTACTTGCTGATTATATTCTTATTGTTGAAAATGACAAGTTAATAGATTTTTTAAATGTGAAAAATTTAGACGTTCATGAAAATGGAAAAAAATCGTTTTTTATTATCACGAATAAAAAGATAAACATCGATTTACATTATCATTTTGAATTGGAAAATTACAAAATGTATGTTATTAAATGTATTTGTTTAAGTAAAGGGATAAGAGATAGATTTGTATTAAACGTACGACAATCAAGAAAAAAGTATAGTACTAATCAGCAAGTAATAGTTAAAACAATAGTAAAAAATTTAGAAACGTATTCTATTCCTTTTTTATATAAAAAAGATGAAGAGTGGATTCTTATGAAATATAAGTTTATTATGGAAGAAGTGTTAAATGCTAATGAAAACAATGAAATAGTTAATATGAATGAATTGGATTAAAGTTATTTACTTGTAATACTTAATATTGATTTTTATTAGCAGTTTAGTAAAATGATTTTATTTCTAAATATTATTAAGACATTGTATTTAAAATATTGAATTTTACACGTTAATATTTTTCTGTGCATAAAAAATATCAAACAGTATCACAAGTGCTTGAGCGATAAAAAACTTAAGTATTTTTTATGCAAATACAATGCAATCTACATGTGCATAATAATTAAAAATTTATTATCCTTCATTTATGAATTCAGATCTTTTGGAATTTCATCAGTTTTGTAAGGAAGAACATTTTAAATTGCTAGATAAATACAATCTTCTCTACTACGGTTTTGGTTGTAAAAAAAATATTTTAAGAAAAATGTTTCCTGAGGCACTACAATTTGATATGAATGTTTATACCTTAAATGATATACTTCTTGAACTAAATATAAAATATAATACTAATTATAAACATCTATCTGAATTTAATTGTAGAGAAATTATTATTTTATTAGATTTTAATTTTAAATATGCATGCAATTTTTATTTTACGTCTTTTAGACTTATATTTACATTAGAAAAAATAAATAAAGAAATATCTTCCGAAGATTTACAAAATCTTAATATTATTTTGAGAGATTTAACGACTTACGAAGATTATGGAATTGACACTATAGAACATAAAGAAGTAAATATTGAAGGATATCTTAATGTTATAAGAAATGGATCAAAAAATAGCAAAATATCTTTTAAACATCTACTAGAATTTAATAAACCTACTGTACCTGTTGTAGATTTATTTAATAAAATAAAAAAAAATCTTATGATTATAAGAAAGAATTTATTGTTTAATTTTTTGAGTGAATTTATTGAGCATAAAATGATAAAAATTAAGGATCAACAAAATATAGAAATTTTAATAGATTTAAAATATTTTAAAGATCTTATTGATGAATGTAATAAAAATTAGAAAAAAATGTACCAATAATAAATAAATATTTTACTATTGAAAATTTATATGATTTGTTTTTGACTATTTTTGCATAAACTTAATAGCTTCGAAACAAAATTAAGGGTAAAAAAATAAAAGTGTTAATACAAACAAACTTTCAATAAAATCAGTATTTTATTTCTTACATAGGCGATAGCCAAAAAGTACTGTATATATAAATATTGTATAAAAAAATGGTGCCCATTCCGAATGAACGTATATTATTTCATACTTAAATGTATCATTTTCTTTTTTAATTTTTTGTGTTAACATTTTAAATTCACATAAAGATGAAATTCTTTTGTTTTTTAGTTTTTTATAAACCTTGAAAATATCATCTTTAATTTTAAATCTTTTATAAATAAAATTTTTATCATTATAATTTTCTATGTAATCTAAATAAAATACAAAACCTACCCTGTCTGTAAAATCCGTTAATGTTTTTGTGTATGTGTAATAATCCTGTGGATATTTCTTGTAAGGATTTACTAACATTGTAATATCTATAATTCCATCAGCATCTCCATTAAGAGATTCTTTTATAAGATTAAATCCTGTAACACGGGGCAATAAAACTTCTGTGGGTCGAAATATCTGTCCATTAAGAATACATGGATTTTTATCCATGTATTCTTTACACACTTGACTGCTTACAGAATCTAAATAAGTACCTTCAGGAAAAAATAAAAGATCATATTCATTATTTTTCTTAAGCCTTTTTATTCCTTCACTAATAATTTCTCTATCTTTTTCGAGTTTTCTATTTAAAAAAATGTATCCAAAGTATTTCATGCCATATCCAAGCAAAGGAATATTTCTAAGACTATTTTTTAAAATAATGCATATATTATCAAATCTTTTTAGTCGATAAAGTACTGTAAAAAGCATAAGCCAGTCATATTCAGTTAAATGATTAGATATCACAATATTCTTAGTTTTTCTTAAAATTTTGGGATCATAATAAATATAAATTGGTTTTGGAAATAAAAATGACAGGACAGATATTGTTAAATGAAACCAAATTCTTTTTATGTATTTTGTAGCATCTCCAACTCTTAATAATGTTATGATAATCAATAAAAAACCTAACAATATAATTCCTTCGAAATAAAAAATCATTACCACACCAAACAATAAAAAATTTGCAATTCTTTTTATTTTGGAAAGCAGCATAAATTAGGAGAATTTTGAAAACTTATATAAAAAAGGAGATAAACGTCAAATACCTTAAAAAGATATTAAATCATAAAAATGATTTATCGAAGAAACATCATTTTAATTAAGTGAAATATATTAATTTTGATTTCTTCCTTGACAGCACTTCTAATATACCATCCATAAAATCATTTTGAGAGATTTGTGTTTTATCTTTTTTAAGAGCCGCCATTCCCGCTTCAACACACACAGCTTTACATTGTGCACCATTAAACCCTTCAGTACTTCTAGATATTTCATCAAAATTCACAAGAGGATCAATATTCATTCTTCGCGAATGTATCTGTAATATACGTTTTCTTCCTTCAGAATTCGGTAAAGGGAACTCGATTTTCCTATCAAGTCGCCCGCTTCGAAGAAGTGCTGGATCTAAAATATCCACACGATTCGTAGCAGCAATAATCTTGACATTATCATGCGAGGTAAACCCATCCAATTGATTAAGTAATTCTAACATAGTTCTTTGCACTTCCCTATCACCTGTCTTATCAGATGCAACTCTTTTAGTACCAATAGCATCAATTTCATCAATAAAAATAATAGTGGGTGACTTTTCTTTAGCTAAAGCAAAGGCATCTCTAACAAGCCTGGCACCATCTCCTATGTACATTTGTACCAATTGCGGGCCAGCCAATTTAAGAAATGTCGCATTTGTCTTACTTGCACATGCCCTCGCCATTAATGTTTTACCTGTTCCAGGAGGACCATACATTAATACACCTTTAGGTGGTTTAATTTTTAATCGAGCAAATCTTTCTGGATGTGTAAGAGGAAGGACAATGGCTTCATTCAGTTCTTCAATTTGTCTTTCTAACCCACCAATGTCTTCATAAGTTTCATCTGGTTTAGTATCCAATTCCATAGCTTTCACTTTAGTGTCATAATTAGGAGGCAGTTTTTCAAAAATAATATTTGTTTCTTTATGCAGAGCTACAGGGTCACCAGGCTTCAATTCATTTTCATTTACAAGGCCCAACATAGGCAGGTAAGACGTAATTCTTGTAGATGTATTAACAACACCGGTTCCATTATTTAGCAATTCTACCAAGGTACCAACTAGAAAAGGTAATTGTTTATTTATTCGAATTTTTTCCATATTCTCATAAACTTGTGAAGACTTAGTAGCGGTGTCATGTTTAATGCTATTTACTCTGCTTTGCAAAATTCTTGTCTCAGAAATTATTAATTTAGTTCTTTCTGCTATTTCTTCAATAGATCTATTTTCATACTCATTATCATACTTTTTAAGTTCTTCCATAATTATAAGAAGGGTGTAATTGTATAATTTTTATCCCTAAACTCTAATGTTTATGCAAACATTAGAGTTTAATATTTTTAAAGAAAGTGCAAATCAGAATAACTAACAAATTTGTATTAAATGTTATATTCTCGTAAGCATAATATTTTTTGTTGGTAGTAAAAAAATTTACTAATTTTTTGAACAAATGTCGTGTTATAAAAACTTATATTTTTTAGAGTTTTTTTAAATGTCAATTAAATATTACCTTAGGTTAATAAATCTTTTGTAAACCTTAATCACCCCAATATTTTTAATGCATAGTAAAACGCAAAAGAAAATTAAGTCGATTGATGAAACGCATGAAAAAAATTTACAAAATGAAATAAAAAAATGCTTGAAAACATCAGAAAAAATAGATAAAATTATCAAAAGTATTTATAAAACCGTAGAACTTACAAAAATGAATGCTACAGAAGAATTTAAATCTTTTATTGAACCTAAAACAAGTCTTGATAGTTTGTCAGAGTTCTACGAAATATTTATTAAATGCGACGATAAATTGCAACAAATTCGAGAAAAAGACATTAAAATACAAGATATTGAGCAAATAATCGAAAACTTAAATGTGTGTAATGATCTATACAACATAATCGAAGATCTTAAAAACTTCGAGAAAGTTGTAATTGTTCAAAAATTACTAAGAGACACTAACCAGACACTTGAACCAATGATGAATAAAATTGAGGTTATATTTTTTCAGAATTTAGGAAGAAATCTTCATGATACTGTAAATATGAACAAAGTAGCTTTATTTTTGATTGAAAAGCGTGACACGAAAACATTCCTTGGCAGATATTCCAATGAATTGTATAGTAAAGTCAACTTCGACGATATTAAATTTAATAAAAAAATGTTACTGCAACAGACAGGTAACATCGATAGATACATTTATGACCTCAATGTTTATAATAAAAAAATTTTAGGAGAAACCACCGGATCAGGTATTAATTTGGGGCTAAATAAAATATTAATTATTAATTTAACAAAAATTATAGGTGATATCCTACAAGTCATAGAAAGAGAAGAAAAACTTGAGGATGTTCCTTTTTTAATGACCTTGAATAATCATTTGAAACATACAGAAGAAAATAAAATCAAAGAAATAGAATCTTTATTCGTATTTAAAGATCCAATTAATAAAATTATTTGCAATATATTTCTTGCATATACAAGCAATGTTGATAGACTTGACGCTCCAAATAAGTTTTGTGATGTAGAGATATTAGCAATAAATCTTAGAAGGGCATTAGATTCCCTTAATTCTTATAAAATTCTAACAAAAATATTTTTAAATACGTACGGGCCACTATTTAAAATAAAAACTTTGACTGAGTGTAATGATTACTTTACAAAACGACTTGTCTGTAAGATCTTAAAATTTAGTGAACCTATGCCAAATCTTAAAAAATTTATTTACTTGATAAACAATCTTTATACATTGCAAAATTACATAAGTGAAGATTTAAAATCTAAAATTGGCACCTGTTCAGATAATCTTGTTAAAACTTTTAATGAAGAATTACAGAAAAGAAATCAAGCAAAGCTTACTTCTTTTATTGATTTAAATATTAGTGCTTTTAAGAGCTATTATTTACCAGATGATATAAGAATAGGAGTAGTATCCTTGCTTAAAAAAAGTATATGGGAAGAAATTGGTAAAAAGGGATATGAAGGAGATCTAGAATCCTTAAACAGTACCATAAATGAGATGTTTATAGGAAAATAAAACAATGTTAAATTTGCAATTTACAAATATAAACTCGGTAAAAAAACTATTTCTCTTTTTAGAAGCACTGATGCTTCTTCAAATTTTTTTTCTAAATCCTTGTCTCCCATTAAAATTGTTGCATTAATCATTTCTCTACAACATTCGTCAAGTCTAAGAATAAGTCGAACAAACGCACCTTCTGATACACCGTAATTTTTAACAATATTTTGAAGTGATTCTTTTCGACACCAATCTAAAACAGCCTGCATCATTGAAAAATTTAAAGGCTTAAAAGGAGGAATAAATAAATCAGAAATATCTTTTGATAAATTTTCATAATAGCACAATAATCTAGAAACTCCCTCTTTCAAATCTACAGAATAATCATAATCATCCATTTCTTCTTCAAAAATCATACTAGAAAAAAGAGATATAATAATTTCTGGTTGAAAATTTTTAAATTTATTGTCAAAAATCATTTCTGTAGATAAAACTTCATTTACAGTTCGTATCTCTGCAGCAACTCTACCTTTCAATGTTACAGACTCATCATAAAATTTGTTTTTAACTAAAAACTTAATTCTGCTTTTGTACTCATCTATTAAATCTAAATTATTAATACTGTATTTAAGTTTAATTCTTAATATTTCCTCTTGTGCTAGAATGTATTCAACAGCATAATTATAGTGTTCTACAAAATTAGAACATGTAATACATTTAAGTTTACTAATTCTGAGATACGCATCTTTTATATTTTTTTCAAGCATAAAATCTTCAAAGTCTTTTAAATTGTAATCAAAAAAAGGTTTACCTTCCTTTAAAATGCAAAAAATATCGGAAACTTTACAAACACGAGTATTTGAATTTAAATAGATTGTGTGTGGAAACACCAATAGATCCGAACTTAAATGTGATTTTTTAGAAATTTTCAAATTCGATAACATGAAATTCAAATTAATATTTTCATTCTGTTTTACACTAAATGTACCATCAGAATTAACACTATTAATTCGAACTACTTCGTTGTTGAAAAGCATAACAAGGTCATTTTGTGAAATCAACTTATGCTTTGCAAAAAGTTTAGAATTATTTTTGCTAATAGTTCTTAACAAACTAATGTAAATATCAATATCCTCACATTCTATCATTTTTAACTTTTCTAATTCCACCAATTTAAACATGTCTTTATGTTCTGATTTTTGTTTAAAATGTTCTTTATAGCTTTTTTTCATTAAATCTTCAACTTTAAAATTTGATCTCAAAGCTATTAAAATTAAACCAAAGCTTAACTTAAATTGACTGTTTAAAGATAAGGGTGTTCCATCAATAATTTTTTTAATAGTAAAAAGTGATGGAACCTTTTCATCAGCAATAAGAACTGTTCCTACCCTATCCATGCCCCTTCTTCCCGCTCTGCCACTCATCTGTGTGTATTCACCATTAGTTAAATTTCTAAATGTTTCCCCGTCAATTTTACTAAGCGTTAGAAAAGCCACACATTTTGCGGGCATATTAACTCCCATTGCAAATGTTTCAGTCGCAATAAGAATTTTAACAAAATTAAAAGAAAACAATATTTCTACACATTCCTTAACAAACGGCAGAAGTGCACCATGGTGAACCATAATACCTAAATTTGCAAACTTTTTTACCTTAACAATTTGTGGTAAAAACCGGTCTTCTTCAGATAGCTGGTTAATTGCCTTATTTAGAAATTCATGAATATATTTTTTTTCTTGAACAGTAGTCAAATCTAAGCTACTTAATTCTTCAATAATTAATTCACATTTCCTTTTAGAAAAACAAAATAGTATAGCAGGCGCCAGTTTCTTTCTGATGATAAAATTTACGAGCTCTAAAACTTTAAACCTTCCAGTAGGTGTATTTTTTTTCGAATATGGTACAACTTTTGACTTAATATTTGATGGAAGCTTATGCTGTATATTAACATTTTCTGATATTGCATATACATCTCTATCGGAATAAATAAAGTGTTCTAAAGGTACTGGTCTTTTGTTAGTAGAAATAATATAAATAGTCCTACTTTTTGTTCTACCAACCCAATCACCAAACTCTTTTGCATTTGGAATAGTTGCACTAAGAAGAATAAAAGTTATATGTTTAGGAAGCATAATAATGCATTCCTCCCAAACAACCCCTCTTTCTTGATCATTAATGTAGTGAACTTCATCAAAAACAATATATCTTGTGCTGTGTAAAATATCATTGTTTTTATAAATTAAATTTCTTAATATTTCAGTCGTCATAATCAAACAATTCGCCGTCGGATTGACTTGCACATCGCCAGTAATAATCCCTACATCTGAATATTTTTGTTTAAAATCATAATACTTTTGATTACTCAATGCCTTAATTGGACTAGTGTAAATTGTTCGAAAATTATTCTTTTCAGATAAACAAATTGCGTATTCAGCAACTAATGTTTTACCAGCACTAGTGTGAGCAGAAACAAAAATAGATTCATGCCTACTAAGAAAGTAAAAAGCCTGTTTCTGAAAAATATCCGGGACAAAATCAATTCTTAAAATTGATTCATCCACATGTTTTGCATAATCTTTTGGTAGCCATGTTTTATCAACAGAAATTGAATGGGTAAGTTCTTTATAGGGTTTTTTATCATTCATGCAGGGATTATTATTTTAAATTTTTTTTAGCCCTAAAATAAATTTTGTGAGAATGCTTTATCTATATTTTTATAAATAATAGACAACAGTTCTCGTACATTTTTAAATTAATGTTTTACATTTTATTAAATATTTATGTTCTGATAATATTATTGTGAGTATTTAAGGTAACACAAAATAAATATTTTTATGCAATCTTATAAATATTAGTTTTAAAAAATTGCCATCATTGAAATTTTTTACATTGTATTACTTCTTTAAACAAAAAATAAAATATTTTATATTGTAGTTAAAAATATTTACATTTATTTTTTTACAAAATCCTATTAAAAAATTTTATACCATAATTTATTACGTGTAAAATACATTAACATTTCCAAAAACAAGTTATATATTAAATAAAATCTTTTTCAAAGTAATCCTTAAGTGCATTCACTTTTGTATCCCCAATTCCAGAAATATTTTTAAAATTTTTTTCGAGATTGCTAAAAAACTCATTAAGATTTTTATAATTCTTCAAAATACTAATAGAATCATTGGCATTAATTTTTGGAAAACATTGTAAAAATGTTTCATAACTTTCTTCTTTTCTTCGTAATACATTTATTGATCTATTTTGATTAATGTCTAATCCTTTTAAATATCGCGCACACTCCTCATTTGAAAATCCCAATAAAAGCGTTGATTCTACCTTATCAAACATTTCTAAAAGCGTAGAAGAATAATTATCACTATCTATATATAATAATATAACACTCAATTTGTATGGTTTTAGTTTATTCAATCTTTTGTAAATGTATTCTGGCTTTGCGCAATGAAATCTTAATGACAAAAATAGAACAGATATAGTGTCATTTATTTCATAATCAGTAGTAATATTATCAACGTAAGTATATGAAGAGTCAGTTAAATAAGAAATAACACTGTTAGCTCGTTGTTTGTTATTGATGCGAATCATTAGGGGAGTTTTAAATAGAAAATTATAACCCTAAATGAACTATAAATTGCCAGGAGAAATAATATGTGATGCAGACGAGTTTATTAAAGGACATGGAACACAAATTAAGGATGATTGTTTAGCATCTGTTTATTTTGGACTGCCAAAAGTTATTAATAAATTAGTTACTGTTGTGCCAAAAATGTATAATCGATACAATGCTGAGGTAGGTGATGTTGTAATAGGAAGAGTTACAGCTATTTATAACAAAAAATGGAAAATAGAAATGAATTGTAAATCTGAGACATCGCTAAATTTGTCATCGATAAATTTACCCGGTGTCGCCCAGCGTCGAAAACTTGAATGTGATGAAATAATGATGCGAGATTTTTTCGATATAGATGATTTAATTGTAGCTGAAGTGCAAAAAGTAAATAAAAGTGGATCAGTTTCACTACATACACGCAATGAAAAATATAGAAAGCTGGAAAAAGGCGTTCTGGTAAAATTGACAGCTTCCAATGTACCTTATGTCAAAACAAGATTTCTAAGATTTTCAGATTTTGAAATAATTATTGGATGTAACGGATATATATGGATAGCTCCGCTTAAAAATAATTTAGAAACATACAGAAATGTTTTTCATGTTGTAAATTATTTAAAAAAATGCATTTCAGAAAATACTGTTCCAGATTTCGATAAAATTTTTTAATTTAATTTTCTTCGCTACTGAAAAGATTTTCACAATCTAAAACTTCTAAAAAGTCATTATTTTCTTTTCTTGTGTCTACTTCAAATCTAATGGATACATGTTGACTAGATAAATGGTTTTTAAATAATTTCTTTAACTTATCATTATTAAATCTTAATTTAATTAAATCCTGCTTTGGAATATTTATACAAGTTCCGTTAGCCGGTTTAAATACAGGAATGTTAAACTTTTTTTCTATTGATTTTTTTAGTAATGAAATTCTTGATTTTTCGCCGTGAACTAACATAACATTTTTTGGTTGACACATTTTTATAAGATTTAAAATTCCTTGTGCATCTGCATGTGCACTAAAAGCCAAATTTTTTACTTGTATTTTTATTTCTTTTAATTCTCCTAAAATTTCAATTTCTTTATTTCCATTAAGCACTTTATCACCTACGGTGCCTTTTACGCAATAACCGGGAATTATTACAAGATTTTTTGGATCAGTGCACCACTCTTTAAATACCTTTAATGACATACCAGAATGAAGCATACCAGGGGATGCAAATAAAACCATCGGAATATTTAAATCTAAAAAGTGTTTTTGAAAAGTAGTAGTATGTTTAAAATCAAAAACGTTATGATTGAAAGCATTCTTTTTTATGGTTTCGTTAGTGTAACTAAGAAACTGTTTGTAAATATTATTAGCTTTTTCAGTTAAACCACTTGAAAAATATATAGGCACTTTAAGCTGCATTCTTTCCCAATGTGAATCAAGCAATAAACAAAGTTCTTGTGCCCTGCCAAGTGCAAATATCGGTATCAAAACCTTACCGCCATTAGACACACAATCTAAAACAGCTTTGAAAAATTCCCTCTCTTTCGATTTTCTACAATCTCTAGTGATGGATCCATATGTAGATTCTGTAATTAATAAGTCTGGTCTTAAACATGGTATAGAAGCTGCACCCAAATGCCTATCAGGTGTCATATTATAATCGCCCGTATACACAACACTTCTAGATCCAACCTGTACATGAAACATAGCTGCACCTATAACATGTCCAGCATAGTAAGGAGTAATAAAAAAATTTTCATCATGTTTATAAGTTTCATTGAAATTGATTGTAATGATTTTTTTCAAACAATTTTGAATGTCTTGATAGGAAAAAAATTTTCCGTCACTAGACTTGGGAGCTGAGATTTTTCTAAAATCTTCTAGCAATATAGGTATAACTGCTTTAGTAGGTTTAGTCATATATATAGGACCATCATATTTACAAATTTCTGTAAAAAAAGGTAGTGCGCCTGTGTGATCCAAGTGAAAATGTGAAATTATTATACAATCAATTAATTTATTAAAATCTCCTGTTTTACTTAAAGCAGAAAAATCAGGAAATCTTCTTTGGTCATTGTATCCCATATGCATGCCGCAGTCTAACATAATGGTTCTTCCTTCTATATTTACAATAATGCATGATCGACCAACATCTTGCCCTGCTCCTAGTGGGATAATTTTCATAAGGGTTTCAAAATAAAATTAAAACATTATCACGACAAGATAGATGATCTGTAACGAGTACAAAACAGAATGTTTTATTGTAAAACAAACTATATAATAAATTTTTAATGAAAACAATATGGAACAAAATTTTAATTGGTTTGATAATGATATCGATGCAGAATTAGAAGAATTTGAACAAAAAGATGACAAGCAAACAATATTTTCTTATATTTTTGACTTTGTATTTACTCAAGTAAATTATCTTTTGTTGTTTTTTATTGGAATAAGAATTATTTTTTTTGTGTTTAGGATATCGAAAGGAAAACTTTTTAATATCAATATAGTAGTACTACTTAACAGCATAATTTTTTCATTAGGCTCATTTGTAGCAATTGTATCGCTTGTAAAAATACTCGTATATGTTTGTCTAAATATTGATATTGATTCTAAGCTAGAAATTTTTTTAAGTTCTTACAGAATTTTTTCACTTATTATTTGGAGTTTAGTTAATTTATCGTGGTATAAAGCGATAAAAGAAGATGTAATTGGTAGTTATTATTTATTAAGAGCTCTTCTTACAGCAATTCTTGTTACAAGTGTAGCTTATAATATATCTTCTATTTTATTAATTTTATTTGACAAATATTTTGTTTTACAAACGTTAAAATCAAAAATTAACGATGTTGAACGAACTGAAAAGATTTTGTCTGTGATGAAAAACTTTAGATATGATTCATCTAGCACAAGCACAGCAGGAACACCTAGTTGTCCATGTCAAGACGTTTTTTGCTTTGATTTTTCAACAAGTTCTGCTAGAGAAATTAGTGATCGTAGAAGCTTAGAAGATATTGACAAAAATAAATCGTATTTAGATATACCACAGCCACAATTGCACAGTATTTCTGACGCCAAGACTTTGGCCAAAGATATCTTTACAAAAGCTAGTACGAATGGATTGACGCTATCTGTTGATGAATTTAGTAAAATTTTTACAAATCCGCAATCATCTTTAAATGCCTTTACTTACTTTGATAATGGTATAGATAAATATATTACAATGAAAACTTTTCATGACACAATTTTGGCTTTTTACATGGAAAGAGTTAACCTCGAAAAAAACATTTGTAGAGCAGAAGAGTTTGTATCGATAATCGGAACATTTTTTAATATAATAATATTTTGCTTCTTATGTTTAGTTTATCTGATATTATTTGGTGCGCCACTAAAAGAATTACTCGCACTAGCCTTAAGTAGTGCGTTGGCATTAAATTTTATCGCCAGTGGGATGGCAACAGACTTATATTATAATTTTATGATGCTACTTAGTCATCAATTTGATATCGGCGATGAAGTTATTGTAGACAATATCGAGTATAAGGTTTACGGGTTTGGACTTACCAGTACTTCGTTGTTGTGTGAAAACGGCGGAAAAGTAAAATTTTTAAATTCGGATCTTTGGAAAAAAACACTAATAAATATGACACGAGCACCAGAAAAAATACTAGTCTTTAAGTTTAATTTAAACCCAAACATTTCTCATTCCAACTTTTCTATGTTAAAGCAAGAAATTCATAATTTTTTACAACAGAAAAGATTTGATTTTATGGATACATTTTCATTGCAATCTGTATCTGAGACACACACGGGCATTGAATCTTTAGAGTGTTCACTTATCTTAAAATGTAAAGCATTTAAAAATAAAACAAAAAAATTTAATTTAAGAGTTGAAGCTACTAATTATTTGCGCAAAATTATTGAGAAATATGGATGCAATTAAACTATTTGTTTTTTACCTACTAAAATATTTTTTAATTCTATACATTCGTATAAATTCTGTTTTTTTAATAAACCTAGTTCTTTATACACAATAAATTATTAATTTAGGAGATTTTTAAAATATTATTTTAAAATTAATATTAAAAGCCATATTAAAATTTTTCTGGTGAAAAAATAGATTTGTAAATTTTACTTATTTTTAACTTACAAAAATAAACTTTAAATTTTTGTAAATTAACTTAAACAGATGTTGTTGAAATTTAAATACCGACAAAAATCATATACGACATTTAAAAACAAACAGAAATTTTATCTCTAGTACAAATTTAAATAGTTTTAATTTTATGAACTTTTTAAAATTTATTGTTCCATGAAAAATGTAATGTAAAAAAGAATTTTACTTGTTGTTAAAAAAAATTTTCTATACAATAATATGAAAAACTTATACCTTTATATGGTCCGTTTTTCAATTTTTACACGACTTTTTTAATAACTGTATACAAACAAGACTTGTATTAAAACAGAAGTTGATAGAGTATTTTATATTTATTGTTTTCTTAAATATTAATTCGATATTGACAGATATTTGTAAAAACACCATTAGGCTTCATAATAACCCTTCTTATTTAAAATTATTTACTTCGGTTGACTAAATTTGGAACTTAAAGTTGTCAAGAAAATTTAAAGATATTTATAATTTTTAGTACAACGCTATACGTGTTGAGCTTTAAAATATTTAAAAATACAGGAAAAATACAAATATCGCTTTTTTTATTGACGCCTTACAAATTTGAATTAATATTATCAGACGTTTTAAAAAATAAATTTTATATTTTCAATTATGATACTTTATTAGTCTTTCAAAACAGTATTTAAAAGATTTATAGCTTTATTAGAAACAAATTTCACAAGATTTTCAAATACTTGAAAAATTTATTAAATTATACATAGTTTTTATTTACAGTTGAATAAAAATATTTTTAAAATAAAAAATTACAAATTAAAATTTTCCTTAACCACTCTTTCGGGGATTAATACATCTTTCTACTAAGCGAGGCCCTTGTGGCATGCTAGCACCGATAAAGTGCTGTGTTGAGATTGAGGAAGGTGGAGTTTTTTAAGAGAAAGAGATTAAACATAATAAAAAAATATAGCAAAAGGTACAAAAGATTGGCTGAGAATTTAACAATTAAAGACTATGATGTAGCGTTATTTTAAAAATTTGTTGGTGCTTAAATAAATCTGATGAACTGAAGTTTTTTTCAATAAGAATTAATCAATAAACAAAAAAATTATTATTATTTTATTAATCACTCTTTTTAATCTCTTACATCTATCTAAAAATTTTGTATTTTTCGATTTTATACTCATTTAAAGCTTGTTGTTGTTTCTTATAAAATTATTATTTTGAAGCTTGATCAAAACATAAATTTTAAATTAAAAAATATTTTATATAAGATATTGACAAAATGATATATATCCAAGTTTAGTTTTTTTTATTAAAGTTGTAAAAAAGTGTAAATACAAACTTTAATTCAAATCTTTATTATTGATAACTTTAATCTAGGCCGTCTAATATAAAATTGATTTCGTCTTGTTTCTGAATTCCGAGTTTGTCCATAAGCATTTTGATCTCTTTCCAACTTTTAGTAAAACATTTATTTTTAATTTTGTATTTAGTATGCATATTTGTAACCAAAGAAGCCGCTTCAAAAACTGTTTTTAAAGTTTCCCACATACATTCACTCTGCACCTTTTTATATGCAGCAATATTTTTATAAATATCTAATAAAGATCTTTTAGACTGTGCATTAGAGCTAAATTCAAAGCTATTCAATAAATCAAAAAGCCTATTTTTAAAATATTTATCCCTACAATAATCTTCCCAAAAAGCTTCTGCCTCAATAAAAATAATTGTTTTTATCAAATTTCCAATTTTAAAATTTTCACATTTCTTAAAAACCTCAATAATTTTTTCAATCTGTTTTTCACATAAAAAATCTAAAAGTAAATTGAAAGATAAGTTTTTTGATATGGACACATTTTGAGTAGAAAAAATAACTTCTGATAAATCTAAAATTCCTAAATTTCCCAATATATGGATAAATATTAAGTAAATTCCTGATTTTTGTTTCCTCAAAATTCGTTGAATTATTGTCTTCAATAAATTTTCTTTTTTTATAAAGTGGTAATAAAATTTAGGACATTGACTTGTGTTTTTTTTTAGTTTATAAAATACTTTAAAAATATTTTTACACTCCTCTACTGTTTCAACAGAGACATATTGGCGATGTTTAATTTTTAAATTTAAATTGGAATTGAATGAATAAGCAAATCTTTGATTTAAATTTTTAAAGATTACACAATTTTTTTTCAAAATTATTTCAAATTTTCTTTTATCATAATTTATATTAAAGTTATAGGTACTGTTATACTTTAAATGATTTGGACTTAGGTCAAAATTGTAAATGTCAGCATTTAAGTTTAATGTTAACAAATCATGTATTGTAATAAAACTTTGTAAAATATCCAAATTGGCTCTGTCTTCTTTTATAAAATCTTTCATCTGGAAAATTTCATCTTGCATAATTGAATGATATAAATCATTAAGATTAAGTTGTTGAATATCAATCTTAAAAAAACAAACTTTTTGGTGACACCTTACAAAAAAACATAAGTAAAAAATATCATTTTCAAAAATACAAACGATATTTCTTCTACTTGGCCCAAAAGAATTATATCTTAAACTATAAAAATCCATCATAAAGTTATATAATATATCATTTTCTGTTTCAATAAAATTAAACGTAACTTTTTCCGAACTGTTGTATACCGAAGAATCAATCTTATCGATATCCTTTAATTTTTGACATATGTAGTGATCAACAATCGACCAACTACCTTTACTAGAAAATTTAAGGAATTTTATATTATTCATTTCACGCTTGTTAAAAATATTTTTTAAAATAATCTTCAGCCACAAGTCAAGTTTTTGTCTATTAAAATTAGTCTTAGAGATATTATACACCTCTCTAAGCCTCATTGAATATCCGCCTCTAGTGATTTTTTGAATAACATATTTATAATCTAAAGCCTTAATTTTGTACATAAAATATGATTCGATGAAATAAAAGACATTGTAATCTCCATTTTCGATCTTGCTCCTAACGATATCAACAATTTTTTGATAAGTGAACATACAGCAACTTATTAAATTAATTAAAGTTAATATTTTAGTGCAGCGCATTTTATGGGAAAAGAATAATCAAAATAATATATAAAAAATCATGGTATGACTAAATAAATGATCATAATTGTAAGTTCTTAAAAATTTTGTTAAGTTAATCATTGAATATCTATAGTTTAAAATAAAATAAATGAAAAAATTTATTAAAAATTTATTTTGATAAAAAAAATTATTTAACAGAGTTCAAAGCTTAAAATGTATTATTTAAATCACTATTTTTGTAAAAAATTTATAAAAATAAAATTTTGTATAAAGTTGTATTAATCATTTCCTAGCTAATTTTTAATTTGATTTAAGTTTAGTTCATATAAATTAAATATTTAAAAAAATGATCGATCAAATTCAGAGCAGAAATAAATAAAAAATTAAAGTTGAGACAATAATAAAATTTATTACTAAACAAAACTGCATTTAACTTTTTTAAAAATTATTTTTTTTCAACATCCATCCAACTTTTAATAACTGTGTCTTTGATTTTTTTTATGTACTCCGTTCTATTACTTTCGTACAATTCTGCTGCTTCAACATTAGCCGGCGATTTAATGTTTGGGTCATTAAGTAGTGATTGTACAGAAACCAAGATTCCTAATACATCATAACTTGGTGACCATCTATTTTTCAACATATCTAAACATAATTCACCACTCTGATAAATATTAGGATGAAACATTTCTGATAAAAATTTGATTTTAGGTGGATTTTGTGGATAAGTATTGTCAAACATAAGAATAAGACTAAAAGTGCCATCTTCAAAAGGAGTATTTTCTGGACCCAAGATAATTGCAACCCATAAAAATATATTATCATCAAGAGGACATGCAAAGATTGACTTGTCAGAATTATTTTTAACAGATGATAAATCTTTCATTAATCTTTTTTGTGCTGATGAATTCATGGGGCTAAAAAATATTTTGAATATCAACACTTGTTCCTAAACAAGAAAATTTTGTACAAAGATAAATTATAATATTTATAAATCATATTTGTCAATAATCGAAACTAGACATTCATCTATTATTTCTAATAACGCCTCATTTTCAGATGCGGCTTGTACTCTATCTTTGTCTTTTAATTGTTTATTAAGCATCTTATCATTAACATGTGATCCTTCTAAAATAGAAACAATAATATAATAACCTTTTATATATTTTTCTAGTAAAATTTTAATAATCAATCCAATTATTGCCGCCATTGAACAATGTGGTATCGTAGGTTCAAACTGTACCTCTATACAATTAATTATATCTTCTACTACATATTCATCTTTTAGCTGATAAATCTTAATTAAATCTTTTCTTACAACATTTAATTCTTCAAGTGTATATGGGTGCTCAGGATCTTTAATATCCCGAATCAATTCAAAAACTGAGTCAACAGAAATATCAGTTAAAAGCTTATCTTTAAAATGTAAGTCAAATCTATTTTCAAAATTTTTATTTTTTATTTGAGGAGAAATATTCATAAAGGGTAAAAAATAAAATTAAAAGAGTTTAATATTCTAAAGCTTCATTCTTACGCTTCTTCTCTCCTCCCATAACAACATGTTTAGCCCTTTTACAGACCCTTTGCTGTATTTTCTTACATTTAGGACATTCTAGTTTTAACATAATTTTTTTAGTAAGCTTAGCTTTTCTCCTAAGAATCGGTTTGGTTTGACCAATAGTTTTCTGCTTTAATCTGTATCGTCTAGCACCAGAAACCACTTCAGAATCTTTTGATTTTTTGTATAAAGAAACCTTATGAACTGTATGTGCATTACAATGAGGACAGTGTGTTCTTCTTGTTTTTGGAAGATTTACCATTTTATGGGTAAAAAATTTAAAAAATTATTGTTCTAAATTATTAATTTTCATAAAATATTTGTAGGTTTCATCCTCTAGATATTGCGGATTAGCTTTTTCAAAATATTTAGGAACAATAACGCCTTTATCAATAAACAATATAGATGCACCATTTCCGTGTGTATAAACATAATTAGGAGCAGACCAAACAGTCAACACTTTTCCTCCAAATTTTGAGTCAAATCCCGATTCTACCAACTGATGTGATCTTATTATACATTTAACATTATTTTCATGTAAAAATTTTATAGTATCTTCTTCTCCAAATAAATATCCAGCACCTCTTGGACTTTCTTCATATTTTTTTACGTAATTGTCAGGATCACTCCAATATATATCATGAAAATTCGGAAGCTCTTCAAATCTATCTTCACTATTTAAATGCGCTAAATTTAAATATGGTGTGATTCCTCCATGTATGCATAAAATGTCATTGTCGACTAATGCGCATACAGGTAAGAAGGTAAAAATTTCGCAAAATCTAAGAAAAATAATTTCATTGTATTTAATTCTACATTCCTGTCTAAATGTGTAATTAATTCCCATGCATTTTGATTCGTGGTTTCCTCTCAATAGATAAACAAAGTCGGGATGTAAAATTTTAAGAATTAGTACAGATATTAATAATTCTACAGAGTTAAGGCCTCTGTCAACATAGTCGCCCAAAAATAAATAATGATTTTCTTTCGAAGGCATTCCAAATAAATCTAATATGTTAAGAAAATCATAATATTGACCATGCAAATCACCTACAACATTTAGTGGAGAATTAAGTGTAAGAATATTCGGTTCTTTAATCAATAATTCTGTTGCTAAGTTTAATATTATGTTTAAAGTTTCAAAGTTTGGTAAATGCCCTTTTTGTAAATCGGAAAAAATATCAGTAAAGTCCATTAGGGACAATAAAAATATTTAAAAAATACACACGAATTTTTTTAAAAAAATTTTAACATTCTTTTTCAGTTAATTAAAAAAGCACTGTTGTATATTTTAACTACTATTACAAAAAAAATTTTTGTTAACATTAAATAAATACGCTTTTAAGCTGCTAAATAGTGCAAACAGGTGCATAAATCTTTGTAAATATTATCATACAATATAAATTAAAAAAACAGCATTTTAACTGCTTTGCTTGAAATTTTTGTTTTAAAATGTGTGAGGCATTCGTAAAATCAACAGATAAAAGTAAAAATGTTTTCTATTTATACAAACAATCTCTTAATAAAATAGATAACGTTAATTAAATAATAATTGTTTCGAAGTGTTTCCAAAAACTGCATGATCTTTACATTTTAAAACATTTTTGAAACATTTTATAAAAAAAATTAATGTTTGAGTTTATGGATGAAAGATTGAAAACATTACTGCTTTCAAGCTTTATATTATTTAGTTTTTCATATATTTACGATTTACCCGCAACATTAAATGAAAATATAAATTATGGTACTACCCATAAAGCTTGCAGGTTAGCTTTACTTTACTCAGTTTACGCTTTTCCCAATATCATCATACCTTTATTATTTAGATGGACGTCTTCAATAGATTTACCTCTCATTTCAGAAATATTGGTTTTTTTAGTTTTTCTAGGGCAAGTTACGTACTCCATCGGCGTGTATAAAATAAACTATAAGATTATGGTTTTAGGTAGATTTGTTTATGGATTGGGCGGAGAAAGCTTTTCAATTATAATTAATAGACTAATATCAAAAGAATTTAAAAGCAATAATTTATCTTTTACTTTAGGAGTATTTTCAAGTATTGCAAAACTGGGTTCAATTTTAAATTTTTTAAGTTCTCCTTTAATAGCAGAAAAAATTCATAGAATTTTACCTTGTGTAATAGGAATTATTTTGACTGCTCTAAGTTTAATTGGTTGTTTAATTTTAAATGATGTTTTATATAAACAAAAAAGATTCTCTTTGTTGATTGCAGAATCAAATAAAAGAGATTGCGAACCAGTAAAAAAATCAATAAAGTTAAAAAACGAAAATAATTTAACAAATTTAAATGCCGAAATATCAAGAGATGAATCCAAAAACACTAAAAATATAGATTTTTCTCAAATTTTTTATCAAGTAGATTTTAATGAATCGCCTTTTAAACCCTGGGAAACAGTAAACAATGACTATACGTCAGAGATTACAGAAAAATTATCAAAATCCGATCCACAAGAGTTACAAAAAATTGAAAATACAATTTTTTACGAGCCTTCTATAAAAAAAGCAAAATCTTTTCATTCAACTTTCATTATTCTCGCATTTATTTCATTTTTAGTGGCAATAGTTTGGGCACCTTTTTATTCACTAGCTCCAATTTTATTTAAATCGCAATACAATCTAAATACACTAGAATCGGGGCATCTACTATCAATTGTAGAAATTTTAAGTTTATTTTTGACACCGATGATAGGAATTTTAGCCGATCGGTATGGTAACAAAATATATTTGATGTTAATAGGGTGTAGTTTACTACTATTAAGTCATTTATCATTGGCATTGCACAGTTTATCTCCTTTCATTATTGTTAGTATTTTAGGAACAGCAGGTCCCTTGGTAAATTGTTATTGGCCATGTATCCCAAGCTTAGTTTCAGAAAATAATCTAACTAATGGATTTGCAACAATATTTTGCTTGTTAAATCTGGCCTTTACACTTTCGCCAATTTTAATTGGCTTTTTACTTTCTAAATTTGAAAGTTTTAAAATGGCTGAATATTTCATTGTTGGTATTTCTAGTGTGGTATTTTTAACAACAGGATTTTTAATTTATCTTGATAAAAAATTTAGATTAGGACTTAATCAAAGAGCAGAAAAGTTTAAACTCTCTTCAAGCTGTTAGCTATATAATAAAAATAAAAAATTATTTTTTTTGTATTGAATTTTGTGTATTAAAAATGAATTTTAAAAAAATTATAAAACCGCGATATGTAATTTTTTAAATAATCACTGTTTAATATAATTAATTAAAAAAATCACAAATTAAGCTGTTTTCAATTAACACATATTTTAATAAAAAATTTATGTGATACAGAAATATGAAGCAAAAATTTAAAAAATGACAATATTAAGTTAATGTCACTTTACAAATAAAAAACAATATTTTCAATTTTAATATTTTCTTTAAATTTCTAAATAATTTATTAGCTAATAAAATATAAAGATGTATTTATGAATTTAAGTTAAAATTTTCATAATTTTTTTGTATGTTAACTTTTTAATATTAAATATAAATTTGCAGTTTAAATTTATATACCTAGTTAAAAAAAGATTATTGTACAAACCTTATGTTTTATAATCACTTTAAAACAATTACAGGGATATTTTTTTCAAAATTAAAAATATTAAGTAAATTTTTAAATTTTTCGCTAGGAAGCATATGCAGTAATTGACCATGAAATTGTTTACATCTATTGAATTAACATAAAATATTTTTTTTAAACATGGATAAGTGCATTGTTAAAACCAAAAGTAATTTAGTATGTGATTCTCTAAGTAGTATTGTATAATCAGTCATGATATTAACATTAAAGAACTAATAAAGAAATTCACTAAAGTATTTGTAAGTAAAAGTACTTTAAATAACCTTATAAACCTCAGCTATGTCATGCTTACAACGGTTTAAACAGAATGGAAAATAGCCATAAAAATCTATGTAGCCATTAAGGCTTATAATTAGAGATAATTTTTAATGGAAAAATAAAAAAAAGTAATATGTTCAGCAAATGTCATTTGATTGATCTCCTACGCACAACTACACAGTAATATTTGTTTTGTAAGATGAAAATACAACATTTTTATAAAGAGCACGACAAACCAGGTACTTAACAAATCAATTTATTTTTCTTTTTTAGTAGTCGAAATTACACAATTGAGAAAAAGATAACTACACAAATTACAAAAAATTCTTTGCTAATATAAAAAAATTTAAGGAACAAAAGAAGAAGTTTTTAATAACTAAACGCCAAACTTGTTTCAAATATCATTAAAGAGATCTAAACAATGGATGCATGCTATCTTTAGTCCTGGCTAAATTTATTTTTTTCGTCTGATTGTATAAAATAACAACTAAAGCAATTGCATTGGCCACACCGACAGTTATTAGTACATATACTATCTTCATAAAGTATGTTACAATCTTGAAAAAAGCTTCTACTTTGTACTTTCCATTTTTTTCTGCAGAAATAATCAGATCAAAGTTTTGTATTATGCTTGAAGATATTATATAAAGACCTTTGTATTCATTAAGCGCCGCAGGAAGGCCAATTTTTAACATGTCAATCATATAAGTCGAATCACCGAGCCCAATTAAAGTAGTCTGAGATGTTAGGCTTAAAAATGGACCTGGACCAAAATTACAAGTGTAGAAAAGTTGTTGTGAATTATTAGCTATAAGTAAATAAGCAGTGCCTGGAAGTCCCATACCATAAGAATGATCCTTACTATTTTTTAATGTGGTGGTAAAACTAAGCTTCATATTGTTATTGTTAAGTATATTGTAATATTCTTCAACTATAATATCCCCTTCACTTCTGCGGTTAATAATAATATTCTCTTTGCCTCGATTGTCATAATCAATAGTTGAAAATGACTTTACGTTTTCAGGATTGCAAAAATTTTTTACTTTACTGTAAATTTTAAATTGATCCAAAGAATCATTAAGCCGTAATGGCACAATAACATCTTTATTCTGATTATTTTTAGCAACTATAAATAGCTCTAAATATCCATCTAAATTAATATCAGTACAAAATATGCCACCAGGTATACTTTTATTTGGTTCACTCTCATTGTCCGAGAAATCAATCTTTAAAATTGGTGTGCAACCTGGTGCAATATCATTGAATGGCATTTTTATATAATTGTCTTTAGAATAAGAAAATATTTCAGGTAATTGAGTATTTACATCCACAGAGAAAGCACTATCTTTATAAAATTCAGGATTATTCCTATAAAAATTGTTTATAAAAAAATTGAGGAAGTATTCATTATTATTGGTTTTGTGAATAAAAACCATACTGTTAAGGCCTTTATGAGTAAAGTCACCAAATAAAATTGGTCCAATTTCGCCATCAGGTAAATTAAGAGAAAAGGTCTTTTTAAAGGCACCCAAAACATGTTTATAAACATGAAGTACCTTTTTATTGTCTTTTTCCAATACAACAACCAATTCGGCTTTAAGATCGCCATCTAAATCAACAAAAGAATATGGATGATCTTTACACAAATCGCCATCTAATTTAAAAGTTGAATCAGACACCATCTTTTTATTAGTCATATCGTATGTATAAAAAGTGATTTTATTTTTATGCCCCAAAACTATAGCAGGCATTGCCGTATTATAATCTGTAATAGCCATCGGTGGATGATCAGAAGATTTAAGATCCTCAATCCTATAATTTTTTATGGGATTTTTATCTTCAGGAAATTCCATCCAACTATTTATAAAATGGTCTCCTTCAACACGCGTTATAACTAGGCTTGTCTTGCCATTGCCAGTAAAATTTCCTGGTGTAACAGAATATATTGGTTCTTTAAATTCATATTTAAAAACTTGTTCGTAAACTTTTTTCTCGAAACTATATGAATGAATAACAAGTTCATTGCTATTTTTTGTAGTCCCTATCATATCATATTTCCTTTCATTGAAAATGTCAGCATAAGCTAAGAGAATAAAATTTTTTATTAACGTAGTGGTGCTTTGGTAGTTCATTGTTTGGGTTAAAAAAGTAAAAATAAATAGTTACACTCCTTAAAAATACCACCAATAAAAAACTATTAATTTTTAAGATTCCATAACTTGACAGATTCATCATAAAATTTTAGTCTTTCCTCAAATTTTTCAAAAAGGGCTTGTGCACACTTATAATATTGTGTGTCCCTAGCATTAAACTTAAAACAATTATTAAGCATTAAATGTACATCTGAGATAAAAACATCTAAATTTGTATACAACTTTTTATGAAATTTATCTTTAATTCTTGATAAATCCATTGGTGACTTAATAATCTCATAATATTCTGGAACATCCTTAGCATTGACAGGTTCTAAAAAAGGCCAAGAGTTTGGATCATTTTTCAATACATTAATCAATAATTGAATAAATCCATCCAAACAATTTTCTTTGTTACGTTTATCAGTACTTATTCTCATATCTGCAGTGACTCCAGGTATAGATCTAATATCAAACAATGGTCTTTCTATCTTGTAAGTTTTGAAAAATGAAGTAGATTTTTTCAATTCCTCTATAAATTCATGTCTTTTATTTTTTATTATTTCATACTTATTTAAATAATTAATATCCCACAAGATATTACATTCCATTAATGTCCCTCCTTCATAATCTTTAATATATCCTATCCAACTATCAAATGATAAATTTTGACTAAATCCTTGTTTTTTAAAATATCCTACAGCAGAATTATCTGCATAAGTTATAAAAAATATATTACCTATAAATTTATCGTAACTTTTTTTATAAAAATTTAGATCATGTATTATTTGATTTGTAAATTTATAATCTGTGGTGTATTTATAAATTTCATTTTTTGTATGTTCTTTTAAAATGTCCATCATAAAACTTCCAACTCCTTTTACTTGGTAAAATTGGTCTACAGCACAAAATACAATTTCAAAAAATTTTCTGTCGTAAAAAGGCCTGTAGCAAATACCCCCTACAATGTTATCTTTATTGTTTAATATAATAAGGTTTATATGTTTAGAATCAAATATTTGTCTAAGTATATATTCCCTAGGCATTTTTGATAGCTGCTTTTGAAAAAGTGTTTTTAGTTTGATTAAAAGTACAGAGCTGGTTGTTTTATCGGCATTGGAAATAAACATCAATTTAATATTATTATTTTTGAAATTTTCGTGCAATAGTAATTCTTTGGTTTTTTTATTGTTCTGTTCATCGTGTTCTTCAAAGAAATTCATGGGAACAAAATGTTAGATAATTTTCTAATATATGAAAAAATTAAATAGTAGAAATTTTATGATTACAGTCCTCAGTTAATAATCTTGTTGTCACCAGTGACAGAGAATTACCCAATTATCAAGTTTAAGGTGAAAAGTTGAATATAAAACAGAACTCTGAGATACAAAAGTTTCAGAGTGAGAATAAAAGTATTTAAGCAGGTTAAATAAGAAATCTAAGTCTTCTGTTACTTAACCATTACTTTAAGGGAATAAAGGTAGTAGCATTTATAATTCAAATTATCTTTTTTACTATTAAAAAAACCAAGAAGAGAAATCATTTCTACTTAAAAGTGTAACAAAATGCTTTGCTTTATAAAAGTTTAAACTTAAATTTTGACATTTTTATGCGCATTTTAAAGAATAAAATTATTTTGAATTTAATTTATTAAAATTTGGCTTTTTAAATGACAAATATAAATTATCAACAGTAATTTTTTGATGATTAAAAATTTAAATATATTTTTGCCTTTTATTGGATGCATTCGTTGGTGTAAATAATGTCAGTTAAAAATTATAACAAATAACTTTATTTTAATTATAAACGGCATAAAAAATTAGTACATGTACAAAATCTATTTAAAGATTATGCAATTTAAATAAATTTATGTAAATGCTATTTAGTGATACCAAAAACGTTAAACCCTTCTTTAAAACAAAAATTTGTAGTTTTAAATTTTTTCTATTTTGGCAATTAAAATATTAAGAATTGAATAAAAAACCATATATAACATATTATAATCAAATTAGACCCTGAAGAAATCCTTGTATATTTCATTTGAGTATGAACTTAAAAATTAAACAAATTATCGCAGCATATTGACTGTTAAACATATCTAATAGTATTTCTACTTTATATTTTATTAAATGTGTCTTTTAGAATAAAAATTATAAAAAAAAAGACTAGACATAATTCCAAATAAAAATCCTCCCAATACATCGGAAATATGATGCCTATTATCTATATATCTAGTAAACCCGACATACAAAGGAAATAATATACAAAGAAACAATAAAAATCCTTTTAAAATCTTACTTTTTAAAAAGGAGTTTTGACTAGAACTTTTAAATTTGGAACCAACAAAAAGTGAAGCAAATGAAAATCCACACGCTGCAGTAGCCGAATGTCCAGATGGGAAACTTCTACGTCCTTCTCGTATAACCTTATTATTTCCTGTACAAACACCTCTCATCGGCCTGCACCGATCAAGAAAATCCGGTCTCAATCTTCCACAAATATTTTTGAAATTTTCTACCAAAGCTGCCATAAAGAGTTGACACGTTAAAAAACTAATGTAAAATTCAAGCTCCCGTTCAAAGTCTATGTTAAGTATCCGAGATACTGTAAAAAATAAAATGAGAGGGGTTGATACAGAAATAAATGAAACAGTAGTTATACTTATTGATTCTTTTTTTTTATAAGATTTAGATATCTTTTTGTCTTTCTTATTAAATCTTACTACTTTTGGGTTTGTGTTTAATGCCAAAATAATAAATAGTGAAGATACTACTCCTATAACAAAAACAATTTTATCTAATTTCATATAAAAGGGTATTTATGCATGAAAATAATCTTTATTATTGTAAACATACGATTTATTTTTAATTCCATGGAAATTTCTTGTACTTTAATTACCTTTGTCTAAAATAATTTAATTAACTTATGATTTGTTAATTTAATTTAAAATGAATAAGAATGGATTAAGAGCTTAAAATAAGATATTTATATTTAATATATAATAACCTTCTAAACGGAAATATACAGAGTAAAGATTAGTGGTCTTTAAGACAGCAGGGGTCACATCTAACTTATTATCTGGATTAGTGCGCATAAAGTATTTAAGTTACCAAAGCAAGGTCTAATAATTTACAAGTGTAATTTATTATATTTAAGTCATATAAAAGAAAGGCTTAATAAAAGCAAGTAAAAAATTATTTGTTTTATTTAGCTATAAGTGCTTGACATAATTGAGATTAAATAATATTACATTATAAACATATATTAACAAGAATTGGTGTTTAAATATACGCTTTAATATTAAGAATTATAATCAAAATTCAGGGTAAATTATTCTATTAGTAAATAATAAGTTACTTATTCTATTAGTAAGTCGTATTTTAAGGAAGTCATAAAGGTTAAAAAACCAAAAAAATATCTAAAATAGCAATTAATTGTTATATAAGAAAATGTAAAATTCCTTATGTGTATTTCCTCCTTTTTATATCTTATTTTTTTATTTGTACCCCCAATGGATAGCCAATACATAGAATCACAAGAAAATTTTAGTACAAATTTACCAGAAATGACAGGAACAACAATCATGGCCGTGAAATACGACGAAGGAGTTTTGGTGGGTGCTGATTGTAGGACTTCAATGGGTACATATGTTTCAAGTAGATTTACTGACAAGTTAACTAAAATTTCTGATAATATTTACTGTTGTAGGTCTGGTAGTGCTGCTGACACACAAGCCATAGCACAATACGTTAAGGAAGTTGTGCAACGAAGCTCGTTTATTGATAAAGAGATACCCTCTGTAAAAAAAGCTGCAATGATTGCAAAAGAAATTATATATAAAAATCCAAGCCTTTTAGCGGGCTTAATAATTGCAGGATATGATACCAGCCCAAAAATTTATAATATATCACTTGGTGGGACAATTACAGAGGCAGACTGGCAAATTGGAGGATCGGGATCAGCATACATTTATGGATTATGCGATACTCTGTATAAAGATAATATGACACTTGAGGAAGCTATTGAATTTGTTAAACAAGCAATTACTTGTGCGATCAGGCGAGACAATGCATCTGGGGGAAGTATTAGGATGGCCTCAATTTCTAGAGAAGGAGTTAAAAGATATTTTTATTCTGGAGAAAAAATTCTTAATTAAAAATAAATCTATATTTTGTAAGTTTGTATTTACTAATTATTTTTTATGATTACATTATTGTATCTATTGAAGCTTGTTAATGCAAAATCTAAATAAAACTTTGTTTAAATAAAAATGAAATTTTTGCAAAATTTTCTTAATTTATGCTAGTTTTATTTTTATAAAATCAAGAGTTTTAAATAAGAAATTTTCTATTTACAAATTTTTTTTGTTTTTACAAATAATGAAATTTATTGTAAGGAGAGGTGCTGTTTTTCCCCTTTATAATACTATGTAATAAAAGTATTTTAAGTCATAAACACCACAGAAATTTCTTTAAATTTTGTTTTTACAGATTTTATGTTGATTGTTTATTTTCTATAAAATATATTAATTTAATACAGTATTAAAGAATCTGAATTGTTGTGAAAATATTAAAAAAAAATTTTTTTTTTACCCCCGATGTTTGATGTTGAAAGTTTGTTAAAAAAATTAAATGTCAGTGAGGATAAAAAAGAAAATATTTTACAAAAAGAGCAACTTAAGAAAAACCTAGAAACGCTTTATACAAATTTTGATACGGACAATAAACTTCTTTTTACTCTTGCGTGTACTGCGCCAAAAAAAATTGATATATTAATTTTTGGTATATTAATTAATGAAAATGTCATAAAAAACGATGCAACATTGCGAGCTTCTATGAAGTTTGCCATTAAGAATACTGATGTTACTTACGAAGAATTAAAAGATTTTATATTAAAAAACACCAAATCAAAGGAAGAAGTTTCAGAGATAATTAATAAAGCTTGTTTGTCCGGAAAAAGTAAAAAAGAAGTTTATATTATTTTAAAGAATAAACTTCCATTTGAAGATTCAAAATATTTAATGGACGAAGTTAATAAATTTGAGATCGATACTTCTAAGTCAAAAAAGGTTAAGGATTGGCTTGAAGAAGGAGAAGTATCAATGTTACATAAACCCGGTGACAATCCACAACTTAACGAAAAAATTTTAAAAGACCATTTAGAAAGAACAGGTGGAAAAGTTGTTACTAGATTCCCCCCAGAGCCAAATGGTATTTTACATATTGGTCATGCAAAAGCTATAAATCTTGATTTTGGATACGCGGAAAAATATAATGGAATTTGTTATCTTAGATTTGACGATACAAATCCGAGAAATGAAGAAGATTATTATTTCGAATCTATTATTGAAGACGTTAAATGGTTAGGATTTGAACCTTATGCAATTACATCGTCAAGTAAATATTTTGGTGATATGTGTGAACTTGCTGAGAAATTGATATTAAAAGATAAGGCTTATATTTGTGAGTTATCAAATGAAGAATTAAAAAAAAGAAGAAGAATGCTTTCAGAGGCATTTGAAACTGACAAAGATAAGAGTATTGAAGAATTGGGATTGATTCTTAGTCCATATAGAAATAGAGAAATTTCTGAAAATCTTAAAATTTTTAGAGAGATGGTAGAAAAGAAACATAAAGAAGGAGACTATACATTGAGGTTTAAAATGGATATAAGGTCTAAGAATCCAATGATGTTTGATTTAGTGGGCATGAGGATTATTGATTGTGATCATGTTGTAACTAAAGATAAGTATAATTTGTATCCATCGTACGAATTCGCGCTTTGTGTTTCTGATTCTCTTGAGGATGTTACTCATTCTTTTTGCACTCGAGAATTTTTTACTAGACAAGAAAGTTATAAATGGCTTTTGGATGCATTAGAAATTTATAAACCAGTTCAATGGGAGTTTAGTAGATTAAATATCAGTAATACTGTATTAAGTAAAAGAAAAATCGTGCCACTTAAGAAATATGGCATAGAACTTGATGATCCAAGACTGTATACTATAAAAGGTATGAGGAGACGAGGTATACCTCCACAAGCTATAAACAATTTTGTTAAAAGTCTAGGGATAACATATGCAGAGACTATTATTGATAACAAAAAATTTGAAAGTTTTATTAGAGATGAATTGAATAAAACAACGCAAAGAGTTATGTGTGTAATGGATCCTCTTAAGATTTATATTAGAAATGCGAAAGAGCAAGAAATTTCAATTCCAAACAGCAATCAAAAAATAATCTTTAAACCTTATATTTATATTGAAAAGTCAGATTTCAAAATGGAAGATGATGATAAGGACTTTTTACGCTTTACACCAAATCAATCTGTTGGGTTGTATATGTTTGGCGCAATTAAATTCATAAAATTTGATAATGACATGATTATTGCGGAATTAACAAACGAAACACCCAAAAAGTTTATTCATTGGGTAAGTTGTGATAGTATAAAGGTTACTATAAGGCTTTATGATCCTTTATTCAGGTCATTTAATCCCGAAGAAGGTAATTATTTAGACAATATAAATCTTGATAGTCTAAAGACAGTGGTTGGATATTGCGATGATAGAATTAAAGGGTGTGAGGTTGAAGACAAATTTCAATTTCAAAGAGTTGGATATTTTTGCGTAGATCCAGACACGACACCTGAGAATATAGTTTTTAATCGAATTATTACTCTTATATAAACTCTTTAATTGAATGTTAGTTTTTATAAAAAATTAGTTTTATTTTAAAAATTGCAAAAATTTTATGTGATGCAGCCTAAAATAACATGGGTCTATTTTCGCAACCAATTTCACGTCAAATTAATAATAAAAATTAAAATTTGTTTAAATTACAACACTAACACTACAGAACCTAACATTATGATTTAGTACTTTTATAAACCATAAATCTTCTTTGAGTTAATAATAATTTTAAATTTGAAACACAAACGAAAAACATTAAGGACTTAAAAAGAGATACAGGGGAGAATTATTATATCTTTTAAAGTACTAAACACACTTCAATAAAGATATTTATAAAATATTTTTTATTTATGTATTTAAAATAATTGCAAATTTAATAAATTAAATTTTGTTTTTTAATTTAATTGATACACTTGACAGTTTAAATATAAATCTTTTTTCGGGCCTGCAAATGTTTTCCATTATCAATGTTATTTCTTATTTACCTAAAAAATCTTTGAAAACACAAAATATTGAATTAGATATTTCTATGATAGGGTTTTATTCTCAGGCATTCGAACTTACAGTGAAGTTTCTTAAGGAACTTGTGCCTCAAGATAAAAATGCATTCAAACTTCTAAATGCATATTTTGAAATTGTCAAAAATCAGAGAGACAACATTTGTAAACTTAATACAGCCAGATTAAATTTTTTAGATGATTTAAGATTTGTAATTATTTCACATTTAGAAAATAGCGCAAAAAAAGAACAAAAAGCATTGAAAAGATTTCATTCTATTCTTCACTTAATATCATTGTTAAACAATAATAAACTATCTTTATTTTATGTAGTTAATACATGGCTGAATTCTAATAGCAGAATAGATGATGATAATGAGATTGTACATGCCTTAAGGGGCAACATAGGAAACTTAATTAAACTTTATCCTAATTGTCGTGAAGCATTCGAAGAATTGACAAAAATTGAAGCGCATTATAGAAATTGTAAAATTTCTTCCTTGAAATATTCTTTGTTGAGGAAAGAATGGATACAAAATTATTATTACAGTCTTCCCTGTTCTTTACAAGATATATTTACTGGTAAAATTCAATACGATTTTCATTGGTCTGAAATTTTATGCTTTAAGTTGGCATATGGAAGCTCAAAAAACTCCTTAAATGACGTTTTGAAAGAAATGAATGATCTAATTTCTTGTAAAGATGAAATATACTATATTTTAACAAATAACTACGATGAACTTATTAAATCATCATCGGGTTGGATCAAAATGATTTATTGTTTACTATATAACATAAGTAATAGGAGTGATATCTATGATTCTATATTAGAACTGGGAAATAACTTGTTAAAACTTGATTGGCAAGTTGCACTGGATTATTTTTCATTTACTGCCTATTCAAATCATTTTTTTGATAAAATTATCTTGAATCTAAATATGAATCCTGTTATTTTTGATTTTTTACAGAGATATGCTATAAGGAATAATTTTAATTCAGATGGACTAAACAAAACTTATGCAAATTGTCTTCTAAAACAAAGAAATTTTATAGATTACCTTAAATTTATTAATAATGAACATTTAGCAGATTTTGATGTGACTACAGATTTTTTGAATTTTATTTTTGAAAATTATAATGAAGTAAAAGAGCATTTTAATAATTCGTTTTTAAAAACTGAGCTAGGTTTATATTTAATCTTGTTAGATAAATTAATAAATGGACATATTGAACTTTGGGAAGATGAAATAAGCGCATTTTTGCAGCATAAATATACATTTAATTATATTAGAAAAATATTAGATATTTTTATTGAATCTAAAAACATTTCTGAACTTGTTTTAATTAAGATTTTGGATTTTATATTGCATAAACATAAAGATCTTATATTGGATAATAAAGATACAAATATTTATAAAATTAAATTAATAGAAAAACTGTATAAAAGATCAAAATAAGAAATGATTTATTTGTTTAAAATTTCTTTAAATTCAGAGTACAAATTAAAAGTCTTATTTACACGATCACTTATAGCTTCTCCATAAAACATTACATCTTCCAAATTACTTAAATTAGTTAATATTTCTTTTAATTGTTCATCTAGTAGCGCGGAAGCCTCAACAAGATTTTTAAGTCTTTCTATTTTTTGATATCCTTCCATAAAAGGGTATTTATGTAGTTTTATTATATTTTTTATTCTTTTGTTCAATACTTAATAACATTTTCATATCCTCTTTAATTTGTTCAATATTCTTTGAATTCTCAAGAAATTCATCTTTATTATTTTCAATAGAAGTAGAAATATTTATGCATCCTTTATCTGTTGAGTATTTACCATTCTTAGGATCAGTTTTTATTGACAGAATACTTGAACAATTGGTGCATTTAAAAATAAATCGATAAGTTTTGATGCCATAATACTTTTCTTCTAAAATTTCTTCTTGTTTAGTATTAAATCTTTTATTTTTGCCAATATATTCATTACAACTCAAGCATTTAATCATAAATGGAAGACAAAAACGAGTAACACTTCTTTTATTTTTTAACATCTAAAAAAGGATTAATTATTTTTAAATATTTAAAAAAAAATGTATGCGGTAAATTATTGAAACTACAAGAAATATATAACGTTAATTAACCAACAATAACTAATCTTTATACAAAATATATTGTTTAAAGTTTTTGTTGAGGGTAGACTTTTTGATTATGTCATTGGCCAATGTTAGTGTCTCACACAGAAAAACTTTACATCCAAGACATATATATAAATGTGAAAAAATTACTACAAATGCCTATATAAAGAAATTTTTAGTCAATAAAAATGGTTCAATGAAAGTAACAAAAACGTTTCGATTAATAACGTTATTTTTTAATAAAATAGTAAACACACAAATTTTTAATAAAAAATACAACGCATTTAAAGAATTTTTTTATTTTTAATCTAAATCTTTATTTGTTCCATAATAGTTTTGAAAGGTAAGACTTTGTGATTTTGTGGATACGTTGTGAATTTTTGAATGTTGCGCAAGATTGTCGCTTCTAGAAAAGGTTTTTAAACATCCCGGGTATTTACATTTATAAGGCCTTTCCCCCGTATGCATTTTATTATGGCGTTTTAAATGCTCAAATCTCTTAAATGCTCTTTTACACTCAGGATATTCGCAAATAAAAGGTCTATCTTTTATATCAACTTGCCTAGATCTACTTCGCCCTCTGCCAAATGCTTTCTTAGGCAGTTCGAAAGTATTATGACAAGGTTGATTTGGGATATCTAAAAAGTTATTGGCTGTATATATGTTATTTAATGTATTCGCAAAATCTGAAGACGACCATGACTGCTCAAATGGAAACTCATTATTTAAATTTAAAGAGTTACTTTTATTTTGTGAAATGTCAATTTTCTCAAAAATCGATTCATCTTCGATCTTAGAAAGGTCTTCATATTTTTTCCTTAAAAGATCAAAAATACTATCAGTTAATTGGTCTATTCTACATAATTCTAATTCATTTGTTTTATTTCCAGAAGTTGTATCTTCTATTTTACAAATACTAACCATTTCTAGAAAAAATTCAAATAAAGTTTCATTTTTTGGTATTTTAGCATAAATATAAAGTATCTCCTGAAACGTTGACACAGAAATATAGTAAAAACCTTGAATATTGTATATTTTTATACGGCTTTTAAAATCTTCCAATTCTACTTCATTAATGTATAGTTCAGGATCTAGTTGATGTTTCAGATTATTAAACAATCCTTCTAAAGAAAAATTTATCCGTTTCATATTGTGATCGATCATTCGTTTTTCTTTATAAAATTACAGAAATTTATGCACAAATAAGAAACTGTAGTGATTATCATTTTTAAAAAATATTTTTTTAACAAATCAAAAATTTAGTCAAATTCTCCTTTAGCATAACTTTAAACAAAATTGATAGGTAAGAGAGAATTAAAGCTAAAATGCTCATACCAATGCATTGATAAAAATTATTAAAATATTTTTTATTTAAAAAAAATCAAATTTAGGGGTTATGCTATTGGCATCATAAATTTTCCAAAAACACTGAGAAGATTAGCATGACCCCTGCGCAAGGACGGCATGTATATTTTGGGAGCTTACACCAGAAGTAGTTCTGGTTTTTTATTTTAATTTTTTTATATAAAAACATTTGCTATTTGTTTCACACTTTTTAATAGTTCAAATCTAAAAACTATATTTTTTTAAATTTGCAGCGAATAAATTTTAAACACTTTAACGTTTTATTTTTATCCCTAATTATGTTTTTAGATAAAATTTTAGAAGATGTTGTTGAAGAAATAGAAAAATTAAAGATTCTAACTAAAGAACAAATTAGAACATGTTTAACAATTACTAATGTTTCAGGGAAACCTCATTGTACTTTATTTTTACCTAAATTAGAATTACAAAATTTAGATATAAATGATTTATATAGTCACTTTAAGACAGCAAAGTTTTTGCTAATTAAAGATTTTACTACTTTTAAGTCATCAATATCTTTTAATATCAATTTAATTCCATACAGTTACGAAATTTTAACAACCATTTTAGAAAAAGGAGAAGACTTTGGTAGGAATAATATAGGAAATGGTGAAACTGTTGTAATTGATTACAGTAGTCCAAATATTGCGAAAATCTTTCATATGGGACACTTTCGAACTACAATTTTAGGAAATTTTGTAAAAAAAATTCATGCATTTTGTGGTTACAAGGCTGTTGGTATTAATTATCTCGGTGACTGGGGTAAACAATTTGGTCTTGTATTACTCGGATCACAAAGATTTAGTAACCCCGAGGAACTAAAAACAGATCCGATTAAATATTTATTTAATGTCTATGTTCAAATAAGTCAGGCCAAAGCTACAGATCCTAGTGTTGACGTGGAGGCTAAAAAAATATTTGAAAAAATGGAGAAGGGTACTGATAGCTCTTTGTTAGACAAATGGTCGCATTTCCGAGAATTAAGCATTAACAAATACAAAGAGTTATACAGCAAATTGGGTGTTGAATTTGAAGAATATTCTGGAGAAAGTTTTTATGAAAAAACTTGCCAAGATGATATTAAAAAATGCAATTTTTTAATTAAAAATTCGGATGGGTCAGTTTGTCTTGATTTAGGCAAAGAAAAAAATCCTTTAGTTATAAAATCGGATGGTACATCTCTTTATCTAACTAGAGATTTTTCTGCTGCTAAAGATCGAATTGCTCGTTATAACCCCAAAAAATTAATTTATGTTGTTTCAAGCGAACAGAAAGAACATTTTGAAGATTTATTTGCTACTTTACGTAAAGCGGAGATTTTTGATAATTTAGAACATGTACAATATGGAATGGTTAGTGGAATGTCTACACGTAAAGGTACAGTTAAATTTTTAGAAGACATAATTGATATAGCAACAGATGTGATGATGAAACAGATTGATGCTAATCCTGAAAAAAAGGCACAAATTAAAGATGTATCTGCTACTGCTCTAAATCTGGCTGTATCAACGCTAATTATTATGGATTTCTCAGCCAAAAGAATTAAAGGGTATAAGTTTGATGTCGAAAAAAGAGCAATGAATACTAAAGGAACAGGCATTTACATTCAATATGCACATTGTAGATTGAAAAGTATTGAAGATATGAATAAGGATATTGATTTGAATAAGGATATTAAGATTGATAGTAAATGTTTAGAACAAGAAGAAATTTTAAATCTTCTGTATCAGTTTATTTGGTTCGAAAAAGTTGTTATAAGCAGCTTTAAAGACAATGAGCCTAATAAGCTTTTTACATATGTATCGAATTTGTGTTGGCTTACTAACTCATATAATAGTTCGTTAAAAGTAAAAGGAGAAGAACCTTCTGTAGCCAAAACTAGATTACAAGTTTTAAAATGTGCTCGTTTAATTATTGGGACTACACTAAAATTATTTGGCCTTACTCCTCTAAACAAAATGTAAAAAAATTAGAATAAATTTTTTTATTTTTACTTTGATACTTTATTCGTTTAGACCTTATAGTAACATTTTAATGACTAAACAAATAATATCTTACTGTCTTTTTTACGTTGGAAAGTAAAAGGTTCGAAAGCACAAATTATTGGAAAAAGTTTTAATTGTTTTGCGTAAACAAGTATATTCTTTTTGTCTAACTAAACATATTAAATCATTCTTTTTTGTACTTAGTTTTAATAGTCACTTTATAAACTATGATATTAAAAACAATTGACAGCTAGTTAAATCAAAAAAATTTTTGTTTAACATAAACATTGATACTATTTTGTAAACCTTTAACTGTAGCTCCTTTCAAATATTACATACACTACAAAATAAAAATCATTTGTAAAAATAGATAAAATTTTTGATATATTTTAAATATTAAGAGAACTTCTAATTTTTTATGCTAGAAGACAAGAGAAATATTAAAAAAAACAAAACATTATATTTAAGTCATGTGAAAAAGTTTAAAACGACAAATAACAATAAAACTTAATTTTCTAAATATTCAATTTTGTATCTTTTTACTTTATACTGGTGCATGCCTAAATGTATCTTAAATTTTTGAACTGTAAATATTCATCCCATGGAAAACTTAGCTAAACAAAAAGAGCAGATTGAAAGAGAACTTAAAGAATATAAAGAAAACTACAACACATTAATTAATATTGAAAATGAAGCCAAAGAAAGGCTAGAAGCACTAAAATGTAACAAATATTATTTATCTGATCAATATGAAGCACTAAAGGAAAAACTTAAACAGAAGAAAGCTTTATTTGTTAAATTAAAATCATTAATAAAAGAATATAAACAGCATAAATACAAGGACATAGAAGAAATTTATAAAACCAAGTACAATAATATTATTGAAAATATAAATTCTTTACATTGGAATTTTAATTTACAAATTTTTTCTTCATTTGAAAGTTTAAATGGATTGTTGAAAGAAGCAGAATCTTTTAAAAATTTAAAGAATGAAATTAAGTTATTGCAACATCGTAAAAATGAACATTTAAAAGCACTTCTAATTGAAGAAATATCTAAAACTAGGGATATACATAATATGATTTATTTAATTAAGTTTGTACAAAAATATGAAATATTTTTTAATGAGAAATTATTTTTGACATGCATGAAAAAATTTATCTCACAAAGATATAAATATCATTTTTTAAGTGATAGTGAGACAAATAGGCTTGATAAAGCTGAATGGATTTTTAATTTTTTGGATAAAAAACTTAAAGAAGTTTGTAAATTTCTGACGATATACAATACATCTGAGAATAAAGTTGAACCTGTGGAGTACCAGGATTTTTTAGAAAATATTATTAAAACTATTATTAAGTTGATTAATAAGCGAATTAAAGAAATAGAAGAAATAGACAGCAAACAAAAGAGAAATTTAATTCTAAATTTTAATTATTTTTTAAGCTTATTTATTAATAAGATAGCTAAAGAATATAATGTAAATCTTGAAACTTATTTTTCTTCTTTTGAAAATGAAATAGTGAACCAAGAAAAAAAGAATATTTTATTTAAAGTTCAGGATATTCACAAACATGATTATACTAGTTGGTTCAGTGAATACGAAGAAGTATTTAAGGAAATTTTAGATCTTAACAAAAAACAAGTAAAAGTTGATGTAAATTTCTTTATAGATCATATTTTAGATTTTAACTTGGTATTTATCGACAGTATGAGATATATTAATAGGAAAGAAATACACGTATTATTATACATATTTAATATGTTTGAAACTTTTAAAGAGACGGTACAGTTTTTACTTGAAGAGTTTTATCAGGAAAATGGTATTGATACAGAAGATAAGATTGACGAGATTTTAATAAAAATTTCTAAATTTAATTTGGAAAACTTTAAATTAATTAAGACATTGTTTGAGAACGATATAAATAATATAATCAATCTAAAGTTTTATTTTATAAATGATTTATATAAGATCTTTGAGGATTATAAAATTTGCAAAGGATTTAATAAATTAAAAGATCTTGCTTCAAATATGATCGATAAGTATTTATTTAATACATTGGCACATAAGCCCTTAGACAGACAGGAATATTCAAATTATTTAAATTTGTTTAAAAAATTGAAAGAATATTTTGATGTTAAAAAATGGGATAGTAGGGAATGTATGAAATGTATTAAAGGGATTTTTGAAAATAAAAATGTAGACAACAAATTTTCAAAATTTATACGTGATTTATATTTACAATAAAAGCTATATGTAGTTATTTATATTTTTTTACAATAAATTGCTTTTATGAAGTTTAATGTATTCGCTGATAATTTGTATAAAATATAACTTTTAGGGTTTCATTTTACACACAAAAAGATTAGACAACTAATATTTTACAAAAAATAATAAAGTCTTCTTTGATGTATCATTTAACAAGATAACTTTGATATTAAATATTTATAATATGTTATATTCTATTATTTTATTAAACCCTAATTTATGTTAAGCACTAATATGGGGGCGATACTAAAAACTGAGCTGTCAAGCGA